CACCCTTTTGCAATTTTAAATAATTATATATAAATAAATAATTTCTAATAATTTTACGAAAGTTCTTTGAGAATTTAATTATTTACATTTTAAATGCAAAAATTAAATTTTTTAATAATTGTAACTGCTTTTTTTAATTTTATTAAATAAATTATTTATTTATTTTTCGAGAAGGAAAAAAAATGTTTACCTGGAACAGTTTTAAATTTCACTGAATTAGAGAAATTTTTAGTTGTTTTACGAAATACTTTCACTATTTTAGAGAAACTTATCGCTGTTCAAAATAAAAATTTCTTTCCATGTAGCAAATAAATAATTAATATAATATTATTATAAAATAATAAAATAATAATAAATAATTTTTTTTAATTTTTATTTTTTGTTTTTAAAAAATAAAGTAGGGAAGTAATTTTTCTCTCCTTGCTCAGAGTCACTTGTAAGTGAACAAAAGGACCTTCTTCTTTTCCTTTTTTTTTAATCGTTCAAAGATGGGGCAAAAAAAAATACATTTTTACACGTCATTCGTCAAACATTGCACGCGATGATAACTTCCAGTTCGATTAAAGCCAAATTCAATGGGATAAGGTCTTTGGCCCCTATGGCTCACCCCAGTATTAAGGCCAAAGACAGCACACGTCATCAATGTGCTGGAAATTTCGCTCATACAAAACCAGAATCTCTTTCTCCCTCTAATCCTCATTAAATATTTAAATAAAAAACAGAAAATTGCCAATTTTTTGTAAGTTTATTCATTTTTTCCTTTTTTTTTTTTTTGCTTCCTCATAGAGGAAGGATTGTATTTCTGTTTGCTACAGCAAAAAAAAAAAAAATGAAATATAATGTCGAATGTGAGAAATTTTTGTAGAATGATTGTTAGGAGACTTTTAATCATAAATGAGTATTTTTAATTATAAATGACAGTAGTTAAAAGAAATTTAATGACAATACACGTGTGGTCTACGTTTCGTATTATTATTAGAGTCGAGACAAGATAAATCATTTACATACTCTCGTAAACTTTTAACATTTCACCCCGCTGAGAAATTAATGATTTACCTCAACTCTCATTTTCATTTTTATGTATCTTGTCATTTTTTGTTTCTTTTTTTTCTTCATTTTTATTTCGCGTTTCGTTAGTTGAAAATTTTTATTTTATGGAATAATTACAGTTGCATTTGTATTTATTATTTCAGAATTTTTTAAATTTTATTTTTAGCTTCTTTATTGTTGAGATATTTTTTTAATAATAAATAATAATTATTAAAGATATTGTTATAATTATTAAAATTATTATTATAATTAGCAAATGTTACGAAACGCGGTAATTCTAATTTATTATTATTTTGCGAATTAAAAAATTTTATGTTTTCAAATCTAAACATCAATTTTTGAATAATTTTAGTATCAAAATTTCGAAAATTCACTTATTAAGAAGATAATTAATTATTCTTCTTTATTATTTTCAAAAATAAAATTTTTCGCAAGAATTCAATTATTTTCGTAAATAATAACATTTTTTGGAAGAATTAAATTATTTTTATAAATATATAATAAAATTCATTGCATTCTTCGCAGGAATTCAATTATTTTCAATGCAAATTTAATAAAATATCTCGAATGGTTTCAATTATTTTTAATAAAATTCTTGGGAAAAATTCAATTATTTTCAGAATTTAAATAAAATTCTTTAAAAGAAATTCAATTATTATCAAAAATTTTAATAAAATTCTTCGCATAAGAATTCAATTATTCGCATAAATAATAACATACTTTGAAAAAATTCAATTATTTTTATAAATATAGTAAAATTCATCGCAGGAATTGAAATATTTTAAAAATAATTTTAATTAAATTTCTCAGAAGAATTCAATTATTTTTAATAAAATTCTTTTTAAAAATTCAATTATTTCCAAAATTTAAGGGCATTTGAACCTTGATGACGTTTCAGTTTGTGCAAAGCATGTGTGACGTCATCAAGTTTCAAATGCCCTTAAATAAAATTTTTCAAAAGAATGCAATTATTATCAAACATTTTAATGAAATTCTTCGCAAAAATTCAATTATTTTCAAAACAATTTTAATAAAATTTCACAAAAGGATTTAATTATTTTCAAAAATGTTGATAAATTCCTTCGAAACATTCAATTATTTTCAATAAAATTTTAATAACATTTCTGTAATACTTTCAAATTATTTTTAATAAAATTCTTTACAAACATTCAATTATTTCCAAAATTTGAATAAAATTCTTCAAAAAAAAATGCAATTATTAAAAAAGAATAATAACATTCTTTAGAAAAATTCAATTATTTTTATAAATAGTAAAATTCTTCACAGAAATTCAATTATTTTTAAAATAATTTTAATGAAATTTAACGAAAGAATTGAATTATTTTTAAAAGCCTTTAATAAAATTTTTTGATAGAATTAAATTAATACCAAAAATTTTGAAAAAAATCTTTGAAGCATTAAATTATAATTTTCAATACAATTTTAATAAAATTTATTGTATCGTTTCAATTATTTTTAAAAATTGTAATAAAAAATTTCTAAAAAATTCAATTATTGATAAAAGTTTTGATAAATTCTTCGTAAATTTCAATTATGTAAAAAATTTGCAATTAAAATTATTTTAAAAAACTACTTTATCTATTTTCAGAAAATTTAAAGAAATTCTTAATAAAAATTTCAATTTTTTCGAAAACTCTAATAAAATTGTTTAAAAGAATTTAATTTTCTATCAATAATTTTTGTAAAATTTAAAATTATCAATTACAGTTATTAATAAACTGGATTGTTTTAAAAACTTAAAAGAAATTCTTCATAAAATTCAATTACTTTTTAATAAAAATTATTTTTAAAAAATTCCATTGTTTTAAAAAAAAATCAAACACAATTCTTCAAAAAAATTCAATTATTTTTAAGAATTTTAATCAAATTCTTGCCAAGATTTAAATTATTTTCAAAAATTTGAATAACATTTTTTAAAAGAATTCTATTTTAGTCATAAATAATAAAATTCTCTGCCAGAATTCAATTATTTTCAATTCAGTTTTATTAAAATTTCACGAATATTACTCCGAAGTTTAAGAATCTTTTTTTTGGAATTATGACAAATTTTCGTTTTATTAAAAAGAAGTTGTTCTAATTTTGCTCTAAATTGTCTTTTATTTAATTCATTGTTGCTCTAATTTTTCCTCAACAGCCTCATTTAAATTGATTTCAATTCGCCGATAATATTTTTTTATCCTTCTATTAATTTGACCCAATTTTTGTTCATTTAGAAAATTTGATTAGAATTCTTCCCTTTAAAAATAGAGCAAAAAAAAAAAAATTTAGAAAAATTAAGTGAAAAATTTTTTAGTAAAATTTAGTAAAATAATTTAATGAAATTTAGTAAAAATAATTTAGTAAAATGCAGTAAAATAATTTGGTAAAATCCGGTAAAATAATTTAATAGAATTCAGTAAAATAATTTAGTAAAAATTCAGTGAAATAATTTAGTAAAATTCTGTAAAATAATTTAGAAAAATTCAGTAAAAATAATTTAGTAAAATTGAGTAAAAGTAATTTAGTAAATTATCCGAAAAAAATTCAATTAAATAATTTAGTAAAATTCATTAAAATTAATTCAGAAAAATTAAGATGAAAAAAAATTCAGTGTAAAATTGAGTAACAAAAAATGGTACACCAGAAAAATTACAAAAATTAATTTGTAAACTTTGGAAAATGTACAAAGAGACACTTTTGTTGGGCAATATAGAGAATTGTTAGTTCAATTGGTTTATTTTATGGAAATTGCTTTAAACGTTTGAAAGTATATGAGAAATAATAAATATTTCTCGAATGCTTCCCCAACGTATGTTTGCTAAAAAAAATGTGGTGCAAATTAGAGAAATCAGCGCGCGCGTTGTAAAATAGTGTATAGAGAGGAAAGTATTGTGGCAGTAGATCTTAGATTTTTTTTTCTCTTCATCGTTCTCCTCGTTACAACTCTCATTCGACTTGGCACAATTTTTTACGCGCGAATTATTTTCCTTTTAATGAAGAAAAATCCGTTTTTTATTTTTATTTATATTTATAAATAAAATTAAAAATATTAATAAAAATAAAACAAATAATATGTAAAATAAACTAAAAATAAATAAAATACAAAATTAAATTAAAATAAACAAATTGCAAAATTAAATAAAAATAAATAAAATACAAAACTGAATAAAAATAAATAAAATCGAATTCCAATTATTTAAAAATCCAATCCAAGATATTTATAAATAAAATAATTTATTCACGATGGAATTTTTCATTATTAAAGTAAGATTTTATCGTTAAACGTAAAATTGATTTTAATTTTAAATTTTAATGGAGAGAGAAAAAATGAAGAATATATTTTAAATAATGATGAATTTTAAAGAAAGATTGTGAATTTGCGACAATTATCAAAAGTGGCAGTTTAATGATAGTTATAAAAGGAATATTCATAATTACCACCAAGGTATACAATGTTTGAAGTAAATTTGCCAACTAGAGGCTAAAAAGTTATTATAAAGTTCCCGAGGGTGTGACCAATAGTCATTTATCGAGATGATAATATTAGTAATTATATTCCTCTCAAAGCAATTATCTTATCTTCTTCATGTAGACATTTTTCTCATTACTTTCCATTCCCTCAAGAATTCTATTCCCCGATAGAATCTTGACGCTTCAAGATCATATTTAATTACCCATTTGAATTTAGACAAACAGATAAATTGTAAAATTTGCCATAAACTTTGTAATTAACTCCGTTTTCATTCGCGGATGGAATTAATTAAGTTCGATAATTTTTTTTTATGGAATAAAAATTGAAGAAGCAAAAAGAAAATGGAAATAAAAATTCAAATTAACATTTGAGTTAAATTGTTAGTAATCGAGTTAGAGAGTTGATTGATTATTGTAATTAATATTATATTGGAGTACAATAATAATTATAATAAATATTATGTTTCAATTAACGTTACCTAACTCGAAAGGGAAATATCCAGAAAAATTGTCTTTCGCACTTGATTAAACCCACGAATTAAAGGATTAACAAATTTTCACTCCGAGCAGGAAAAAGCATAAAAAATTACAACTGGAAAAAAATCGTTTAATTTCAATTTTAATTAATCGAAATTTTTCTCAAATTCAAAAAACTTGAAAGTAATTTTTTTCATTGAATGAATTTCATATTTTTTTTCAATAAATTGAATTTTCAAGAAACTAAAAATCGATTAAATGAAAAAATGGTTTACTTTCATTTTAAATTAAACAAAATAGTTTTTAAATTGAACGAAATTCGAATTTTGTTGAATAAATTGAATTTTCAAGAAACTGAAAATCGAATAAACGAAATAATTCCTTACTTTCATTTTCAATTAATCGAAATAGTTTTAAATTCGTTTCACATTAATCGTTTCTTTCAAATTCAAAAAAAAAAAATTGAATTTTGTTCAATAAATTGAAATTTTAAGAAACTGAAAATTATTTAAATTTATATTCAATTAATCGAAATATTTTTCAACTTAAACTAAATTTGGAGAGAAAAAAATCGTCTTTTGTAGTATTTCAGTTAGTTTTAAAAGTTTGGAATATAAAAGAAAATTTTCATAGTTCAAATTTGTAAATTTAATGATTTTCCCTTTTTTTGAAAATTTCAATACGATTTTTTTACTTTTCCAAAAATTGAGCAAATGGAATTGAAATTGAAGTTTTGGTCGCACTTTAACACTGGAGTTGGGAATATTCGATGAGATTGACAATTGTCACGTGTTACTTGCTCGACTGGGGAAAAAAAAAATTCGTCTTGATTAGCGAATAAAACGTGTCTTATCAGTTTGAGTGTGCACAGTGTACTGAACTCCAATGAGAACGATTCAACCTCACTCTTTAGTTGAGTTGGCGAACAGGTGCTCCAGCTTCTGTTTAGATTCAACAGTGAGATTTAAAGAATATTTTCAGTCTCCTTGGAAAGAATTCATAACATTCGAATCACCGCCAATTTTTAATTTCACTTTGAAATTATTTCTTCCCTTTTTCCGTAGCTATTCAAATTTTCTCTTTGGTAAGACCTCATTCCAAATATACTTTTATTACTTCAATTCGATAAAAATTCCTGAAAAAAAGTAAAAATTTCTAAATTAGAAAAATTATAATCGAAAAAAAAAGAAAACAAGTAAAATTGCAATCTATTATAAAGTAAAATTGTTCGTTTGCAAATAAAAATAGAAAACAAAATGATTTGAATCAGAAAATTAGTTTTCTTTAGAATTAATAATATTTATAAATATTATGATTGAATAGAAATATTAAACTGTCAAGATTGTTGGCGAAACGTATTAATCTTGAAAAATAATTGGACGATTAGTAAACGATTAGGTTTTCTCCTTCTGATTTAATCAGGATATTAGTTTGGAATTTATCACTCAATCAATTTTTTGACGTAGAATCAAGCTCAATTTTTGCAGGAGTGTCTGTTGAATTATGTTGAAGATGATCTTTGTGTATATTCAATATTGAGCCAGAGACGAGAAGATTGAAAAGGAATCATCTTCTTGTACTTTATTTTCACTTTTTTTTCCCCATTTCATTTCGTAGACAGGAACGCGTTCAGAATCCAAATAAGACAATTATAGTGCCTAAAACAAAAAAGAAAAAAAATAAATAAACAATGAAAAAGAAAATAAAAACTATGTATAATAAAACATGCATGGAATAAAAAATCGTGTCAGAATGACTGAAGCAAATCTAAATCAGTTGAGATTTAATTTTTTTTTATTTATCTCACACGTAAAACGTAGAGTAGATAAAATAATTTTTTATTTAATTTTCATCTTAGAATAAAAAATAAATAGAATTATTTTTTATTTACTTTTCACGTAGAGTAAAAAATAAATAAGAATTTTTTTATTTACTTTTCATGTAGAGGAAAAAATTAATAAATAATAAAATTGAAGAATAAGAGAATAAAATAAAATTAATAAAATAAATAATTTCGTCAATAAATTCAGGAAAAATTCAAAAATAAAGAAAGAAAGAAAATAAACAGGAATAAAAAATGAAAGTAAAGAAGATAAGAGAATCAAAATTAAATTGTTAAAAAATAATTAATTCCTGGCCATAAGAAAAAATTGTGTTGTTGAATTACACGCGTGAGAGAATTGAATACAAGTAAAAATGTGACAGCTTCGGTAGTAGCTTATATTTTAACAAATAATTGCCCACCTTGGTCAAATTAATAAAAGCAGAATCGCGAGAAGAGCGATTGAATATATCCAAGCAAGTCGAGATTCCTTTTTTTATGTCGACGGGTGGTAAACGCCTGCATCACCCCTGAGGTCAATTCACGTCATGTTATTCAACTTCAAAGTGTGAAACGTGAAGCGAAAAATATCACAATAGAGAGTATGCGAAAAAATAAATTAAATACGCAATTGCATAATTTTTTCCCAAAGAAAAGAAATAATTTTGAAATTATTTCCTAATTTCTTCCAAAAAAATTTGATGAAATTATTTCCTAATTTCTTTCAAAAAAAAGTTGATGAAATTAATTCCTAATTTCTTCCAAAAAAATGTTGATGAGAAATTATTTCCTGAAAAAAATAAAATATAATTATTTTCAATTTCCAGAGGAAAAAAAAAAAGGAATTGCTTTAGCTTAACTAAATTCTACTAATTAATAGTTTGGAAACGTACCTTTCGGTTTATGTCTCTTGTTTTAAATATAAAAGTGATGTTTACAACTAGTAGTGAATTCTCGACATTGTTCCAGAAGTGATGAGAAAACATGATCGTCACTGGTAGACAGCATTGAGAGAAAAAAAAAACGAAATTTATAGCTGAGAGTGAACGGTCCATGAGAGAGAGAAAAAAAACCCTTAAATAAGCAATGACTCGTCTTTTTGTAAAACAAAAAATTCTAAAGAACAGTTTCGTTTAGGTTTCTTTTTTATTCTTCCTGAACATTGAATAAAAATTAATTTGTTATAGAAAATCAGCTTCTGAAATTGATTCAAAGAAATATTTAGAATGACTGGAAAAATAAAATCAACTAAATAAGCAAAATAAAATTAAAAAAGTAAAATAGAAAATGAAATAAAAAAATTAAATAAAAAACAAAATAAAATAGAAAAAATAGAATGAAAAATAAAATTAAAACATTAAAATAGAAAAGAAAATTTAAGAAAAATTGAAAAGAAAATTAAAAACATAAAATTGAAAATATAATTGAAAAAGTAAAATAGAAAAATAAAAATAAACAAAGTAAAATAGAAAACAAAATAAAAACAGAAAACAGAAAACAAAAATAGAAAAAATTAAATTAAAAAAATAAAAAAACACTAAAAAATAAACTCGATTTCACGTGAAATTCTTTTTATTTTATTTTCAAATACATATAATTCTGATTTTTTTAGGCGTGTATATAAATAAAAAGTCACAAAATCTACATCGCACAAAAATTGTGTACTCACGAAAATACACAAGTGTAAAAAAGTCTTTGTGCCTTACACTTAAAAAATTGTGTAAAGAATATCTATTATCTAACCTCCTATGTTTTTTTCTTGCATTAAAAAAGAATCACAAAGTGTATATGAAATCTCTGATATGTGGCCATAAAAATACTGATATCTCGTTGTTTGTCGCTAAAAAGTGAAGTGGAACTGTTTTCAATTTTTCGGCTTTTTTTTACTTTACATAAATTTTTTTTTCATTCACATATATTTATTTATTTTTTTACTATATAAATCCCCTTCACTTAAGTGTATAATATTCATTAAAGGCAGAGAGAGGCTTTTATTACAATTTATAGATATTATTTATAACAGCTATTTTTTTTTTTTTTACAAAGTCCTGCACCGTCATATCCACCACCTTTTTCTCTATTATTTAATTATTTACAATATCAAATTTTTTTCAAAATTAAAACAAATTATTCATTTAGAGAGCTGGTTTTTAAACAATAAGCTCTTCAATTTTTTTTCGAAAAATTAAAACTAAAGTTTGAGTATTTTTTTCTTCAAAAGTTTTAAACTAATAAACTGAGCAAAATTCATGAATTTTCCTTTAACTTTGGTAGCAAATTAAAAACTACGTGTGTTAATAATTTAAAAAAAGAAAAAAAGTTAAAAAAAAAGAATAATTTACTTAAATTGAATTGTAAATTAATTGTAAGAATGGAATTTTTTTAAGTGTTAAAAAAACACGAAAACGTACCAACATTTAAAGCTCTCTGTGCTTTAATTACAAGTGCTCGATTGCAATTCAACAATATTGCCGTTTTCATTATTGTATTTCACAATTTTTTCTAATTCGACATAATTTATCCATTTAAAAGATTTGCTTTAATACATTTATACGCACACACGCATTCAATTCTATTGTACGAATAATTTGTGCAAACGCTAAAACTGCGAAAACAAAATTCATTTCAAATTTACAAAATTAGTGCGTTATTGCATTTTTCCAAATTATATTCTTTCCCTTAAACTTTAATTACAAAAAAATGAAAATCGAATTCTAGTTTATAAAAATAATGTTATTTTTATCCAATTTCATCATTGAGAATTTTTCTTCTCAAAAGTATAAAAAAGTATTACAAAATTTCGAATCTATTTTTACATTAATCAATCAAATTACAAAATTTATTCGATTTTAGAAATTGAGAAAAAAAATAATTTCTTTAAATGCAAAAACAAAAATTCACTATTGTATCAGCAATAATCTTCTATATTAAGATTATTTTATCATTTTCATAAAAAGCTACTCTCTTCAATTGACAATCTGCTTTTGACAATGTTTCACAAATTACAATTTGTCAAATGCAACATATTTCTAGATTTTCATCAAACTTTGGTTTATATAAGACACTGAGCATCGTTGCGAAAAAATTTGTTCGATATTAATTTTTAAAAGCTTCGCAATTAAAAAAAAACAACAAAAAATTATTATTAATTAAAATCCCCATGGCAAGTCCTTAAAATTTTTGAAAGAAAGAAGAGATCAATAATTAAGTCTTAAATAATAATCACTTTGAATAATTACATTCAAAATAATTAAAAGCCTTTTATATATGATGATGTGAAACTTATAATTTATCATCATAATTAAATGCATTAATTTTAAAAACTATGTTGAATTTTTTAATTATCATTCGCAATAATTAAATTTATTCGATAATGGAACAAAAGTTCCCTGAGTATAAATATTTCCTTGGCAAGAGTATTAAATATCAAATATGTAATCAAACTTCCCAAAATAATTCACAGCTAGAAATAAAATAAAATATATCCGACACTTTTAGAAAGCATTAAAAAGTAAAATTTGTAAAATTAAAATTAAAATAATAATAATAAAATTAAATTATTACTAAGTATTAATTCACTGACTTTTTTATTTTACAGATGTACCAGAGGGGTGCATAAAAGGTAAGTGGGTTTTTTTTCTTCCCAGGGTTGCCACAAAAATTTAATTCTGTCTTTTCTTGACTTTTCCCTGATTCCCAGACAGAATTTTTAATTTTTAAAAATAATTTATTTAATCATTATTATTTTTCCATTGAAATTAGGACTAAGATTCTTCTTTAAATCAATTATTTTTAATAATTTTTAGATAAAGTTCTTTCAGAATAACTATTTTTTTTTCGAATAAAGTCAAGAAAATTTCCAAATTCTTTTTTTTTAACTTCAATTTTACGAAATTTCATTCATTTGGAAATTCTTCAATTAAATATATAATACAAAATAAAAATTTCAATTTATTTCAAAAAAATTTGAATTCAACTTTTTAAAAAAAATTAATTTAACAGAATTGTTAATTAAAAAGTTAGAAAAATTCAGATTTTCAAAGATTTTAATTTGAAACTTTTTCAAAATTCAATTATTTTTAGAAACTCATTCTATAATACTTCTTATATTCAATTATTATCTAAAACTTTAATTAAAATTCATTTTTAAATCAATTTTTATTTAAAAAATTCTACGAGAATTCAATTATTTAAGTACAGAAAAATCAATAATTTAAAAAATTTTAAATAATTGAATTCTTTCGACGAATTTAATTAAATTTGTATTTAAAATAATTCAAAATCTGCTATGAGTTTTATTATTTATGAAAATAATTGAATGATTGCGTAGAATTTTATCAAAATTTTTTTCTAAATATAATATAATTTTTTTATTTATCAAAATAATTTAATTCCTGAAAAGAATTTTAATATTTATAGAAATATTTGGATTATTGTAAAAAATTTTTTTAAAAAATTTCGAAATAATTGATTTTTGTCTAAAAAATTTATGCAAATTCAATTTAAAATAATAATTGCATTCCTGTAAAATTTTTATTATTTGTAAAAACAGTGGAATGTTTGCGTAGAATTTTATCAAAAATGTTTTTTAAATAATATACTTCTTTTGGGAAATTTTATTAAAATTTGAAATCTTTTTAAAATCCAATTATTTCTAAAAAAATTGCAAATATAGAAATATTTCTCCAAAATTCACTTATTTTTTTAGAGTTTTTAACTAAAATTCTTCTCTAAATCAATTATTTTCTACAATTAAACATAAATTAGAAAATTCAACAAATTTCAAAAGAATTTGAATTTAAACTTTCCAAAAAACTGAGTTTTTAAAAATTTTCTAAATTAAATTTATTGTTAATAAATAAATGCCAATATTTCTAAATTCATTCAAAATTCAAATTTTCTAACATTTCAAATTGAAACCATTTGAAATTTAGTTATTTACAAAAATTGTAAACGCAAATCTTATAAAATTCAATTATTTTTGAAATTTTTAAGTATATTATTTATTAAATAATTTATGAGTAATAATTTTTTTATAGTTCTTTAAGAATTAAATTATTTTAAATAATTTATTGACAAAAATAAACAAAATTAAAGATTTTGTATTAGAATTCGTGGTTATTTAAAATTTTATAAAGCAAACAAAAAGGGCACAAAAATTCAGAATTTTCTTAATAAAATTCCCCGACTTTTCTCTGACCTGTGGCAACCCTGTCTTTTTCTTTTCTTTTCAAAAATTAAATTTTTGAAAAATATGCCAAAAGTCAGCGTTTTAATACTGTAAAAAAATTATTGATTTAAATTTCATTGAAATGAAAATTAGTTTATCTATGAACACAACCTGGTTATTGTTACACGGAAGTCTCTGAATTGAGCCTGAGAAGAAACTTGTTAGACTTAGGATGAGCGAGTTGCTCAGTGAGATTAAAATGTGGCAATCGTTGAATCGTGCAAAGTAAAGCGACTTCACCTTGTCGCAATTGAAATTCACAACCATCGGTTATTAATCGCGATGGTAATTCACCCTCACAAACTAAAGCCCAATGTTGTGATTTTCTTTGTCTCTCCTTTTCGTGCGAGAGAACTGGACTCGATGTGAAGAACGGTTCTAAAAATGCTTTCGGTGCAGCGTCCTGCGCTAAACATCGAGCGAGTCGCGCTAAAATTCCCTCAACCGAATGACGTGGCTGTTGTCGCGTTACTCTCAGGTACTTTTGCAATGATCTTGCCATTGATGGGAATACAGCTTGAGCGGCTTCCATTGGATCCATTGGTCCAGGATTTGGCGCTGAATCAGCGTCCGAATGTAAACGTTTAATGTGAGCGAATGCCTCTTCCGCGGCGGTAATGAGACGAGCTTTCCTCTTGCGAACACGTCTTTCGTAGTCGTGCTCCTCATAGAAACGTTCATTATGACTTGAATCCCTACGTCGGGCTTGGGCCGCGAGAACAGCTCGATCGCCACCATTGCCACTGCGATTTTGACCGCCGCCACTAGTCACCGTTCCATCTACATCGTAGAATTTAAAACTCGATTGTTTCCTACCTGATTTTGAAACTGGCAATCGATCCAAATAGGGATTGTAGATTGAGAACTCGGTGTAATATTTCTCCAGAGCCCATATTGCAGCTCTTTGCACTGATAATTGTCCGATTGCGTATGATCTTGATTCACCGTCCGGGGATCTTACCACCTGAAAAAATACAAATTTTTTTATTTTATCTTAAAAAATAGAAATTTACAGACTTTGCACTTGTTATTAATTGATTTTCAAAAAGTAGCGAAAAGTAGCTTTAAGACTTGAAAGTAGTGCTAAAAAAAAGTAGCTGTCGAAAAATTAAACTTCACGTTTAAAAAAACTCGTTTCAGTCGATTCAATGTAAAAGAAAAAGTAATTTATTTTATTCAGAGTTATCACAAAAAATTCCATTATCTATTTTTTTAAATCTCAGAAAGAATAACAACTTCTTTTCATACTCTGTAAATAATTTCAATTCTAAATTTTTCTAAAATTCAATTATTTTCCAAATTTTTAGTTACAATTCTAGATAAATACAATTTTAAAATATAAAACTTATTTCAATAAAACTTGACAAAATTTTCAATTGTTATAAGATTTAAAAAATTATTTTCGGGAATTTAACGAAAAATTTTAAGTCCAATTTTTCAATAAGCTCATTTATTTCAGAATTTTTAAATTCAATTATTCTAAATTTCAATAATTTAAAGAAATATTTAAATACTTTTTATTTATTACTACCCAAGAATTAAATTTTTTAACATTTTAATTTCAAATCCTCTGTTATTCAATTATTTTCAAAAATTATAACCGGTAATTCTTTCCAAATTCAATTATTTTCTAGAATATTTAATTAAACTTTTTCTCTAAATCAATTATTTTTAATAATTTTTGGAATATTTCTGGAGAATACAATTATTTAAAAAGAAAATACTTAATTTTTTTTATAAATAATTCAATTATTAAAAAAAATTTTTTGACAATTTAAAAAATAAGCAAATTTTTTTAAGTATTTCAATTAAAATTTTTTAATATGTTGATTGCTTTTTCGAAAATTTTAATAATTCTAAAAAATTAAATTAGCGCAAATAAATCCAGCGCTATAATATAGCGCAATTAAAATCAGCGCTATTTAGCGCAGCGCTATATAGTGCAATTAAAATCAGCGCTATTTAGCGCAACGCTATATAGCGCAAATAAATCCAGCGCTATTTAGGGCAACGCTATATAGCGCAAATAAATCCAGCGCTATATAGCGCTTTATTAATTAATTATTAATTAATTATTTAAAAACTTAAACTTTTGGGGTCCCTGATTAAGATTTTTTTCGTCAAAATAATGCAATTTATAATTATTTATCCAATTCAACCAATATTCTTTAATTGAAAGAACTTCAGAAACTTTAAAAATGGAGATGTTTTATGATAAATATTTTATGAAAAAAAATTATATCACAGTATATGTCAGGAATTGTAAACCGTACTATTAGATAAAAAAAATTAACTTGCAAATTATTCCATGTATTATGATTTTGATCAATTGCCGTTTTTTTATTAACTCTAATAGTTAAAAATTTGGATTGAGGGGAATTTGAATCGAATAAAGTTTAATTAAATTAGATTAATTTGGATTAATAAAGTTAAATTCAGTAGTAAAATTTTTATATATTAACGAAACAAGGTGAATAAGTGTTTCCTGAGTTTATGATTATTTTATAGAAAATAAATACTAATTTGTTTATTTCAACGATTAGTCGGTTTAAAGTAGTGAAAATTCTCAAAAAAAGGAGCTTTTTGTTCTTTTCAAATAGCAAATTTTTAAAAAAGTAATAGATAGTAGATTTTAGTTGATGAATGCAAAGCCTGGATTTATTCAAATCTTTTGAAATTTTCGAACTTTAATTTAAAATCAAAATGAATCTTAATTTTGAAAATTGTTGTTCTCTATTTTTGCTTACCTTGAGAAAATACATTGGTTGTAATTGACGAATCTCAATCAATAGGACAGCAATATAATGAATAAATAGTAGCGTATCGGAAAAAGTACTCGCATAGGCTACCAAATTTTTGTAGCCTGATAGCTCCCCATTGGAAACGCTCTTTGCAATCTCTGTCAACTAGAATATTGAAATATTAATTAATAATAATTATAATTATTAATAACTTTAATTAATAATATCCCTTTTTGATAACTTTAATTAATAACAACCCTTCGTAATTATTAATAAGACTTCTTAATAACTTTAATTAAATGATTATAAATCCTTTTTTTAGAGCAAAAATATTATAGTTGTTAAATTACCTGTACAATATAAAATAACCAGTAAGTACAAATACAAAGCATGGTTAAAACAAGAACTCCAGCCCTAAAGAGATAAACTCTAGGCATTGTCGAATATCTAGGCCGTAAAAAGACTGCCCATGTTCCTAGGCCTAATAAAACTAGCTTAAACGTTAATCCAAGAAGTTGTCCTTTACATTCAGCATTACAGGCGAGTAACTCCAATTTTTTCTCCACTGGCAAAACGGACAAATGCTCCGGGAGAAATGCCACTTTTGGCAATATAACCATAGCAATAGGACTTAAAAAGGCGCTTATTCCAAGGAACATTGCTACCATCCAACTAACATAACGATGACACTTGAAACCAAACGAACTCTCCATATCATTTGGCCAATGACTGACATCCTCTGTTGATTCCGATCTATCGGAAGTATTTCCCGTTACTGCAGTTGTATTTTCACCCCAATTTTCATCCTGGGGTAGGATTTGAACCTCGATAACTTCCTGACCCATGTTATCAACACTTTCACCACGTATATTGACAGTTGTTTGAAATGGGGCCATATCATTCGTCTCCAAATTGAGACGATCCTTCCTTTGACCTCGATTACTTTTACTGAAAAATTAAAAAATCATTAAAAATCACTAGTTAATAATTAAATTAACAAATTTTATATTTTCAAGAATAACAGGGTGTCTACTATTTTTGTTCATCAACAAAATTTCCGGCTTTGTCCTAATTGTTCCCTGTTTTCTTTCTAAACAAATTTATATTCATTTTTTGATTTCGAACATAAATAAATCTACAAATGGCTTCAAACATTTTTATTAGTTTTTATGAATAATTAAATACTTTTGACGAGTTTCTTTAAATTTTTTGAAAATAATTTTTTTTTTAAATCATTTTAATTAAAAATTTAGAAAATAATTGAATTAAAGATCCTAAAGTTCTGAACGTTCAAATGAACGAAATTTATTTATTTCTTCTACAAATTAAATTTTTATTGCAATTATTTTGCGTCACTATCCAAAAAATTAATAACTGAGTTTCTAACCGTAAATATTTCAGTTTTTAAATTTTTTGTGATTAGTAATTTATAAAAATATCTTCAATAAAAAATATTTCGTTCATTTGAACGTTCAAAACTTGGGGATCATTTGAATTAAACAAAGAACTTTTTCAATTTTTTAAAATAATCTTGTCTGTTCATAATTATAATTGAAAATTTAATTAATTAAATTTTATTAAAATGTATTGATACTATAAAAAATTATAAAAATTTAACAGAAGTTCAATAATTATAATTATTGAATATTAATATAACTTTTAGAAGCAAAAAATCGATTTAAAACTTTAAGAGGGACTTTAGGTATAAATTATAAAATTCTAGTCAAGAATTCAATTATTTTTGTAAATAATAAAATTCTTCTGAGGAATTCAATTATTTTCAATCACAATTTTAATTAAATTTCTAGGAAAAAATTCAATTATATTCAAGTTAATTTTAATAAAATTTCACTAACAGGTTCAATTATTTTTTTAAATTGTAATCAAATTTTTCTAAACAATTCAATTGTTCTCAAAAAGTTTTGAATCAAAATTCTTTGTAAATTTTAATTATTTTCAAAATTTTCAATTAAAATTACTTTAAAAAATTACATTACTATTTTCAAGAATATTGAAATAAATTCTTAAAAAACAATTCAATTATTTTAAAGAATTTTAATAAAAATCTTTCCAATAAATAAATTATTTTCAATACAATTTTAATTACACTATCTCGAAAGAATTCAATTATTGAAAAAAATGTTGATAAAATTCTTGAAATGAGTTCAATTATTTTCCAATTTTTTTATAAATACTTTGCAAGAATTCAATGATTTTCAATACACTAATTTTAAAATTGAAAATTATGTAAAAAGAAATATTAATAAAAAAGTTAGGAAACAAAAAAGCAAACAACTAATTTCAAACTGCGAACAGATTACAGAAATACAACGATTATTAATATAGAATTTTAACATATTTTTTAAATAAATTTTATAAATAAATTCCAAAGAAATTGATTTTAAGAAATCAATTTCTTCATTGACATTTTTCCCTGAACAAGGAGTCTAAAGATAAGAATTATATAAATATATCAAGGACCTACATATTATATATAGAAATTATCTTTACTCTCGAAAATTGAGAATAATCAATTAGAGTTCAATCAATTGGGTAATAGTAGATTAATAATAAATCGTGAAATCTTAGTTAATTTAGAGTAATGAGGCAGTAAATCAGTAAAAAAAAATAATTGCTTTCAAGGGGGGAATGGGGAAAAAGTGTTTTAAAGAAAAATAATTCTAATTATGCGAGTGGGAATTAATGATACCTTGTGTTTCGATGTGAATTGTGTCGATGATGATATTTGTTGCTATGCGTGCGATGATGATGTTTCTGAGAACCTTTGCTATGAAGGCTATGGCTATGCTCACTAGCCCCTGATTTTATACTCTCTGTCTCCATAACCTGGCACAGGCTATCGCCCAAAATTTACCCGAAACAAGCATTCCCTTCTTTTGAACATTGGCCAAACTACAACCACGCAGACATTTCCTATTTTCGGAAATTTAGTTGAATTTTTTATACCTTGTGGATAATTTTTATAGCACGCTATCCATTGCGTGCTGCCTTCTTGATCCTTTCAATCCTCATTATTATATCCCACGCTCTTCGCATCATAACTTTAGGGACATGTCATCCAGTTAATTTCTCTTTAGCGGCACTTCACTTAGATTTTATCGATGTGCTTTACTTTTTTCGAAATAGTCACATATCATTGGATATTTTTATAAAAAACGACGCCGACACGCCTAGCGTTTATCATTTTCTACCCCTTTTTAACTACACAATCCCTTTTCATTCCGTCGATTCCGTCTTATTACCAGCTCTCTTTCCACTCTCTTTCTCTCTCTTCGTCTTTGACTTCTGCATTCCGTTCCCAAAAGCAGCAACTCGCCGGCAGGGTTTTGTAGCTGTCATAACAAAGTTACACGTAAATCCCTGTAATGCCGTCGACCAATCAGAATCTGTCAAACAGCAGCCATCTTTCGAAAGTTTCCCGCCGTAATTTGAAACTGTTTTATCAAAAACAAACTTTCCAAACTAAAAAAAAATTTAAACTTGAAAAAATTGTTTTGTTTTACTTGTTATAAAATATAATATAAATAATTGCAGAAGAATTTTATTCTATAAATTTAAATTTTACGCAGATTACCAAACTGCCCGTTCTCGTGTCCCGCATGATTATTAACTATACCCATCCCTGCTTATGCTTTAGAGGTTATGTCATGTGTCATTCATGTGCTCGACCGACTCGGCTTATAAACAAATAAACATTAAAGTTTATTATTGAAATTGTTGCCGAAAATTAAAAGGTAAAAATCAGAAAAAAATGTCAGAGAAACAAAAAGTATTAATTTGTGGTGATGTTGAGGGTCAATTTAAATTCTTTTACAAAAAAGTTGATACAATAAACAAAAAGAATGGACCCTTTGATTTTCTTCTATGTGTCGGGAATTTTTTCGGCGAAAATAATATTGAACTTGAACCATTTAAGAATGGAAGTAAATCAATTCCAGTGCCAACTTATATTATTGGTCCCAATCGTGAATCAGATGTGAAACATTATCCCGATCTTAATGGTTCGGAGATCTGTCAAAATCTCACATATCTTGGAAGACGAGGACTTTATACTGCGAGTTCAGGATTAAAAATTGCCTATCTCAGTGGAATTGAGGAAAATTCCTCAGAATTAAAAGACTACTCGTTTAATGCAAAAGATGTTGAGAGTGTGAGAAATACATGTTTAAAAGGACAACCAAGTTATCGTGGTGTTGATTTTTTATTGACATCACCATGGCCTGAGGGTATTACGAATTTAGATCCTAAACAACCGGAAATTAAATATAAAGGATCGAAACTTATTGCCTGGTTATCGACGCATATAAAACCGAGATATCATCTTTGTGCATTGGAGAACGTTCACTACGAAAGACCTCCTTATAGGTATTTTTTTTCTTTTCTCATAAATTATGAAATTTCCACGAATTCTAATACAAAACCTTCAATTTTTCTATTTCTGACTAATTTTTTTTTTAAATAACTTAATTTTTGAAGAACTATCATAAAATTATTACTTACCAAAAATATTTAATGAATAATTTTACTTGAATATTTCAAAATTAATTGAATTTTAAAAGAATTGCGTTTACAATCTTTTTATATAGATCAACTTCAAAAGGTATTAATTTGATTTGAAGTTTTATAATATATAAATTTTGAATGAATTAAATTAGAAATTCCAAAGAACTTACATTTAATTAAAAAGATTTAATTATTAAAAATAATGGATTTATAGAAGAATTTTAGTTAAAAATTCTGGAAAAATGTTTTTAAAGAAATTTCCCCTGAACTTCCTTTTTTCCCTTTTATTCTTTGAAACACGAGAATTTAAATTAATTTGACTTACGTTTTTCACAGAAATCAGAGTAAAACCGAGGATAATATGGAAATAGCAACGAGATTTATGTCATTAGCATCAGTGGGAAATTCAAAGAAGGAAAAATGGCTTTATGCATTGAATCTCACTCCAGTTGATAGAAGTCGTTTATCGGAATTAATAATCAAAACAACTGATGAAACATCCTCGCCGTATTCAAAATCTCTATTGAGTGCAGATCCACTTAATCAGAATAAATCGACAGAAATGGGGAGTACGCAATTTTTCTTCGACATGGATTCTTCTGGTGAGAAGAGAAAAAATAAAAGATCCGATCAACCGAATAAGAAAGCTAAATTTGAATTTGATCAAACAAAATGTTGGTTCTGTCTCTCAAGTCCCGAGGTTTCGAAGCATTTGGTTATTTCTGTTGGTAGTGAAATTTATTTGGCACTCGCCAAAGGCGGTGTGGTCGATGATCATTTTCTTATTTTACCAGTAACGCATCATCAGAGTTTGTCTATTTTGCCCGAAAGTGTGGCAAAGGAAATGAAACTTTACAAGGAGGCTGTGACGAAATATTACGCAACCACCGATCGTGTACCTGTATTTTTTGAGAGAAATTTCAAAACTTCGCATTGTCAACTTCAAGCCATTCCTGTGCACAAGAATCAGGCGTCTGCGCTGAAGGAAACATTCGAGGTTTTTATAATTTATTTTTCCCCTTTTATTTTTTTTCCTTTTATAATCTATTTTTTTCCGTATTACAATTTATTTTTTTCCCTTTCGCATAATTTATATCGTTAGAAGCTTCAATTTTTGTATTTTTGAAATTTATTTATTTAAATTGTTTAGAATTAAAAATTGTAATTTAATTTGTAAATTTTATTCAACAATCTAAAGCATAAAAATAATTACTTATAGATTATTGTAAAAAAATAATTTTTATTACTGCGAACCATATTTAATGTTATTTATTTTATAGGAATTAATACTATTTAATGATTTAATAGGAAGTGGCAGAGTGCAACAATTTTTCCCTAACGGAAATACCAAGAAATTCACAATTACAACAAATAGCACAACAAGGAATGCTTTATTTCTACGTGGAATTGCCTGATGGAGATAAATTGTATCATCGAATCAAAAAAGAATTTCCATTACAATTTGGTCGTGAAGTTCTAGTCAGTGATAGAATTTTGGATATTAATGATCGTGCTGATTGGCGTGATTGTCAAATGGATAAGGATAAAGAAACGGAATTGGCAATGAAAATTAGAAAAGCCTTTCAACCATTCGATGTTGATGTGTGATTCCTGATTTCAATTTATGAAATTGTAAATAATATTCAATTTTTAATAATCAATTTGTATTTTTATCGATAAAATAGAATTATTCAATTGTTCAGAACGAAAATTATAATTCATGTTTTAGGAATTCAAATTTTCGAAAATTAGTTAATTTCTCAAAGAAAATGGAATTTAAAATGTATTTTAAAAATACTTGAAATCTATTTATGAATTAGAAATTATTTCATCTTAAATATTTATTTTACTTTTTTATTCCCTTGCAAATTAAATTTTCATTTTAATTATTTAATCAAATTTTGATTAAAAATTCACATCGACATCCAAATTAAAAATCACATTACATCCAAATTAATTTAAAATTGAAAGCAATTATTCAAATAGTTTATTAATAATAATTACCAAAAGAATTTAAAATTCCCGCCTATGTAGAAAAATTTCAATTCGTGGTTTTGGTATTTATGGTTATGTCATACAACAATAAATTGTTTTTTGGCGTTTCTCACGTTTGGCAAATTTGCAATTTTTTGCATAATGTAATTTCAATCGGTTAGAAATTGATTTTAAAAAAATGGAAATTTGAATAAAAAAAGTACTGTAAAATTAACAATGGTGAAATAATCCTCTACGCATGTTCATCTTGGATTGAACTTAATTATTTTTCTCCGGTCTCCGGCGAAATGGAAATTTTTGATTGAATCATTTATTTCTGAAAAATTAACATGTAAGAATTGAAAGTCAATAATTTTGTTATCTCAACGAATCGTCTCCGTCTTTAAATATTCATATAGAAAATTATTCGATAAAAAAGGAATAAACGAAAGTATATTATAACCTTCAAATTACAGGCTTTTTCACTTATTAGAGGTATGTTTTAAACGTTTTAAATTTATTAATTAAAATTTCAATGAGAGTTGAAATAATAATTGTATTTAGAATTTGCAGGAATTATGAATGAGGAATAATGAATTTTTACTTTGCGAAATTTTTAATTTTCTTGAGAAAATTTAATTTATTAATTTGATTAATTCTATAAGTGTTCTAATTCTTAAATTTGGTAAATTAAATTTTCACAAAGGAATTAATATTCAATTTTGTTAATTTAACATAATATATGATTTTGGTTTGATCTATAAATAATTTCAGCGATTTGTAAAAGCTTGCGTATATTTGGAACTTGTTGAAGACTATTTTGGAGCACAAAAGGAATAGCAATGGCTGATGAGATTGAGTTTAATAATAAATATAAAAGAAGCAAAATTCAAACTTCCAACGATGTAACTGGAAGGTTTTCCTCTAAATTTAATAGTGGAAACTAGTTGCATTACCGATCATGTTCAAGCGGATTTTATATATCAATGTCGCCACTATTGGCTCGAAAATTGTGGGTTTCATAGCACCATTACTTATTCCACCGTTGCATATTGCTTTTCTTTATTATTTCTGGCAAGATTTTGCTCGAGATGTCGATAAGCAATATTGCTCTTGTTCTTGTTGGGACACTGTTTTTAAAGGTAAAATTTATACCTAAAGAATAAATAATTCTATATGCAAATTTTTATTCCCACTTTACACTGAAAACAAAAAGCTTATTTGATAGAAATACAAAACGATTACTTGTCTATTATCAAATAAATATTTACTTGAAACAAATAATTTTTATTTAAACCAATAAAATTTTATATAAATTTGCTCCTAGTAATAAAATTTTTGATACAATTACAATTTATTTGATTTAAATAAAAATTATTTGATTTTAGTAATTTTTTTGATAATAGATAAGTAATCGGTCGTTTAAATCAAATTTTTTTTCCGTGACAGTTTAGACAGAGTTTTTTAAATTAAAATATATCAATAAAGTATTCAGGCCTCGAATATAATTATTTTTTGAACTTTTTTTTACTATTTCCAAAAAAAGGCGACTTTTTTTCAAAAAATGCAAAAAAATGCGAAAAATCGTCAAATTAAGAACTTGAAAATAAAAATTAATGAAAATTATCTTTATACAAACCATGTATTTTTATATTTATAATTTCAATTCTTAAAAACTTTATTTAATTTTTTTTTCTCCGAAAAAACAATTTTTTCTAAAATTTCAATCATTTTTTAATATGTTAAGGGAAAATTTATTGTCTTTTAAAAATTATTTGATATAATTTTAAAAAAAACTAATTTTAAGAATTTTTAGAATAATTTTTTAAATATCAATTATTTTCAATATTTTTGGTTAGACATTTTCAATAATTCACAGTAATAACTGTGAAATATCGGAAAATTATTAAAAATAATTGATTTAGAGAAAAAATTCAGTTGATACTTCTAAAAAAATAATTGAAGTTTGAACGAATTGTAGTTGTAATTTATTTAAGTAATTGAATTTTAGAGGATTTGAAATTGAAATTCAAGAAATTGTAATTCCTGTCAAAAAATAAATAAAAAGTATTTAAAAATAGATATTTATTAAAATTATTTAAAGTTTAAAAAAAATTAAAATTAAAGTAATAAAAATAAGAAATGAAAAAAGCTTTGACGAATTGAATTTATAAATGGCCTGAATATTTATAAAATACTTAAAATTAAAATTACAAAGCAATAAAAATTAAAAGCAATTAAAATTAAAAAGTAATCGGTAAATTTTTGATAATTTGATAATTATAGAATTGAAATTACAAAAATGTGGATCTTTTCAGGTTCGTACGAGTCGGGAATTGCCTCCTATAAGCACATGTACTTTAATGCAACAGCGAATACATTGAAAATATGGATATCAATTGTTTTTGGAGTGATCGTGTTCTATGAGACGGTGAAATATTTAACATGGTTAGCATTCCAAAATCGTCTTCGAACGAGTATGATAGTTCTCTTCCTGTCTGCTGTCTTCTCGCATTATTACTCATGGTGGGTCTACATCAATTATTGGAATGACGACTTCTATTCACAATGGTACCATCAAATGTTCTTCTCCGTCACCGAATTGGTATCGACAATTCTCGTGATACATTTGGCTGACGATAAAAATCCAGTTACACATCGAATAGCATTTGGAATCAGTGCTATTGCACTTATGCATATACTCGCTGGAGGTTGGGATCAATTTGTGACGAATGTGGTCAGAGGTGAAGGATACGCGCACCAGGTGAAAACATTTTTTTTAACTATATAAATTCTATCTTCTATTCTATAAAAATGTAGAATATAACTTTTTTCTAATAATTGTAGATTATAATTTAATTAGATAGAATTTTCCTCTTTCCAGTTTTTTTTTCTTTTTTGAAATAACTTTTTTCTATTGGCGATTTTTCCTTCCTTTTTTTTCTAGAAAATTCTTATAAACAATCCGAGCTTCTTTTCATATATTGCTTCATCTGTTTTCTCATAGTGCGAGCCTTTTTATTAATTACAGTGTTGCCACAGGTCAGGGAATTCAGGAAATAGTCAGAAAATTTAATCAAAAGTACTGAAAAAATGTAAAACTTCTAGAATTCATAAAAATATTCAGAACTTTGTTTTCCATCAGTATTCACAAAAAAAAGAGACGATTTAATTCAACTGTAAATTTATTCTGTTTCTGACAATAATTGAAATTTTCGGAAACTCGAAATTGAATTTATTTTAAATAATTAATTTCTTGAAGAACTATCGTAAAATTATTTATAAATTATTTAGGGAATCATTTTTCTTGAAAATTCAAAAAATAATTAAATTATTTTTAACATAATTTTAATTAAATTCATGAAAAGAATTGAATTAGTTCCCAAAAATGTTAATAAAATTTATAATAACAATTATTAACAATCAGGATTATTTAAAATTTTTTAAAGAAATTCTTCGTAAAATTCAATTACTTTCAAAAATTTTACAAAAAATCTTATCAAGAATTTAATAATTTTCACGAGTAATAAAATTCTTCGAAGAAATCTGAATTTCAATTCCATTTTAATACAATTCCTTTAATGAATTCGATGATTTCAAACAACTTTCAATAAAATTCTGAGAAAAATTCAATTATTTCATAAAGAGTTTCATAAATTTCAAAAATCAAAATTTTAATTACAATTATTTCCAAAAAATTTCAATAAAATTGAATAATGGAATTTTTAATTACAATTATTAAAAAATCGGTTATATGAAGAAAGTTAAAGGCATTTTTTGAAAGAATTCAATTATTGTCAAAAAAGTTAATATTATTCTCCGAAAGAATTCAATTATTTTTATAATTTCAATAAAATTGCTTCAATGAATTCAGTCATTTTGAAAAAACTCGATTATTTTAAAAACTAGACAGAAATTCTTTATAAATTTCTATTATTTTTAAAAATTTAATTATTTTTAATTAACTTTGATAAAATACTATATAAGAATTGAATTATTTTCCATTAAATTCCTCGAGAAAAGTGCAAGAATTCAATTATTTTCCATTAAGTAAATTCCTTGAAAAAAAGTGCAAGAATTCAATTATTTTCATAAATATTACATTTCTTCATAGGAATTTAATTATTTTTCACAGAACTGTAGTAAAATTTGTTGAAAGAATGAAATTATTTTAGAAAATCTTTAATAAAATTCTTGGCGAGAATTCAATTATTTTCAAATATTTTTTATCGCAAAATTATTCTCTAAATTTGTAGGTAGCAAAGATTTGAATTTTCAAGGAACTTTCTCCAAAAATTATTAAAAATAATTGATTTAGAGAAGTTCAGTTAAAAATTTTAGAAAATAATTGAATTGAAATTTTGACAAACAAAGGAGTTACATACATTTTTTTGTGTATCTAATTATTTTTAGATTGAATTATTAAAATATTCTTTAGAGTCCAGGGAGAAAGTTAAAATTCTGCCTGAAAATCAGAGAAAATTAAAATTGAATTTTTGTGGCAACCCTGTAATTATATTTTCAATATGCTGAAAAAATAGTGTTTTTTCTTCTGTATTAGATATTAGAGAAAAAAGTAGTTGCGAAAAATTATTTTTACATAATAGATTTAGTAAATATTAATTATTATAGGTCGTTCGCGATCTTGGCTTCATGATTCCCGATATTCTGCATGTAATTATACCTTTGTGGTCATTACGATGGAGATCCATCTACAGTCTTCCCGGAGCTGGTTTGAAAGATCCTAATATCAAACGTGATCTTACTTTCATGTTAGGAATGGTTCTTATCGGTTTACTTATTTGTGCCATTTTATAAATTTCCTTTTATAATTCGAAGCAAAGATATTTTTTAAGAAACAATTTTTTAGAAAGCACTTTTTTTTAAAAAAGCAATTTTATTTGCTTTCCTTAGTCATTTGTAAAAGTATGAAAGTCTCAATTTTCTTTTGAGTAAAGAAAGCGATAGTTATAGTTTCCCCTTAGAGAACAAATGTAATTGTTAGGTATCACCTCTAGTCAAAATATGTATAAGAATAAGAGATAGAAACTGAAAGTTTAAAAAAAACGTAGGATGAACTCAAGACAACGTAACAGTATTTTTAGGAATATAGTTGATCTAGTTATTTAAAGCAAAAAAAATCTATAGAAATATCAAAATGTTAGTAGTGCAGTAATCGTTGGTATTTAACTCCTCCCCCTGCCCCTCTATCATATCATTTTCCCTATTTTATATAGTACTTTTACAATTATAATTAATTCACCCTTTATCGTAGTGTAACTTTTTATAATCGCGATTTTTTTCTATATTATTGTTATTACAAGGAGAAACATAGTTTTTGACATTTTACTGATTGAAAAAGAAAAAAAAAGAAATTGTTTTGTCTCGGTGAACAATTAAAAGTGAAAGTTTTAAATATTATTTAATTTCAATAAGACTGAAAAATAAAATTTTTAAACTGACTGCGGAGAAAGTATCAAATGGAAGCGAAATTCGCTAATGAAAAATCAAAAAAAAAACTTTTTACACGAATCAAAGAAACTTGCTTTGTGAATTTTTAAATCAAACGTGAAAAATCAATATTGTGATTATTATAAAATGTAAAGTGCCTATAAATTTTTCAATTTTTTAACTAATGTGTATTATTACTTTTGTATACAAAAAAAAATATCAATAAGCGTAGGCACTATTGATGAAACTTTATACAATTTTGAAAGAATTTTCTACATATTGATATTATTGTTATTATTATTAAATTGAATCAATTAGTTAAATTAAATTAATTAGTTGATTTAATTTAAATTATCAATTTTAATTACTATTAGTTAATTACTAAAGGGCTGTCACAGAAATTTAATTCTGTTTTTTACTTTTTCACAATCAACTATTTCTAAAAATTTACGCTATAATGATTTTAATATTCAATTATTATCTAAAATTTAAAGTAAAATTAATTTTTAAATCAATTTTTATTAGAAAATTCTACGAGAATTCAATTATTTAAATACAAAATTAAATAATTTATTGAAAAATTGAATGTTTTTTAAAATTGAATTCGTCGAAAAAATACAATTAAAATTTTATTAAAAATAATAGAAATTCTGCGATGAATTTGATTATTTATGAAAATAATTGAATCCCTGAAAAGAATTTTTATATGTATGAAAATAATTGAATTATTGCGAAGAATTTTATAGAAAAATTTTAAATAATTGAATTCCTGTAGAAAATGTATTATTTATATATTTTTTATTATTTATGAAAATAATTGAATCCCTGAAAAAAATTGTAATATACATATATGAGAATAATTGAATTATTGTGAAGAATTTTATAAAAAAATTTTAAATAATTTGCAATAAATTTTATTAAAAGTTTTGAAAATAATTAATTTTTGGCGAAGGATTTTGCTATTTATAGAAATAATTAAAATCTTGACTATGATTTTTAAAAAATTCTTGAAATTCATTTTTAACTCAATTTTTATTGGAAAATTCTACGAGAATTAAATTATTTAATTACAAAAATAAATAATTTATTGAATAATTGATTACTTCTTAAAATAAAAAATTATTTTTGAAATTTTTACAGAAAATTATTCATTAAATAATTTATAATTAATCATTTTTTTATATTTCTCTAAGAATTAAATTATTTAAAGTAAATTATTGGCAAAAATAGAAAAAATTTAATCTTTTGTATTAAAATTCTTGATAATTTCAAAGTTAATAGGACAAACAAATAAGACACCAAAATTCAGAATTTTCTTATGAATTCTAAATATTTAATTCTTTTCGATTACTTTTTAATAAAATTCCTTGATTTTTTCCTGACCTGTGACAACCCTGTACTATTACTATTAATTCAGTTAATGATTAATTTCATTTTCACTAAAGATTTTCTAGTCAATTTTCAAAGAAAATTATTTTTATCTCTCGTTTTGTTAAATTTGAATTTATTTCTGATCCAAAGAGAAAATATCAAATTACGTCCATTTAAGTAAGAATCATTGTACTGCAATTATCATTATTAGATATAATCGAAACAGAAAAAAAAACATGTATACACTGTAACAAAATATCATTCGAATTTTATAGAATTATTCAAAACAATTCGCAACAATTCAACGAAATTCATCATATTATAAATACTAAGGAAAAATCAAAAATCTAATTTTGAATTTTTATTCATCAATAGAGTTAGAGTAGATTTAATAGGATAATGGAATGAGTTTTATTTACAAATAATTATGTATTTATCATACATTTTTTTTGCTAAAAATTGATCTTTTATTTCATCTCAATTTGCGAACTTTTTGAATAGTCGAAAAATTCGACACAAAAAATTTAAAAAAGTAGAATATGTAAACGACACTTCGCTCAAAAATTCGTTTCTTTGAATATTTTTTAGTTGAAAATATTAAGTTTACATAATTTTAGAGTAAAATAATTTCGAATTTTGTACAAGATGCAAATTGTTAAATATTGTTAATCTTCCAATTTTTGTGTTATTATTGTGAAAAAATGAGGAAGGATAGAATCAGCAAGTGTAATAGACAAATAAAAAAGTAATAATTGCAACAAGGAGAAAAAAAATAATTTCTGTAAAATTCATTTCTTTTTTTTTATTTTGTATTTATTTTCTATTTTATTTTCCATTTTATTTTCTATTTTATCTTCTGGTATTTTATCTTCGATTTTATTTTCTATTTTATCTTCTGTTTTATTTTCTATTTTATTTTTCTTGCATCTAAATTTTTGTTCTCTAATTTTTATTTTCTTTTATATAAATATAAAAATTATATTTAATTATAATTTAATTATATTTAATTATATTGAAATTATATTTAATTATATTAAAATTATATTTAATTATATTAAAATTATATTTAATTGTAGATACGTATTTTATTTTATTGTGTGTATTTGTATTTGTATCTTTCTTTTTACAGAAGTTTTCAATTTTTATTTTACAATGTTTTATGATTAATACATTGTATCATCATCGTCGTCATCATCAAATGAGGGAATTTAAGGGAAAATTTATCGTGGAAGGCGCAGGCTTCAAATCGATTCCATCACCCACCTTTCACCCCCAAAAGAAAATGTAGTGAGTCCGTCGACTCGGGGTGATCCGAGAAGTGATCAAAGCAAATATGGCGCTAGATTTTGCTGCCACTTATAAAGTTCTTGTTCTTGGAGATTCTAATGTTGGAAAGACCTGCATTGTTCATCGATATTGTGATGAACGTTATTATGACACCTACATATCTACCATTGGTGAGCTTTTTTTTTTATTAGAAAATTGCCTTCAATTTTTCAGACAGCAATTTTTTTCTCATAAACAATAGAAATTTATTACTTCGGTTTTTTTTATCATATTGTTGATATTTAACTAGAAATATATTGTCATTTATAAACTATTTGTTTTGAAATGTATTCTTTTAAATATATTCTTTTAAATATATTTTTTAAATATATTTTTTAAATACGATTTTCATAAATATAATTTTTTAAATACAGAACAAATTTACTATCTAATCTTGCTATTTATGAGCCTCTTTCATTTTTATCGTTTTTATTGATATAAATTAATTAACTTGTAATTTTACAATTATAATTTTCACATGTAAGTTGATAACATATCGGTCGTTGTTCATTAAAAATAAATTTGTCATAATTATTTCAATTGGGATTAAAATTAAATTCAGTGAAAAGAATTTCTAGCGTTTTTGTATCGAGAAGTTGAGATTTATTTCAAGAAAGGTTATAGGTAGTTGTTACCTCTGTAGTTATTAATGTTGGAAAGTAAAAATAGATGAACTATATGATTCGAGTCAAAGGTTCATTGTATAATGAACTTTCTTTTTCTAATGAATGAAAACTGAATGAAAACTGAATGAAGTTATTAATTAATATTCATTTATGAATAATTTATTATTGAACTGATTAATAATTCTTTCGCTTAAGAAGAAATTGTTTTTGTATAAACTTTTGTATAAACTTTTCATTGAAAATTTTTTTAATTTTTTTCGTCGTTTCTTTCTTAAAAAGTGTATTTTTGAAATAATAATTTTTGTTGATATTTTTTGCAGGTATCGATTTCAAACAAAAAATCATCAATCTTGATGGGACTCCGATAAAACTTCAAATTTGGTAAATATTCATTTTCGGAAATTGTTTTTATTTTCCGTTTATTTATTAATGGGAGGATACACTGATATTTTTTAACTATATCAAGAAAATATTTATAATTATAATTGAATTCTTGACAAGAATTTTTGTAAAATTTTTGAAAATAATTGAATTTTTGCCAAGAATTTCTGTAAAATTTTTAAAAATAATTGAATTCTTTTGGGAAATTTTATTAAAATAGTGAATATGTCTTGAAAATCATTGAATTGAGAAAAATTTTTGTAAATAATTGAAATTTTGCTAAGAATTTTATTAAATTGTATGAAAATAATTGAATTTTGTGAAGTATTTTGCTATTTAAAAAGAAAATTGAAATCTCGATGAGGATTTTTTAAAAAAAATTTTGATAATAATTCAATTTCTGCGAAGAATTTAATATTTTTTTTAAATAATTGAATAATTGAATTCCTGCGAATAATTTTGTTATTTATGAAAATAATTTAGTTTCTACGAGGAAAGTAATTTCAAATTATAATTTTTTAATATTTTTCTTTGTTTAAAAAAATATGATTTGAAATAATATTGAAATGTTTAATAATATTTTAATTAAAAATTGTTTTTAGACTAAAAACGCTAAAAAATATTATTGTTATTCAATTGTTTAATTTTTATTTACTCTGTTTATTTCAATTTCAATTTCATTTCAATTTTTCTTTATTTTTGTATTTTATTTTCATTTTTCTAACTATAATTTTAAATCATATTCATTTTTAAGTAAAAAATAAAATAGTATTAGTTAATATATTATCTAATTGATATTAATTATTATAAATATTTTTTAAATGGCTTCAAAAATAGTAAAAATCGAAATTTTCTTTTGGCAATTTTTTTGTGGATACAAATTCTATGGAATATTTAAATTATTTCCTTGATATAGTTATCTATATTTTTAAACGTTTTTTCAAAAAAATATTTTAATAAATAATTAAATAATAGTATTACAAAAAAATATTTATGTAAAAACTTTTATTATGCAACCAATAAGAAAAATCAGAAAAATATACTATTTTAAAGATTAATTCTTTCTCCTCGTCACATGTTTTATGCGACCAACAGATGTCGCATAGATATTAAGATTAAAATGTCTCTCAGAGGCGGTGAAAATTCTCTACTGTTCATATATAAAGACTTTGAAAATGGTTGATTTACAGGAGAGTCCGATACTGCTCAGGAAACTGTCAGTTAATTCTCGATCCAGAAATTTGCCGATATTCTTGGTCAAAATATCCAAATCTTCTGTCAAAAATATTGTGTTTCTTTACAATTGCTGTCGACTGAGATATGTTCTCCTGCGATTGATCCTCTCGCTGAATTACTGGCAGGAGTATATTAACACCCTCTTTAAAGAGGAAGTTTTGTTAATGTTTCCGCACACGCGTTCATTCATTAGAATGCGATTAGGACCCAGTAAGAAGGCAGAGATTGTGATCACCAGGATTTCGAAGTCACAGCAAAGATAGAGTTTCACAATGGTCGAGTAATTAATTGACACAAAACAAAAGCGAGTCGTGAATTTTCCACTTCTTCGTTTACTGTGGCAGTGACAAAGACTCTTTTTTCGAAAAAAAAATAATTCAACTCTACGAGATTTTAAATAAAATTACTTTTATTAAATATTTAAAATAATTGTTCAATGAAAATTTTCAATTTTTAGGGACACCGCTGGCCAAGAGAGATTCAGAACATTAACAACAGCTTATTATCGCGGTGCAATGGGAATTCTTTTAATGTACGACGTCACTAGTCTCGAAAGTTTTAATCATCTCTCGTATTGGCTTCGTAATATTCAAGAGGTATATTTTCAGAATATATTTTTTTAATGTTTTAAAATTATTTTTTAAAAGAACTATAATGGAATGAATTTCTTTGTATTTTTAACGATTTCTTTGTAATTTTCCGTAGAATGCATCTCCAGACGTTGTTAAAGTTCTCGCTGCCAATAAATGTGATGCATCGTTAAATAGAATAGTCGAAACAGAAAGGGGACAGAAAATAGCTGAGAATTTTGATATGCCTTTTTTTGAAGTTTCCTGCAAGGAAAATGTTAATATTGAAGAGGCTTTTCTTACACTGGCGAGAAGAATACGAGAGCAACGAGGACGAAGGGTGATTTTAACATAAAAAAAAATTAATTTGATTTTATAATTTTTCTAAAATTTTCGTTTCTCTGAATAACTTTCAAATAGTTTCCCACTTAATCTGGGTTGCTAAGGGTTGGGAAAATCAGGAAATTAAAAAGAAAGTTTTATAATTAACCCTGTTAATTAATTTTCGTTAATTAAAAATAATACTTTGCTAATAAATGAACGTTTATTTATTCAGGCAAGTTTATTCGAGGCTTCTGAGAGAGAGGATGCCAACAGCATAATAAAAGCCCAATCACCATCACAACAAAGTGACTCCTGGAAATGCTCTTGTTAGCCAAATAATTGAACAAAAAAAAATAATCATGAATTTCTAAGGGAGAATTTCCCTTAAATTCAAATTCATCGAAGCTCACAGAAAGTCAATCTTAATTTGATTGATTGTGCAAAAGGAATAGAAAATTTTTTATATTATTCTCTACATAAATGGTGTTTAAAAAAAAAGAATTCAAATCGAAAAAAAAATATTCTGCACAAAGAATCATATCCGAAATTCTAAACAACACAATTTTACAATCATCTTTCTATTATTATTTTTTTATAAGACAAAATAGATTTAAAAACACTTTTTAATAAAATATGCATTAATTTTTGAGTATAAAATTCTCATGCACAAAGAAATTGAAATGTTTCAATAAATAAAACAAAGTTTGTAATTGGAAAAAAAATTTCGTAAATATTACGAAAATTTTTTTTACGGCTTTTGATATTTGCCTTTTTAAGTCGATATAAAAAAATTTGTATTAAAATATTGTCTGAATTTTTATATTGCGGACAGACAAATTTTTTTACATGACAGAAGAAAAAAAAATGTTATTAGATGATTTTTTAAGGCCTAAAAAATAAAATGATATACAAGCGATATTTGATCTTGGAGGCGCGTCTAATATTTACATTATTTATTTCGCCAACTTGGCGAATAAATAATTGTATAATCGAAAGACTTCATCAAGCGCATTGTGATTTCCGTCAAGAATTGAGACTATTGAGAGATTTTTAAATCGTAATTAATATTTTTCAAAATATCCAATTTATTCCAATCTTGAGAAATAAATTTCACTAAATCTCTGTTTTTTTTTTGAAAATTTGACGAAAAAGAATTGAACAAAATGGAATTTTTGGATATTTTCAATGAAAAATAAACATCTCTTTATCGAGGACCATTCTTTAATTCTCTAAAAAATAAGCAGCGTGTAATTATAGAAAATGTTAACACAATTGTTAAGCGATATTTTTTAAAAAACATAATTTCATATTATTTTATTCTATAATTTAGAATTTGAATATTTCGGATTCAATTTCTTTTCTTTAAAAATTGAAAAATTCTGTTTCTAAATTGAATTTATAAAGAAAAATTTACAGTTTCGTATTTCGTTGAAAAATAATAAATAAAAAAAACGAGATGTACAAGTATTCTAGCAATGCACTAATGCAATGCGCTAGTTTAAGACCACCAAACACAATATATTTAATTAACGCTTAAGAGGAACGTGCATTAATTAAATTGCACGATCGCACAACGTAAATTTCGTAGATAGCATTGTTGTTCTCTTAAAATAAAACAGAAAAAAAATAGAGTCGCATTTCGTATCTTCGTTTATGCTGGCAGAAACACAAAGCCTTTGCCTTTATTGTGCCTATAAACGAATGTAAAAAAAAATATATTAAGCTGCTTTTTATAATTAATCGTATCACATGCAAAATTTTACGGACAACACGAATTTAAATTGGCCTCTCACCAAGAAAAAAAAAACACTTTCTAAACTTTATGAAAATTAATACAAAGCACTAATTTTCTTTTACCGTTTTTTCTGATTAGTATTATACGTTAGGATAGAGATAAATAGATGAATTTTGATAAGTGTTCAAGTAGAAATAGAGAACAAGAATTTAGACTGATAATTTAAAATCCCCCTCCCCCACCTAAATTTTGTTGCACTCTCCTGTAATTAATTCGAATTGTTAAATTTATTAATTAATTGTTTAACTAATTTAGTAGATTGTTTAGTATATTATTGTTTATAATAATCTCATTATGTATATTACTGTAGCTATACAAAGACTTATGAGTAATTAAAGTTTTACATTAAAAATATAGTTTTTTAACGAAAAATGAAAATTGGATACTGTTTCAGATTTTTTTTATTTCTTTAGATTTATTTTTTTTAAAAAAGAAAAACCAAAGCAGGTCTTTGGAAATAATGGCAATTTTTTTCTACCTAAACGACAACATATTTATTTTGTCTTCAATAATTTTTTTTTGTTATTTCAAGAATTTTTTGTATTTATTTTTTGAAAAATTCTAATAAATATATATATGTTTATCATATAACCATTGAACTTTTTAAGACTAGAACTTAAGTTTGTAGATAAAATGTATAATTTCATAATTTGTCAATAATAAAAATGCACACTTTCTACTCAAGTTGTACAATTAATTAATTTTATTGGTCTTTAATATAATTTTCTTTTTGTTATTGACAATAATTAAATTCTATCGAAGTCTTACTATAATTGTTTTGAATGTAATCGTTTTTGTTAATAATTGTAATTAATAACTTTATTATTAAATATTTAAATTACTGACACAAAATTCAATTTTTTTATTTGATTAAAATTTTATTATTTAACAAGATTTGAATTTTATTACAGTTTTGGAAAATTATTAAATTGAATTTTATGATGAATTTCTTGCAAGTTTTTAAAATAATCGTATTTGTCAATAATTGCAATAAAAACTTTAAAAAACTTAAATTCAATTCTATTAAGAATTATTTTTGAAAATAATTAAATTCTTCCTTAGATTTTATTAAATGTTTTTTAAATAATTCAATACATTCGACGAATTTAATTAAAATTGTATTGAAAATATTTAAATTCATTCGAGAAATTTTGTTAATAACAATAATTAATAAAATAATTAGTTAATTATTTAAATTATTGAAAAAAATTAAATTCTTTTGAAGAATTCCTTAAAATTTTGCAAAATAATGTAATTTATTTTTGGGAATAATTAAATTTTTCCCAGAATTTTATTAAAATTTTTAAAAATAATTGAATCCTTCCAAGAAATTTTATTAAAATTGTTTTGAAAATAATTGAATTCTTGCAAAGTATATTATTACAATTTTTGAAAATAATAAAATTCTTTCTAGAAATTTATTAAAATCTAGAAAATAATAAATAATAATTAACATAGTTATTAAGTAATTCTTCTAAAATATTGAATCGCATAAAATTTGCTATATATTATATTTTGTAAAAATACAATAAACATTTTTGTTAGATCTAAATATTAATATACATTGAAATATACATTTAAAATTAACGAAAGAGATAATCATGAAAGAAATGTATTTACCCGACTTTTTGCTTTTTTGACAGGTTTTATAATGGAAGCACTTATACGTTTTATTTTTCTCTTCGCATTTGGAGATTTAATTTCTTCTTTCGGTTTTAAATTTTCCTCTGATGGGTTATTTGTAGGTAGACTAGAACTAACATTCTCTTGTTCGAATGAATTCGATTCAGAAACTTCCTTTGTTTCTTCTTCCTTAATCTTCATTTCAACGGAAATCTCATCCTTATTTTCGGTTTTAATTTCCACTTTTTCAGAATTACTGCTGTAAAATAAAAGAGTGAAAAAAAATTTGTAATTAAATTTAATTTAAATTAAAATTAAGTTTTAGAAATTTTAATTTAAAATTAAATTAAAATTATACGAACCTGAAATTCAACTCCTCGGCTTTATTGCACATATTGAATAGTGTTCTAAAAGTACATTCATCGCCTTCTTCCGTCTTTATTTCTTTTATTTTTAAACAATCCTCATTGAATGGTTTGGTTTCAATATTTTCTAAAAGAAAATGTATTTTTAATTTATTTTACATTAGACAACAAAATAGTTCCATTGAAAATTTATCAATATATTTTATATTTACTCACTTCGAATTAGTTTTGCACCCTCTGATTTGTATTCTGCAATTTCCTCGTCCTTCGCTTTAATAATGTTTAAAAGAAGATAATATTTATCAATCAAATCCATTGAAATTGTGGAAATTGATTTTGTGATTGTCTCATAAAATTCCTCATTACTTCCTCTATTCAAATTCAATTCGAATTTTAATTTGCCACCCTTAATATTATTATAAAGAATTATTTTATAACTATTTGTCTCTTCCACTGCAGAGTCCAGAATTTCTGGAATTTGAGATAAAATCTCTTCTATTGTTTTCTCAATATTTAGAGCCTCGATTTTTAAAAGAGGATTCAGTGCCTGAAAAATAAATATCGTTTCTATTTCAGTTTGTGGAAAAATTATATTTATTAAAATTGAATAAATGAAGTAAAAAAACACCTTGCATCTCTGTAGAATTGTTTCAATTGTTAATTCCTCATGCCAGAGGGTTACAAAATCAGTTAAAGAAATCGTATAAACATTATTCTCTTTTTTAGAAAGAAATCCATATTGTTTGTTAAGAATTTTAACAGACTTCCACATTTTTATTTAAATTAATTACGCAGTACAGTACTGACAGAGAAATAAACAAATGTAAACAATTGAACATAACCTAGAATTGACAATTTGACAGTTAAAAAATGACAGCTTTGTCCTGAATCTGATTGGTCGGCTAGAAACTTTCTTTCCAAAATTTCCCTAGAGGTTAGGAATTTTTGAACTTCATTTTTCAGTTGGTACTTCTGACACAACAGTTAACAACAGTTTCGAAAGTTTTACCGGAAAAACAATTTTCATTATTTTAATTAATTTTATTATTTTTTATTAATGAGTGAACAGTTCATGAAGTGTAATCATGTCAATAAGTGCATCTTTCCATAAAAATGTGTCTCTGCTTATACAAGCAGTTCCACCAAGTTATGACTTCAAAAAGCATTACCGAGATGTTTGTATTATTGTTTAATAATTGTTTATTACTTTATTAGTTTATTTATTTACTAATTTTATATAATTACCTCTATGTTAAGTACTTTAGAGAAAATTACTTGTTTCGTAATTTTTAAATAACGTTTATTTAGAATCTTTTATTTGGTATAATTTTAGGTTAGATTTAACGCTTGTCAAAAGTCAAACTCTGCTTGAATTAAAGAATGCTCTACATTTAATGAAAGAAAAAAAATATTTCTTTGTTTGGAAATTACTGAAAAAAAATTGTATTTTTAATAATAGAAATTACTTTCTATAATAGAGACTATAGTTTGTAAGCATAATAATAAGAAATATGTTTTTTAGGGAATGTTTGAGAAGCCAAACACAGCAGGATTTATATACGTTTCACATTATCTTTTGTCAATATACGATCCTGATACTATGAAAAAAATGATAGAATGGCCAGTTGTTTGTAAAAAATCCGAAGCAAAATATCGAAATGATGTTAAAGAAATTTTAAATGTAATAGCAAACGATAATCCAGATATTGGTTTTCCAACTGTTCTTCCTTCCCTTCTACTAAGTCCAGGAGGAACGAAATTTACAAAAGTCATGTGGAAATTGTCTCAAGTGGCATTAAAACAATATATAAAAAGACAAAGTAATTTTAAGCAATAATTTTCTACATGCAATTTAATAATTACGAATATTAGAATATTATTAATAATTTCATTTTTTAGGTGATCACGAAGTTTTGTTTACTCCGAAAAAAGGAACTGCGGAAGAATTGACGGAAAATTTAATCAACAATATTATACACGATCTAAATAACAGTAATATGCACAGTCATATGAATTTATTGAAAGAAGAAGTGAAAGCCCGAGAATATACAGAGTAATGTATTTTAAATTAAGAAGCGATATTTTTCTTCTTTTTTAAACAATTTTATAACTCTCGCTTGCGCGCAAAACACAGTCTTTATTTTAATAGTCTAGAAACAATTTTTAATTAAAATTATTCTTCAGAAGAATTCAATTAATTCCAGTATAATTTTAATTAAATTTCTTAAAATTATTTAATCATTTTCAAAATTTTTTAATAAATTCTTTTCCATTCTCCAGAGAGATGAACGAACAAATAAAGAAAACGCAAAAAGAGATTTTTGAACAACTGGAAATTGTGTCATCAATAGCAACAAAAGCACCAGTTCATCCGTCTTTCCAGAAAAAATTGCTAGACATTGATGACGACGAAATTATTCAAAGTGGGATTTACTCGTAAACTTTATTATTTTTTCCTCTTCTTTTCTCAAATGAAATTAGTAATATTTTTAAATTATTTACAGTGTGGAAGGATGATTTAAAGCAAATGTTAGACTATTGTAAAAAGAAGATACAAATACTGAAAAATATTGAAGAACTCAGTAAAATTGTATTCACCATGGCATCAAATATAATTAGTGATACGACAGTACTCAATATAAATTTTCTACCAAAACTCCATGTGAATACAATTGCAGAATTACCATTGGCTAAAATTAAAGTGAGTAATTTTGTAAAATTTTAAAATAAAAAAAAAATAATTATTAAATAATATATATATAGTAATGATGCTATCACTCGGTCGATAAAATATTAAGATGATGAAAAAAATCGATCACTCCGAGTCAGGATATCCTGACTCGGAATGATCGATTTTTTTTCATCATCTTAATATTATTAAATAATGTTTATATCAATAAAATTGTTATTTTTTCCAGTTTCTTTCGCAAAATGTTTACACAAATGGAAATTTGAATATAAACAATTATTTTCTTCTATTTAACGCAATAATTGAATATTTCGGTTCGCACATTAAGAACAATGGTTTTCTTGATTTCTACAATTGTCTCTCACAATTAGAAGCGAGTAATTCAGATTTGAAAATAATGAAAGAATATTTTTGTGAATTGCACGCAAAAGTTGTCGAATTTTCTTCGTATACACAACAAAAACCAGAAATATCAACTGAATTTCATGACATTGATAATGAATCATTAATTGCTTATTCGAAATTAAAAAATGTTATGTTCATGCCATCGCCACCAATTCAGTTTAATTCAAATGAAAGGCACGAAGTTCACAATCGATTGAAACTCACACCTGTCGAAGGTAATTTTCGGTTTACTTTTCTAACTTTTTTTTTCAAATAATAATTTAATTTTCCACTTATTCTTTACAGGAGTTCATAAACAATTATTTTTGAGATACAACAAAAATAAGGACGGTTCAATGATGAATGCGTCAAAAGTTAGACAGAATTTAGTAATTACAAGAATTAATTTCGACGATACGATATCGTCAGATGTTGAAAAATCGCCTTGTAGACGTTTTGCTCAACCGAAAACAATTTGGACCACATCTAAACCAGTGGGAAAATATTCACGATTATTCTCCAATCGTTTGACTCAATCCGCCAATAAAAGTTTGTATTCTTTAAAAATATTGAAAAAGTACAAAAACGTATTTTGTCTTTATGAAAAAAATGAATAATAATCTTTTTTTTCAGCTGCGAATTGTAGTATATTGTCGATTCCTTCAAATTCAAAAGCAAATTCGACTGCGATGAATATTATTGGCGAAGTCAGCAGTGCTGAATTGACGATTGATCTCACAATGATTGAAAAGAAAAGCACGCCTAAGAGGGGAAATAAATATTTTGATATTCCTGAAATAACAATACAAGCAGAGGAAATAATTGTTCAAAAAGCGTGTAGTCCACTTAGAGGAAATTTGGAATTAGATGTAACATCTCATAAGCCGTGTAGTCCAATTACATCGCCAGTGAAAAATGACAAACAAAAAGGTAGAAGACGATCTATCACCGATTTAGTTGAACGTTACAAAAAATTGGTGCAAAAAACAGAAACAACGACCCAATTAAAATCAGTCCTCGACGAGGAATCCTGAAAGAAGATTAATTTCAAAAATTCTCTAATTTCCGAATTCTCCAATTATCACTATAGTGATAATTTTATCGCTATGGTAATAATATGATATCAATATGATAATATCAATATGATATCAATATGATAATTTCAATATGATGATATCAATATGATAATAACAATATTATAATATCAAAATGATAAAAGTATCAATAATACGATGATAATATCAACTACACAGTTATAAATCAATCTTTTTAACAATGACTATTGAGTCATAAATCTTGTAAATATTCTTTTAAAAAAAATTTACAACTTTCCTTCGGTCAAACGGAAGTTGTCTGCTTTTTTCTATCTCTCTATCTCTCTCTTTTTTTAAAACGAAACTAGACTGATATTTGTAATATTTTTTCATAAAATGCTGTATATATGATTAGAATTTGAATCTAAAAAAAATATATTCAACGTATCAAGAATAAATCAGTAAACCAGAGATAAATTATTTATTATTTCATAGTGATACATATTTATTCGTTTACAATTAACAACTAATGTTAATAGTGCAACGAAAACAGCTGTCAATTTACAGCTGGTAACATTTTTTTCCATTTTAAAAGATTAAAAAAAAATTGGCATAAGACAGGAATATTAATTATATAATCAATATTAAAAATCGTAGTATTTCGGTAATTTGTTCGCAGTTTGAAATTCTTGTAATAAATATTCTTTTTAAAATTTTAAAATTAATGTTTTGAAAATATTAAATTCTTGCGAAGTATTTATCAAAAAATTTAAAAATAATGAAATTCCTTTTGAAGGAGTTTAAATGAAAATTTTTGATAATAGTTTAATTCTTTAGAGAAATTTCTTTAAAAATGTTTTGAAAATAATTTTAATTAATTAAAATTATTTTAAAAATAATTGAATTCCTATAAAGAATTTAAAAAATTTTAAGAAGAATTATCAAGTTTTTTAAATAATAGTGTTTCTTTAATAATTATAATTAAAAATTTGATTATTACATTTTATTAAAACTTTTTGGAAGTAATCAATTCATCCCTGAATTTTATATCAATTTTTGAATAAATTGAATTCTTTCTAGAAATTTATAGCAATTTTTGAATAAATTGAATTCTTTCTAGAAATTTATAGAAATTATTCTAAAAAATTGAATTTCTGCGAAGAATATTGATATTTATGAAAATAATTCAATTTTTCCAAAGACTTTTATTAAAATCTTTAAAAAATAATTGAAACATTTCGTGAAATTTTATTAAAATTTGATTAAAAAAATTGAATTCCTGGGAAAAAATTGTATTATTTATGAAGATAAGTAAATTCTGTCTAAGAATTTCATTAAAATTAAAAATTTTGAAAGTAATTGAATTTTATAAAGAATTTCTTGATAGTTTTTAAAATAATCCTGTTTATTAATAATTGTAATTAATAATTTTATTATTAAATTTTATTAAAATTATTGATAGAAAATTAAATTCTTTAAAATAGTTTTATTAGAGTTTTCGTCAATAATTACATTTTTTCTGAAGAATTTCTTTAAATTTCTTGAAAATAATGTAGTTTTTTCAAAAACGATTTTAATTGATAATTTGGAAAATAATTCAATTTTACAAAGAATTTTATTAAAACTTTTGAAAATAACAATTGAATTTTTTAGAAAAATTTTTATTATATTTTTTAAAAATAATTGAACCGGTTGAAATTTGAATTAAAAATTCTTTTTAATCGACTCGTTTGTGTCAAATGAAAAGTGACAATATTCCAGTTTAGTTAAAAAAAATAGTAAACGATTGTAATATTATATTATCAAAGAAATTCAAAGTCTGATTAAACTCGAATAATTGGACATTTTGAGATTTTTTTTTTTTTTTTGCAGAACTCTTTTTTTTGTAATAGAGAATAGAAGACATTTTATAGAGTTTAACCAGAATTTAAAAACTTTAAGACTTTAAGACTCTATTTAACTTTAAGTTAACTTAAAAGAGTGATATTTATACAAGTTTCGTTAGAAAACACTCAATGGAATCAAGATGCAATCCTGCATGATTATTCTATTTCTTCGTCTTTTTTTCTTTTGTTTTGTTTTTTCTTTTTGTTTAATATTGACATAATCTACTTGCTATTTTTCGGTTTGTTTACAAAAAAAGCATTCGAAGCTTACATGTTTATATAAAAATACAGAAAATCGATTTAGAAAAAGCAGATTTAATTCTTATATATATATATAGAAGTATCAAAAGAGTCAAGAAATAGCAACAGTCAAATACTGATTGCGTTTAAAAACTGATCTCGGCGAGCTTGATAATAATATTGAATCATAAAAACTCGAAAATTTTTCCCTATTAATGATAAATTTTTCTTTTTCTTACGTCTGCATCTTGACGCCTGGGATTCAGTATGAAAAATCTTAAATTACAAATTTTTTTTTTCTTTCCTAAATACAAAAGGGTTAATTGAAATAATTTGATCAAAAAGGCACAAAGTGGCGGTTCCTAAAAACTTAGACGAAGAGCGCAATATTTTTCTACGCTGTATTGGTTTTTTCTGTTTCTGTAAAATAAACTATTTTAAGCAGTTTAGCTGTTTAAAATTTTAATTATATTATTAATATTAATATTATTATAATTATTCTCTATTATCAGAAATGATTAATCATTCAAATTATATTTATCGTTCAAGTAAAATTCATCTTTTGTAAAAGCGTTAATTACATGGGTAAAAAAAATTTATATAAAAATTGTGAATAAAAATAGATTTACAAAATTTTTCAATTAAAAATTAAAAACTATTTTATGAATTTACTAGGTGTTTAAAAATATTCGATTAATCATTTCTGATCTACAAAATTATGAAACTTCTTCATACTAGTTTTCTTTACAATAATTTTACGTTTGAATAAAAATTTTTTTCTTTAGTTTAATTATTATATTATTATTATTTATTTCCAAGTTGGGAAACTTCGTTTGAGATTCTTTATGATTCCAGATCATGATAATAAAAATAAATTTTTTCCCCGCTAATTCAGTAAAATTATCAACGATTGATTGATTGGTTATAATCTGTAAATGCGATGTTTTGAGCAAAGTGCAAAAAAAAAGAAAAGAATGCACAATGATTACGGTTTTAAAACGAATTAAAATCTCAAACTTAAATTTTCACTTTTTAAATATTATAATTTTCATTTTGACGTATATGCGCCTTAGATTTAAAATTAATTTGTGCGTATATTTAATCGCAAACTAAAAAATATATTATATTGACCAAGTACCTTTTTAGAAAAATAGTTAAAAAATTAAAAAAAAAAAAATAATAAAAGAAAATAAAATAAAAAATAATAATGTGATTCAATGTACCGATTAATTAATTTCAAAGAAAAATCTCTCAAAGATGTTTCTCACATTATTAGTCTTTTTTTATCCCCCACAAGATCGTTGATCTTCATAATTGGCCTTTTTGCAATTTGTATAGAAAAATATTTATATCTTTCTTAATTCATAGAACTGCGACTCTTGAAATTCATCGGGCAAGCGTAGAATAGAATTTAGGCTGAAAATAAACAAGAAAATTTATATTTAATGTCTTATTCTGTGTAGAATTAAAAAGTAAATTCTAGAAATTTCACATCACTTTGTTTTATCTTTAAAATAATTGAATTCTTCCCAGAATTTTTTTTTAGCAATTTTTGAATAAATTGAATTTTTTCGAGAAATTCTTTTAAATTGTTCAAAAAAATGTCTATTTATATAAAAAAATGTCTATATTTATGAAAATAATAAAATTCTTGGGAAGAATTGAATTGTTTGCATGAATTTTACTAAATTTTTTGAAAATACATAATAGAATTTTTTCGAAGAATTTCATTAAAATTATAATAAATAATTGTATTCTTTACAGATATTCTATTCAAATTGTATTGAAAATAATTGAAATCCTTCAAAAAACTTTAGTTTATGATAATAAATTAATTCTTATCCGAAGAATTTTATTAAAATTTCAAAAAATATCTGAATTGTTTTGAAAGTAGTGGAGTCTTTTTTAATAATTGTAATTGAAAATTTTTTTTAAATATGTAGTTGAATTTTTTTCGACATATTTAATTAAAATTGTATTTAAAATAATTGAAATCTTTCCTGAAATTTTATTAAAATTATGGTAAAAAATTGAATTCCTACGAAAAATTATATTATTTATGAAGATAATTGAATTCTTTCGAGATATTTAGAGGAAATTGTTATTTAGCAATTTAAAGTTGATAATCAAACAGAAAATTTCCCCCAATTTTACCTCATCGTGCTTTTCTTCTTTATTTGCATCATCATCATCTCCGGAACTATCGCCTCCCGAACTGTCCGCGGAATTACGCTGTTGATATTTATCACCAAAATTTTCTTGTTCCATAAGTGTTGATGTAGATGCTTTGCTTACTGCATCGTAACATTGAAGACACACCCTAACTGCCTTTCTAGTTCCTTGTCCTGCTACTATTAATCTCTTGTTACTGCAAGGTCCACAAACAACAGTGCCACATTGTCTACAATGATGCTGAAAATATTTCCAAAAGTTATTAATTAATAAAAATTATTCTGAAAATTTTTACTCTTTTTTTTTTAACTATTTAAAAAGAATTGAAAAACAAGAATACTATTTTTATTTATATAAAAGAATAAATTTTTTATTAAAGCTTTTTATTAATACCTTTTCAATTAATTTATTTTTAATTTTAATATTTATGTTTATGTTTATATTAAATAAAAATTAAAATTACCCTTCGATTTAAAATAGTGAATTGTGATTTATTGCAGTGCATGCAAATTGTTGCTTCGTTGTCGGGAACCCAAACTGCAGCGTGATTTTCAACAGGTTTCTTTCCACCTGCGATGTCAAGATTAATGAATAAATATTAGTAATTAATATTTATTAATAATTATTAATTATTAATAATTATTAGTTAATTCATTAATTACATGTTGGTTTTTTTAAATACGTAAACTCTTACTTTTTCTGAGAAGATCTTCGATGCATTTTGTTATATGCGCCATCCATTCTTGTTTTTCTGTGGCAGTTGCCGCATAAACGGCAAATGATTTTGTTACAGTTTTTATAACCCATCCGTTGCGATATTCTGTAATTTTTTTTGCAATTATTTAACATTTTCAATTAAAAAAAAAACCTAGTGAAAAATATTCAACTCACGTCCATCATCAACCAACGATTCAAGTTTTACTTCTTCCAAAGGAATAATACGTTGTTTATTGTACTGCAAAAAAAAACAAACGTTAATTTTTTTTTAAAAATTAAATTTTTAAATACTATACGATTTAGTAAAAGAAAGAGAGAAATTTTACCTTCTTCTTATTAATAACTATATTTCCATAGACCAAAATATCGTTGAATAGAAAAAATTGTCTTGGTTTTGGCTTTTTTCGGCACATCTTTGTTAAAACTCCTTCACCGACCAAAACTCGTCCCGACACGGCAAGTGGCTAAAATTAAAAACGAAAACAAACAAAAAAAATACATATTTTAAAATGCATTCATTTTTATCTATATATTGTGAATTTTGCATCGTACAAAGGAAGAAGAGTTTGATAAAAATTTTATTGTTGTGACTATTATCTGCAAGTCATAACGAAGGGCGTGAAAAATGTAAATGACTTTATTATTCCAATTTTAAATTTAAAAGGACCTCAAAAGAAAACCACCTACGACCATTTTAATCATTCAAAAATTTTCCAAATAATCCAAATAATTATAATTAAATGGTATCTAGTGAAAATCTTATTAAATCTTTATCAAGATTTTTCGATTTACGTAACAGAATTTATTCTAAAAATAAAGCTTTTACCTAAATTTCCTAAAAAATAAATCGTTTCTGTAAAATATTATTTTTAATTGTTTATTGCCTTTTTAATAAAAATTAAAACTTATTTATGATTCTGAGAAACTAGAGTTTATAAAAATGAAAGTTGTCATTATGACAAATCTGAGAAACGTCACACACGTTAAAAACAGAAAAAAGATAGTTTTCTATATTTGGATCTAGAAAAAAAGCATTATCTATCATAGTTTGATAACAATTTGGAAAAATAAAATAAAAAAACTATTTTTGTAAATGTAAAACGAAATCCTATTAGATTCAGAATGGAATTAGAAAGTGAGCATTGTTTGCGCTTTTTCCCCTTGACTTTTAAAGTCAACTAGCCCTATATTAAAAAAATTGAATTATTGTCCTTGAAATTATAACAATTAATAATAAATTTCTATAACATACTTGACCCGAACTGCCAAAGCAGTTTTCCACCATCGTAATCCGCCTGGAATTAGCTTCACTGTTTACTGTAACAGATGAAATTTATTTGTATTTTTAAAAAAGAAGAATGATGATTGTTGCATTTCTCTCAAATCCTGAGTCAATTCGCTCCAGTGAACAATTAACATTAACAATTTTAAATGGGTTAGCGCTTGTCAAAAACACTATATACAAAGTAGCACATAACATTGCACTTGACAAGAACCACAATTTTAATCGAAATTTAGAGCACATGTAAATAAACAATTATTGGCATTTTCTTGACGTATATTCACCAGACTATTTTTGAATTTTTAGAAAAAAAAATGGTAAAATAATTGTGAAGAAATATAGATAAAAATTAAAAATTGCCCAACTAACCAAGTCGGTCAACCATGATTGTATCAGATTGTATGATTCAGAAACACTAAACTCCAATCAACAGGGAAATGATGATCGCTTAATCGGTAATACAACTGACATCCGCTGAAAATTTGTCTAAAATTTAATATAATTGATGACAGATGTCGTTATTATTAATCGATAAAGAAGAGTACCATTTTGTTAGCATGTTTTCAAAAAGTATTTTTTAACAACACATTGTGCAAGATACTTTCTCTTTAAAAATTAAAGACAAAACTTGTTGATATTTCACAAGTTTTTGACGAAAAATGTTTTATAATTAAAGTTAAGTGATGAGTGAGAAATGGAGTGAATTACAGTATTAAACAAATCTTGTGTTAACGCGCAGTGAAACTTAACGAAAACATAACCTCACATTTTTGGTACGTATTTTTATTATTTTTTAATTTTTTTCTCTATCTTTTTATTTAATAGAGAAAAGGAATAAATATAGGAAAGAATGAAATTTTTTCGGAAAAATTAGTTTTGCTGTTAAAAAAAAGAATCTATTTCTAACACTTGAATAATAAATTTACTAAAAAAATAAACAATATGACGAATAAATGATCTCATGTTTCAGAGATGACAATTAAAGTAATTTTCCATCACAACGTTTCATTCTTTGTCTTTTTTTCTGTTTCTTCTATTATTAAACGATTATTAACATTAGGATAAAAAATTGATTTATAAATTCTAAAAGTAGGACATTTGTTTTCCTTAGTTTTGTTTACGTTTTTAGAAATCGTCAGACTGCGAGTTGATTTCTATATGTATTGGATTCCAGCTTGTAGATTTACAAAGAGCACAATATAGTGAATATTGAGTTATTAAAAAAAAGTATTATTTTATTACTAATTTTTTAAAAATGCAATTATCGGAGTTCAATAGACCAACATTATAGTGACTAATAGCCGCGTGCTGATATGAAAAGAGGAGGATAATATTATCTTGAAACAACTCTTCCTCTTTACAATTGTGTCAATACATGAATACTTTATAAATACTGTGAAGTAATATCTTAAAGAATTTGAAAAGAGAATAATTTATTTGCATTGAGAGAAAAGGGAAAAGAGCTCAAATCATTTTCCTCCTGTACAAAGGAAGGTTAGTTATTAAAAATATATTTTACTTGTAATTTTATTTTTAAATAAATTTAGTTTTTATTTAGTTTCCATTCACGTGTACATTTTTACAATTTACATTTAAATGTACATTTATATTTAAATTTCATTTTCCTTAAAAAAATTTTCCTTAAAATTTAATTTTTTTAAAATTACAAATATTTGACAATAATTTATTTTAAATTTGCAATTTTTTAACAATAATTTATTTTAAAATTACAATTTTTTTAACAATTTGTTTTATTTATTTTTTTTTTATTTTAATAAAATAGTATAAAGTGGATTTTTGTCGATTTTTGTTGAGTACATATTATAATAACTTTTCTGTTTTTCAGCACAAATTCAAAGGAAATTTTGTACGCACTTGTATCAGTATTATTATAGCAAAGGAAAAGAGTAATTATAATGGAACCTGATCATGAAACGGTGACAAGAGATTATACGGAAGTAATTAGAAGACTTTCGTGGCCAATTAAATTAGGATATGGCACAGGGCATGTCCTCAACGATATTTGTGCCTCTATGTGGTTTTCCTACCTGTTGGTGTATTTTCACCTAGTTTTAGGCTTCAGTCCTCTAATGGCTGGTGTTATTTTATTAATTGGACAGGTCGCAGACGCTCTGGCAACACCTTTTGTCGGTTATCATTCTGATAATTCCGCTGATTTCTGGTTATGTCGCTATGGAAAAAGAAAAACATGGCATTTATTAGGTAAAACTGTAGATTTTTTTTGTATTTATATTTATTTATTTACTTATTTATTATTTCTAAAAATTTAATAAAATTCTTCGAAATAATTAAATTACTTTCATAAATAATAAAATTCTTAGTAGAAATTCAATTTTTGTAAAAATTCTCGAATTTATCTTTCAAAATAATATAAATTTTTCGTAGAAATTCAATGTTTTAATGAAATTTTAATTAAATATCTCGAAGGAATTCAATAATTTTCATAAATGATTAAATTCTTCTTAGAAATTCAGTTATTTTCACAAATTATAAAATTTTTTCATTCATTCAATTTTTTTAACACAATTTTAATCAAATTTCAGGAAAGATTTCAATTTTCTTAAATAAAATTTTAATTAAACATCTCGAAAAAATTCTACTATTAAAACAATATCCAATTAAAATTATTAAAAGAACTCCATTACTTTCAGAAGAATTTAATTATTTTTCGAAATTTTAATATTGAATTCCTGTAAAGAATTTAATTATTTCAAAGTTTTGAAGCTAATATTAATTAAACTTCTCGAAAAAATTCAATTATTTTTTAGAATTTCAATTAAATTCTTAGCAGTAATTCCATTGTTTTTAATAACTAAATTCCTTAAACAAAGTTAATTATTTCAAAAAAATCTTAACAAAATTCTGAGAAGAATTCAATTATTTCCTAAAAATTTTAATAAATTATTTTCATGAACAAAAACTTTTGCAGGAATTAAAATATTTTCAATACAATTTTAATTAAATATCTGTAAATAATTAAATTATTTATTATATGATTTTAATGAAATTCTTCGAAAAAATTCTATTATTTTCAAAAAATTTAGTAAAATTCATCGAAAAAATTAAATTCTTCGCAAAAATTGAACTATTGTCATAAATAATAACATTCTTAATAGAAAATCAATTATTTTTCTAGAACACTTTAAAAAAATTTCTCGAAAGAATTCAATTTATTCAAAAATTGTTATAAAATTCTGGGAAAAATTCAATTGTTCCCAAAAAGTTCTAATAAAATGTAATAATGAAATTTTTTATTATAATTATTAAAGAAACACTATTATTTTAAAAACTTGAAAATTCTTCTTAAAATTCAATTACTTTCAAAATTTTTAATCAAAATTATTTAAAACACTCAATTATTTTTCAAAAAATTCAAATTATTTCTTTAAAAAATATAATATAAGTAAATTATAAATTATAAATATCAAATTTTTTTCAAACCTGTTTAAAAAAATTTCAGGAAAGAATTAAATTATCTTAATACAATTTTAATAAAATAACTCAAAAGAATTTAAATATTTTCATAAATAATAAAATTTTACATTAGAATTCAATTATTTTCAAGATAATCTTAATTAAATTCCACGAAAGAATTGTAATTATTCTTTAAAATTCACATGACATTTTTCGAAACAATTCAATTCTTTGAAAAAAATTTTAGTAACACATATTTTATGCAAGAATTCAATTATTTTTTTAACAATTTTAAAATTATTTGTCCTAAGAACACAATTAATTTAAATATAATTTTAATCATATTCTTCAAGGGATCGTCCATATATTACGTAACACTTTTTGGGGGGAGGGGGGGTCAAGCTATTTGTTACGATAAGCCAAAAAAATGGCGCTAATGTATGTAACAGCGTGTTACATGGGGGGAGGGGGGGGGGGGTCAAAATTTTCAAAAATTAGCGTTACGTAATATATGGACGGCCCCCAAAAGAGAAGTTAATTATTTTCCAAAATTTTAATAAAATTCTTTACAATAATTATTTATTTTTAATACCTTAGTTTTAAAATTAAAAACAGTTAAAACGAAAAATTATTAGAAACTAAGTTATTGGAAACTTTTGTGTAAATTATTATGATCTAATATTTTACAGGGACATTTTGCGTGGTTTTTGCTTTTCCATTTATATTTTCGCCTTGCATTGGATGTAAAAATGCCCATGAATGGTCACAATTAATTTACTACGCGGCATTTGTGGTGATTTTTCAATTTGGATGGGCTTCTGTGCAAATTTCTCATTTATCCTTAATTCCCGATTTGACACCAACGGAACATGAGAGAACAGAACTTACTGCTATAAGGTAAATTAATTTATATACTAATAGTAATAAATAATAATAAAAATAGAGTAGTAAATAATGACAATATTAAAATAGATTAATAAATAATAATAATAATAATAAAAATAAAGTAATAAATTTTCATGCAATTTTCATATTTTTCTTTTCTTTCGATCCACGTAGATACAGTTTCACTGTTTTTGCAAATGTTCTCGTTTATTGCATATTTTGGGCAGTATTACACGTGACTAGTGAAGATTCAGCTACCAATCAAATTGGACCAAAAGATGTGTCTAATTTTCAAACGATTGTAAATATTGGAATTGCCGTTGGTGTTATTGCATCGGCAATATTTCATATTGTTGTTAAAGAAGAAACTTCAGGAGCAGTTACTGGTTAGTGAATGAAAAAAAAAGAAAGAAAAGAATGAACTTTCTTTACCCCTGTCAATTAATTATTAACGATGATTAATGATTGATGAAAAAAGAAATTTTTTTCAGGTGCTTCGCAACAAAGAACTCGTTCTATTTCAGAACTTTTCAAAGATTTACAATTGTATAAAGTTGCTGCTTTATACATGTCAACGCGATTATTTTTAAATTTAACACAAATTTATGTGCCATTGTATTTACATGAGACACTACATATGGCTGCAACGTCTTTAGCTATAATTCCATTAATTATGTACCTGAGTAGCTTTAAAGCCTCATTGATTGTCAAGTATTTAAATAGCAAATTTGGAAGAAAAATTGCCTACACGATTGGCGTTGTTCTCGCTCTGTTTGCCTGTGGGGCAATTAAATTTGGACACGGGGATTTCTTTGTTTCGTATGGAATTTATCCGGTCTCGCTTATGTTGGGTGAGAAAAATTATCTTAAAGTTCTGAACGTTCAAATCAACGAAAATTATTTATTTCTTATTTAAATTAGATTTTTATTGCTATAATTACAAAAATGTTTATTTTCAAATGTAAATTTTTTCATCATTTCAGATTTAAAAATTAAAACAATTCATTTATTAACTAATTTACTAATTAAAAATTAATTAATATTTATTTATTTATTTACTCAAATATTCCAATTCAAATATAATTTATTATTTTCGAAAATTTTACTAAATTGCTTAAAAAGAATTCAATTTTTTTTTTAAATATTAACATTCTTCGGACGAATTCAATTATTTTGAAAACAATTTTAATAAAATTTCAGAAACGAATTAAATTATTTTTAATACGATTATAATTAAATATTTCGAAAGAATTCAATTATCTTCATAAATAATTAAATTTTTCGTAGGAATTCCATTCTTTTTATAAATTTTTAATTAAATATCTCGAAGGAGTTCAATTATTTTCATAAATAATAAAATTCTTCTCAGAAATTCAATTATTTTTAACGGAATTTTAATAAAATTTCTCAAAAGAATTAAATTATTTTCAATACAATTTAAATTAAATGTCTCAAAAGAATTTAATTATTAATAAGAATTTAATGAAATTCTTTGAATAAAGTCAATTATTTTCATAAATTATAAATTTTTTATTATAATTATTAACAGACACGATTATTTTAAAAACTTGAAAGAAATTCTTTAAAAAATTCAATTGTTTTCATGAAAGTTTTTGAAAGTTCTGAATTTTCAATTTTCAAATGAACGAAATTTATTTATTTCTTCTCTAAATTTAATTTTTATTGCAATAATTTTGCAAATTCTATAAAAAAAATTAAATATAAAGTTTCTGAATGTGGAGTTTTATTTTTTAATTCTTATTAGAATTAGTTATTTTCGAAAATATTTTTAATGAATTTATTTCGTTTATTTGAACGTCAAAAACTTTTGCCTTACAAGATCTGAACGTTCAAACGAAATTTGCTTCTGAACGAGAAATTTATTTATTTCTTCTCTAAATTAAATTTTTACCTCAACAATTTTGCATCACTATAAAAAAAATTACATATAACAATTTTCGTATTCTTTCATTCATTCTGTTTGTAGTTTGAATTAAATATAAAGAATTTCTAAATGTAAAAATTTAATTTTTAGTTGTAATTATTACATTCTTTTTATTGCAATCAATTAGCAATGAGATATTTATGAAAATATCTTTAATAAAAAATATTTCATTTATTTGAACATTCCAAACTTGTAGATCATTGAGAAAAAGTGGTATTACGATTTATTTTTTGGATTTTAATTTTTTCTTTTTGACTTTTGCAGGAAGTGCGGGATCTTTTATGCTTGTGACGAGTCTAGGCATAACTGCAGATTACATTGGAGAAAAAGCAGAAGGTGGTGCATTTATTTACGGCCTCATGAGTTTTACAGATAAATTAAGCAATGGTTTGGTTGTCATTGTCATACAATTTTTGTAAGTACTGAAAAACAAACAATACAAAATTTTGTATTTTAAAAACAACACAAAATTTTGTATTTAAAAAACAATACAAAATTTTGAATTGGAAGAAATAATACAATATTTTGTATTGTAGTATTCTGTTAATATTTTGAATTATAAGTTTTGAATTAAATTTGCATTTATCAAATATGACAGGAAGCATAAGGGACAAAGTCCAGATTATTATTGTAATATTCTAACTTTCGTTTGTGGAGGATCGGCCCTTTTCGCCCTAATTATATTACTTTTCATCAAACCGTTTCAACAATATTCTGGTAGGATTTTTATTTTCTACCACATTATTATTATTATTATATTCGACCTATTAAACAAAATTCCATTTTATTCTTTCAGCTTACAGAAATATTAATCAAGAAACTCTCGATGACGACAATACAACGATACAAAGTTAATCAGCTTTAATCAAAATAATTATTTAAACAAAATATCTATTATTTCGTTTTAAAAATCAAATTCAAATTTCAGCATTGAATGCTCGAAAATTAATGAAGCTGGCTTCAAAATAATTTTTATAGATAAGTTCTTTAAAAAAAGAGAATATTTTTTATTAATAATGATGATGATGATGAAAAGCATATTTCAATCACATTTTAAGACGCAATTTCTAAGACCTACATCTTCAGAAGAAATACTTATTAAAATCTTGGAAAGTTTGTAAAAAAAATGTGAAAAATAGATTTTAGTTTGTTTTTTAAGAAAAAAACAATTGTTTTATATAAAATATTAATTTATATTCCGTATGAGAATAAATTAATTTTATTTCCAGTTTTTTTGTTTCTCGATATTTTTTCTTTTGGTTTTCATGCTCTTTTTTGTTTATCAGTAAAATGTGAAAAATTTTCTTTATTCTTATCTAAAATATTTATTGGTTTCTAAGCATTTTTATTTATTTTCTATTATGAAGTGAGCAAGAAAAGCAGTGAGAATAACCCAATGACTAACCTAACTTGAAGTTTCAACGTCACATGACACTTACTTGCACTCACACAATTTTATCCTAAAAGCATTCAGCAAGCACCACGATTCAGTTCGACGTTAAAGATGTATATGCGCCGGTGTAGTCAATTTTGCAATTAGTGGTTGAGCCTCTCTTTTTTGGTTTTTGAGATTTAGTGCGTGGCTGTTTATCACATTCAGCAGCTTTCAAATTAATTTTTTTTTCAATCAAAAAAAAAAAAAGGTAAATATCTATTTTTCCTCAAAAAAAAAGTGAAAAAATTATTTTCTTATGATAATATTGTGGAATATTCTGTTAATTTTCTTCAGGATTTTGTAAAAAAAAGAAGAAATTCCGGACAAAATGGCTGATATTCCACCGGGTGCATCGCCGCCGATTAATGATAATAATCAGGATGCAGAACAACCTTTTCTATCGAGTTTCATTTCGGAAATTGTACGAAGTCCCGTGAATCTTGCCCTGGTGGCAATAATTGCCTTTCTCGTTTACAAAATAATTAAAAGTCGAACGAAATCAGATGAGCCGGTTGTTGAAACTAAAGAATTGCCAAAATTAAAGCGTGATTTTACGCTCGAGGAATTAAAACCATACGATGGAACGGGTCCTGATGGTCGTGTCCTTGTTGCCGTCAATGGAAATGTCTACGATGTTACAAGAGGATCAAGATTTTACGGCCCTGGTAATGTATATTCTGATCGAGACCAACCTTACATTTCGCATCGTCATCTTCTCTCTTTTTTTTTCCTACACACCCATATTATTTATTTACGTCGCATTTTTAATTGATCGCCTCATTTTTTTTCTATTACATCACTTAATTATGGTTTTATATTTAAAAACGAGAATCTTTATATTCAAAAAATAGTTTTGAAAAAATAGTTTTAAAAAAATAGTTTTTAAAAAAAACTTTCAAAATTCGGAAAATTTATTACAATTTTCCGTTTTGATTTAATTTATAGTTTATACAAATATGTAAATGATTTTAAAAATATATACTCAACTTCTCTTTGATAAATGGAGCAAAGATTATTCAGTTTGTACTATACTTAAGGAAAGATTAAATTTTGTTACAAATTTTCTTTTATAACAGCTTATTACGAAAGTTTTCACTCTGGAGAAACTTTATCAGTCTTTTTTTATGTAAAGTTGATAAAAAACTGCTGTTTAGCTGATAATAGGTGTAAATTCTATTGAATTAAAATTACCAGTTACATTTCGTAATTAAAATTCTAAAACGGATTTTTAATTTTCAGGCGGACCTTACGCGGCATTTGGAGGCAGAGACGCCAGTCGGGGTTTAGCCACGTTTTCCGTATCCGTGGGAAAAGATGAATATGATGATTTAAGTGATTTGAATACCACAGAAATGAATTCTGTCAGGGAATGGGAGGAACAATTCAAAGGTAAATGAATAATTTCCCACTAAAAAATGATTCTTAAAACTAATGAAGAAAATCAAATTTTGATTTGAATTCCTATTGAATGGATTTGTATAAAACGTCAGGTCAATGATCAAGGTCTTTACAAACTAGTACTGTCGAGTATTACTTTACATTTTTTTTTTAATTCTGCAATGAATTGCAAATTTAAATAAAATATTATCTAATTTCAAGAGAAGGAAAAAGTCATCAATCATCATATGAGAAAGTATTTTGAATAATATTCTATCAAAAATAGAATACTTGATCTTAAAATTAAAAAAGTAATTAAAAATTAAAATTTAGGAGAATAATAAAAAAAACTGTTTTTTTATTTAGAAAAATATGACTACGTGGGAAAATTATTGAAACCCGGCGAAGCGCCGACAAATTATTCCGATGAGGAGGAAGAAGGAAGTCAACAGGAACAGCAAGAAACAAAAAGCGATGAAACACCAAAGTCTAAAGATGATTGACCGCTCGAATTGGCGTTCAATGTGAAATACCATAAAGAAAACACCACGCACACATTGTTAAAATTTTTTTCAGAATTATTGCCTAAAGAATACATTTGGATGTTTTAATACTTTGTCGCGGGTCATTTGAGATAAAACAGTGAAACTGCATTTGTTGAAAGTCAAATATCTGTAAATATTTGAGAGACTGTTGTTGCAGTTTTATTTTTTAAAGAAGAGGAAGAAACAAAAAAAAAGATCAAGTGTCCATTTTATAATTAATAGTGAATCGTGTTTTTACAAGTGTACAAAAAATTTTCCATAAAAAATCAAATCGGGAACAAATTGACAAATATCCTTAAAAAAAAGTGATGATCTTTAAAAATATTCTTCTTACAAAATTATTTTTTAAAAATTATTATTTAAAAATTATTTTTAAAAATTATTTTTAAAAATTATTTTTAAAAGTCTACAAAATTATTTTACAAAATTGTTCTTTGTTATCATTCTTCAATTTATTGCTTTAATGAAAATTTTAATTTCGAAGAAAATATATAATATAAATTATAATTTTAACAGATTATATTTAATGTTAGAGAGAAGATTTAAAAAAAAAATTTCAAGTGATATTTGTTATTTAATTATATATATTACAGAATAGAAAAAAATTTTTTGTACTCCTGTATATATTTGGTACAGATTACAATTTTATTCTATTACTTAATCAAAGGCAATGATTTCGCTTTATGATCTCGCTAAATTACTAAAAAAAAAAGAAAAGAATCACATTCACCTCTTTACACGCAGTGCATTCATATCCATCATTAGTTCACGATAGTCAAGATGGAGCATTTTTATAATACGAGAAATTATCGCATTAATTTTTTTACTAATCGTAAGATTTAAGAATAATCCAAAAAAAAACAAAGCGATGAAACTGGAAAAAAAAAATATCAGTAGTATTGCTTAGAGCAATATTTTAATTTTTTTAAACTCTGTTACAATTTCTTTTTATATCATTGATAACTTTTTAGTTATTATTTTCATCCGGATATCTTTTTTCGTACATTCTATATTAATTTACAGAAAAACAAAAGAAAAATGGAAAAATTTACAGAAATAAAAATAATTTACAGGAACAATTTATAGAAGAATTGTTTTGATAATGACAAAATTAATTCTTATACACCTTGAGGAGACGAGTTTTTTATTTTTAACATTTACAAATAAAATATTTGTACAATACAAATATATATATAGATTTGTATCAAATGATGAAAAAAAGGATTTTGTCTAAATAACAATTTCTAAAAACTTTTCTATTAAATATATACAAAAAAAAAAGACTGACGATTCCAGCGGCTTAAATTTTATCTAGAAGCTAATGTAGAATTGCTTGTGTACTATATTTTTCCATAGAGAAGTGTCTGAAATTTTGTTTTAATTTTTTTTTAATTAAAAAATGGCTTTTTTAATGATAAATTTTTGCTGCTAGGAAAATTGTGAAAAAAAACTAAGCAATAACTAAACGAGCAAAAGATCTTTATCTTCAGTCAAAAGAAAAAACAAAAAAAATCAAAGAATTTATACTAATTTAGATTTTAAAGAAAAAAATTTTTTTTTAATTTAAAATTAAAGATTCATACCATTTGCATTTATAGAAAAAGTTTCACTTTCCATTGCGTACTTCCACTTTTTTTTGCAGTACTTCATCGAAGAATAATGCGTTTATAATTAAGTTACTTTACATATCACTAAGTAAACGATTTATTTTGTAAATTTCAACGTAAAATATGCAATGTAATTGATTTAATAATGATTTTACTATTACTGTACTTGATATTCGCAAAAGGGGGAAGTTGTGTTTTACTTATATATATAGAGAATATATATATTATATATAGTTGGGAAAAGTAGCGAGTTCTCTTGTTATAATATCATACCAAAAGGATATTTTAATTTTTGTTGATTAAACTGCTGTTTCCTTTCAGAAAAACATTTTGTATTGATGAATTTCTGATCCTATTTTTCTATATTTTGTAATTTTTTTGCTGTTAATTTGGAACAAGCATTAGATTTATTACAATGAAGTTTTAATTTTAATTTGATTTAATTTTAATTCAATCAGTAATGGAAAATAAATCAATTCAAAGTAATTCCTTTTCAGAAGTTAAGAGGTAAAAAAGAAATTGGCAAATTAAAAGAACGTTGGTAAATAATTTAAATTAAAAAGATCAATTAAAGAAATTAACTACGATAAAAGTTAAGATTTTTTAGTCTAGAGAAAAAGGTAGAGGCAAAAATAGAACATTTAGAGCACCTTGTGAAAAAGAATTTCTTTTTTTGTAGTATTTTTAAAAATTAGTTAAATTTTTGAAAAAAAACTTTTTTCGTTTTAATTTTATTTTAATCGTGGAGAGTTTGAATTAATAATAATGAGTTGAATGACACTCAACCCTTTTATTTTTGCGTGCCTCTGAAAGCACAGGATTTAATCCTGTGAAGAAATTAAGAGGTTTGCTTTATTCTCAACCACCAGAAGGTTTATTGTTTCACGACCTTACATAACTGTAAAATGGCCTTAATACGCCGGCGCACTGTCACACAGATATAAATTTCAAATGTATTTTACGTGAGAGATATTCACATATACAATATAAATTTAACACGATCAGTTAAATTATTATTTAACGTACATTTTCAATTAACATTGAATTCACAAGTTCCTTGTTATTGACATTGATAGAATTAAAATAAAATAATTTAGTATGAATTTATATAAATTTTTACTAATAAATGTTAAAGTCATAAATTAGTATTGATAAATAGTTGAAAAGAAGATATAGTGAATTTTATTATTTATTATAATTTAATAATTGATAATTGTAATTGATAATCATAATTAATATTTAATAATTATAATTAATAATTACAATAATCAATATTAATAATCGTTGAACTCCGGATAATTCATAATTTTTCTCTAAAAATGTTATGAATTTTAGAATTATTGACATTCAAATTTAATATGAATTATAGTTAATGTTATTTATTTTATAAGAAAAACAGAATTTTATTTATTTTATACTGTTTATGTAGAATTGAAAAGTTAATTTTTAGACACACTTTTGCTCCAATTAGTTCAAATTTCTACTAATTCAGATTTATTTATTTAAAGAAATAAATGAAAGAGAATTTAATTTAGATAAATGAATAGATTAAGAGAATAAATTTTTTAGAACTATTTTTGATAGAAAAATTTAAAAATTATATGATTTCCAACTGTTTTGCGTTAATAAACGATTTTTTTTTTAATAACAAAAGATAACATTCTTGTTGAAAAAAATGAGCATCAGTAAAACTTTTAAAGAATTCAATTATTGAATTCTCTCAAGAAATTTAATTAAAATTGTACAGAAAATAATTTTTGTAACTTTAATAAATTTCAATAGGAAGTAATTAAATTTTCGTTTAAAATTTTATTACAATTTTGGAAAAATAATTCAATTCTTGTCAAAAATTTGATTAATATTTTCGTCGAAAAATTTCTTAAAATTTTGTTGAAAATAATTGAATTTCAGCGACGAATTTTATTATTTTTATAAAGGTAAATGAATTCTAACGAATAATTTTATGAAGATTATTGAAAATAATAATTGATTTGCTCAAAAGAATTTAATTTATTAAAATCGTACTAAAAAGTAATTAAATTTCTGTCAAGAGTTTTAGTAAAATTTTTCAAAAATAATTAAATTACTTCGAGAAATTTTCTTAAAATTGTAATGAAAAGAATTGAATTTTTACGAGAAATCTTAATGGAATTTTTGTTAAAAATAATTGAATTCTTGGAAAGAATTTTATTAAAATTTAATTTAATTTAATTCTTTTGAATAATTTTAGTAAAATTTTTTTAAAATAATTGCAATTCTTTCGAGAAATGTTCGTAAAATTTGATTGAAAATAATTGAATTCCTGCGAAGAATTTTATTAATTTTATGAAGATAATTGAATCGTTTCGAGAAATTTTATTAAAATTCTTGAAAACAATTCAATATTATTGCCAAGAATTTTATTGACATTTTTTAAAATAATTTTGTTTATGAGAAGAAAATTATATTAAGATTCTTGAGAATTTTTGAATAATTTCACGAAATTTAATTATAATAATTGCAATACAAATTTTTAAAAATTTCAATTCTTTCGATAAATTTTATTAAAATGTTATTGAAAATTTCTCGAAAGAATATTATTTTTATGTAGATAATTGAATTATTGCCAATGATTTTTTTGAAGATTTTTAATAATTGAATTTTTGTAAAGGAATTGAATTATTGTAAATAATTTTATTAAAATTTTGCAAATAATTGAATTACTTCCAGGAATTTTATTAAAATTGTATTAAAAATAATTTGAATTCGTTTAAAAAATAAAAACTTTTTAAAATAATTGAATTCTCTTTATAATCTAATGAATGTATTTTTTATAATTTTGAATCTAAAATTATATACAAAATTGAAGTTATTTTTTAAGAATGAAAAGTTTTCTAATGAATGAATTAATTAATTATAATTATAATTATAATTTAAGAGAAAAATTTCGTTTATTATTATAAACAAAATTTTTCTCTTCTATATACAACTAAAAAAATTAAAGGTAAATTGAAAATTGAAAGAATTACCTTTTTTTTGCTAATTGTATCGCTCGTTGAATTTTTAACAAATAGGGATGTTTTCTAAAGACGAGACCTTGAGGTAAATTTTCATTTCTTCCGGTTATCCTGCATGGACCTTGGCTCTCGTTTGGTGTATTTGCGAGAGAAAGTACAGACACTGACCTAGTGCTTGAAGTAAGTGTTCAACACTTATTTCCTTTGACAATCGTGACAACGAATCAATTAGGCTTTAAATTCGAGATTTTATTTTTATCTCCTTTCCATTGTAATCGACAATCCAGTATTCTCAAAATTTTCGAATCCAAAAATCCCAATTTCCTGTAAACAATTTTTACTGTTTTAATTAAATTTAAATTAATTTTTTTACTAAAACGAACGAATTGTACCAATAAATGTAAATAAATTTTATATTTACTGTAAATGTGTTTATATATTTATTTTTAAAGTTTAAAAATTATTTTTAAAAAATTATAAATAGAATAAAAAAAAAAATTTTTTTAAAATAATTTTCCAAAATTAATTAATTAGAAAAAATTAAAAATCTGTAAAAAAATACCAGTGAGGAAATGAAATATATTTGGAAAATGAGTATCGCCCTTTAAATCGCGGCAGGTGTCCGCGCTCTTACCTCCCCCTTCTCTTGATTCTATCAACACGTATCACGATTCCTTCTGACTTTCTCATACAAAGAGCCGCTGTCACCGAGGACGATGGCTGCTGCCACGGCGCAATTCAATCCTCCCAAGATTTTCTTTGCTTTATTCGCGCCCACCTCTCATTATGTATACATTTACAAAGAGCAATACACTCTTGGGACAAGCATATATGTATATATCTAGGGTTCATAGCCAGCAAGTGTCGCGTGCCGTTCTCGCACCTCCACCACCAGATTTTATCCAGAGACTTGAAACACCACTCCTTTTTTGCGATTGTCCAATTTTTTTCCATTGCCTCTCAATTTATTTGTTGAATCATCGTTTATGAATCGTCAAATCATTTTTCGCGTTCTAAAAAAAAATTTTCAATGTAAATAAAATTAAAACAACAAAAGAAATTAAATCTAAACATTTAGAGACGATATATTATATAATTATTAGGGAAGTCAGAGAAAAGTCAGGGTTTTTTATTAAAAGTACTAAAAAAAATTAAATTTTTAGAATTCATGAGAAAATTCTGAATTTTAGTGTCTTTGCCTCATAAATTAGGAAATTACCACGAATTCTAATAAAAAACCTTTAATTTTCTCTATTTCTGACAGTAGTTTCTCTTTAAATAACTTAATTCTTGAAGAATTAACAAAAAATTATTACTTGGAAATTATTTAATGAATAATGATAATTTTTTAATGATTAATTTTTTAATGATTTTTTTCTCTTTTCTTTAATAATAAATTAATGAATAATTTTACTTAAATATTTCAAAATTTATTGCTATTTTAAATAAAAGTTGCGTTTACAATTTTCATAAATAGATTTAATTTCAAAAGGTTAAATTTCAATTTTGAATTTTATTAATTAGAATTTAATTTAATTAATTAATTAGAAATTTTAAAGAACTTAGATTTTTGAAAAATTTTAATAATTTAAATTCTTCTGGAATTAGTTAAATTTTTTTTATATATATTTAATGAATTATTTAAAATAATGGATTTATAGAAAAATTTTAGTTAAAAACATTAAAAAAAGAAATTGAATTTTGAAGAAGTTAGAAATGATTGCAGAAATTCAATTATGTTCAACAATTTAAAAAAAATGTTCGTCAAAATTTTAATTATCTTCATAAATAATAAAACTTTTCTCCGAAATTCAATTATTTTCAAAAAATTTAATAAAATTCTTGGCAAAATTTCAATTATTTTCAAAAATTTTCCTCAATTCAATAATTTAAAAAAAATTTCCAATGAATTCAATTATTTAAGAAAACATTTTGGAAAATTTTAATTTAAATTGTTTAGAAATAAGTTAAATTTTTCAATTTATATTTAATTATTAAAATAATTGATTTAGAGAAGAATTTTAGTTCTAAAAAATGAAGTTTTGGAGAAATTAAAAATAATAGCAATTTTTAGAAATAATTTAATTTTGAAAATTCAAATCTTGGCAAAATTTAAATTCTTCATACTTTTAATTAATAATTCCTTGGAACTAATTTAAAAAATATTAAATTCTAATTCTTTTCAAATTAGTTGAATCTTTTAATTCATATTTGATGTTATTTCAAAAATTTTAACTCAATTTTTCGAAAGAACTCAATTATCTTGATAAAAATCAAATATCTTCCCAAAATTAAATTATTTTCAGAAATCTTAATAAAATTCTTAGCAAAATTCAATTATATTTATTGTACAACAATATTCATTACAAAAATTCAATTATTTTCAAAAGTAATAAAATTCTCCGCAAAAATTCGAATTATTTTCAAATAGTTTTTAAAATTCAATTATTTTCAAAACTTTTAATAAAATTCTTTCCAAAATTTAAATTATTTTTAAAAATTTTTCTCAATTCAATAATATTTAAAATCTACTATTTTATAAAAATTATCCATAAGAATTCAATTTAAAAAAAAATTTTTGAAACTTCTACGCAAACATTTAATTATTTTCATAAATAATAAAAATTTCTCAAGAATTCAATTATTTACAATTTTTTAAATAAATTTCTACGCAATAATTCAATTATTTTCATAAAAGAAAAAAATTGTTTACAGAGAATCAATTATTGTCATAAATAAAATAAATAAATCATAAATATAATAAAATTCTTCCTGTGAATTTAATTATTTCCATAAATAATAAAACTCATCGTAGAAGTTCAATTATTTTTAATACAATTTTATTCCAATTCCTCGAAAAATATTATTCTTAAAAATTTTAATAAAACTTATCCAAAAAATTCAATTTTTTCAAAATTTTGTTGATACAATTTTTTATGATAATTTAATTTTAAAAAAATTCAATTATTCAAAAAATTATTTATTTTTGTATTTAAATAATTGAATTCTCCTTGAATTTTCTAACAAAAATCGTTTTAATATATTTCAGTTAAAATTTTAGATACCTAATAATTGAATATTTTTTTAATATTCATTTTTAGAAATAATTGAATTTTTAAAATGTTTCAAATTAAAATCTTTGAAAATCTAAATTTTTCATAATTTTAACTAACAATTATGTAGAATTAATTTTTTTTGAATAAGTTTAATTGGATTTTTTTGGAATTTTTTATTTACTAATATATATTTAATTGAAGAATTTTCAAATAATCCAATTTTCACGTAAAATTGAATTGTACAAATGAATTTGAAAATTCGCAAAGAACATTTTCAAAAATTATTAAAAATAATTGATTTAATCGAGTATTTTAGTTAAAAATTCTAGAAAATAATAATTGAATTAAAATGATGAAAATAATTTTGAAAAAATTACAGTAAAAATATTTCTATTATATAAAATAATGATCTCATCACTCGGTTATCTTTAATTATTATAAAACACGAAAAAATCGATGACTCCGAGTCTTCGACTCGGAGTCATGTTTTTATAATAAAAAATATTCTTTTAAGGGCATTTGAACCTTGATGACGTCACACATGCTTTGCACAATCTGTAACGTCATCAAGGTTCAAATGCCCTTAAGTTGTTAAATTTCAAAATGGTTTGGGTTTGAATATTTTGAAAATATATTGAATTTTTAGGAAATATTTTCACGCATCTACATTGTCAGATTTATTGCAAACTTGAACTTTTGAATTACCTTTCCTCAATTATTCACTTTAATATTACGATTAAAATGACCATCAGTATAATTATCTTTTTCAACCGTGAATTTTTAGAAGTACATACGAAAAAAAAATATTTCTCTCCTGAAATATTTTCCTCTGTATTCTTGAAATAAAAGAAAAAAATGCATTAATTTGTTGTTTAATTATTTATATAGATAAGTAATTTAATTATTTAAATAACTAATTTAATTATTGAACTAAGTAATTTAATTATTTAAATAATTAATTTAATTATTGAAATAACTAATTTAATTATTTAAATAGATATAAGAAATTTTAATTTTGTAAAAAATAAAATAAAAGTGTTCCCCCTGTGACACTTGTAAATAGTTGTAACTTAAAACTTAACTTTCTTTTAAACATCTAGTCAAGTTTAACCGAGATTAGTAATCGGTAGGGGGTTCTTTGTTTTACAACTCACCTTGCGCTGAAATGTGGTTTTACTATACGTACACAAACATATTCCCCATCATATCACATTCTTATTGTTCATATCGGTTTTACTCTCGAAAGACTTATTATACATAAACTCTCTTTGTCTCATCACACCTTGCCTCTTGTGATAATAAAAAAATACACTCTTCTTTATTTTTCACTTATTCCATTTTTTATATTTTAAATAATAACCATTTTTGCATTTTTTTCTGTTGTTAATTTTCCTAGTTGTTTATTTATTTATTTTCTGTTGTTATTGTCATATGAAGTTGTTTCTTTACGAAATCACGAGATTTATTTCTTTTTTTCATCCTTTTCTCTCAAAAGTTAATTGAATCTTTGTCATCACATATACCTGTGAAAAAAAAGAATACAATAAACGTTTGAACAGAGTAAAAATTCTTTTATTGTCAATTCAGTTACATTGTTGACTTTATTACACAATGTCTGTATTTCAAATTCTTTTGTTTTTCTATGTATCTTTGTTATAATTTTTTGAAAAGAGGAATTTATTTATTTTGTATAGTGATTTCTCTATAATAAAACGAACGTTTATACTTAAAAAAGGACACTGGGAGAAATCGCTTTTGTTATGTTAATTCAAAAAATCCTTCATAATTTGCAAATGCAGTTTAACTGTTTAAAATATACTTAACCTATATTTTTAACAAATTTTTATTTCTTAAACTTACCATTTAAATTTGAAAAAATTATTTTTTTTTAATAATTTGACAAACGAATAAAATGAAATGAGGTTAGAATTAAGAGATTGTTTACCCATTCTTGCAAATTCAATTAAATACGTAAAATACTTAGTTTTAATCAATTAATGATTCGTTTATCACTTCACAAACAAAAGATTATCTCAACAAGAGGTAGAAATTAATTATAAAAAGGGTATTGTTGACATTATGATGTCCTCCTTACAGTGACACGAGGCATTTTTCACTCATCGAAATTTCTTGATTGAAATTGAATATTTTCCATTTTTTTTCTCACACTAATTGTTTCGTATTTAACTTCCCGTATAGTATTTTCAAATTTAGAAATTATTTTACTATAACGAACCATGACAACGTGAATGTTTTCAATGCAAAAGTTATGACATTTCGCGGCGGAATCGCAACACACATTTCGAATGTGCAAGCAGAAGCGTATAAATTTATAATAAAAGTGTGGGCAATAATTTTAATGTTATTTTTCTCTGAATTAGATTTAATCGAGAAATGTATAGTTGATAAATTTGAGATTAATTTTTAAATTAATAATGGAGAGGAATTTGGGAAAAAAGAGTAAATTATTTAAAAGTATTTAAAAAAAGAAAAATTGTAAAATTGGGGGCACAATTTGTAACTACGCCCCTGATAGGTCATCGGCGTGAATTTAACCACGGCGTTTGCAGCTTCGCAACACAGCAGCCAATGGGCGGTCGAGTTTTGATCACGTGAACCCATCAGCCAATGGGGAGTGTGATCTAGGCACCCGGCAGCCTTTAGGAACCAGTCCGACATTTTCTGACAAGCGTAGAAAAACTTCTCATCAACAGCAGTCGCCATTTTACTTGAACTGATACTCGTGCGGTGCGGAACTCTTGTGTTCGCTTCCCTCGCGAATCTTTATCGCCCGCGGTGGCCGGCTTGGACCCGATTAATTCGATCGAGTTCATCAAGTCGCGTACAGTTTCTGTCGAATGTACGGAGAAAGCTGCCCAATCTCGCGGTGATTTCGCGCGCCCGTCGTGCAGTGCCAAGGCGAGAGAAGAAGACAGAGGAAGGAAGATGGTGATGGTGCCAGCGGGCCTCGAGAGCGATATCGTCGCTGCGAGGTAGCGCCGTGTGCGCAGCCAGTCCGCCACTACTTGAGTTTTGACGACTAATGTCCAACCAAGTGTCGACACAAGTTTTTTGAGTTTTATCCCATAGTTTTTCAAATAAGTTTTGAATTGTGCGTGTTTTAAAATACTGTGCGCAATTGTGCCCCAGGGGTTATACCCCGACGATGCCCAATGGTTGACCGCCTTGTAAAGCGTGTTCGGGGACGCTCCATGCGCCGCGGCTCTCATTGCTGTTATTATTACGCCCGCGACCATGCGAGAAAAGCAGTGAATTTTGATCATCTTGTTGAGGTAGACGTCGAGGTAGTGTTGTTTTAGTGGAGTTACCCCAGTGTATACGTGCGTGCGTGCCTGCGTGTGCGTGCGTGCGTGTTCTGCCGATCTGTTAGTACGGAGAGTAAACAGCCCTGAGAAAAGCTAACCCGCGGAGACATGGCCGACCACCTAGTGGACGGCCCGCCGAACAAGCGGACCAAGCTCGCGGATCCTTTTCAAGGGCCCTCAGATTCTTCAGGTGAGCATGTCCTTTTTATTTGCCACGCGTCTTCTGTAAGTTGAGAGAGATGCGCGACTAACCTACAGAACGAGCACACGTCTAATAACGTAGCGTGCACGTCCATTTCCCGCCCCGATAAAACCCGGCAGCAAAAGGCGCAAGTCTATTTATTTGATGCCAAAAAACCTTTGAGCAAAATTGTCCACCTTCTCCTGGTCCTCAATCTCCATTAACTCATCAAAGAAACACTCCGGAGCCTTCTCTCTTTTTCGAGATCAACTCCGCTACCAAAGTTTTGAAACGTCAAACAGCCTCTTACCGACATACTTCTGTCAAAGTTCATGTCTCTCACATTTCTCCCTCAAAATATTTACTCCGAACTATTTCAATCATTTTTTTCAAAAAAATTTCCCTGATATTAATACCTGTGACGATTGTTGTGACAGTAAATGTGATTTTTTACTCTTTGACACTTGAGATACCAAATATCTCGATATCTCTTTCAAAGCAATAAGTTCCAAGAAGACATTTTATTTTCATGTTATGGCTCGTGCAACGTTTGAGAATAACTCGAAACTCGAGGAAAAATTTTTTTCTTTTCTCATTCGTTTCAAAAAATAATCTAATAATCTCCAAGTTGAAATAATTTTTGGAAATAATGAATTTTGTTCAAAGGTACCCTTATCAGTGCCATATGCACTTTTTTTTTTCTTTGACACATTTGTTTTTTTTTCATGTGTCAGTTCTGCATCGTTTGCATGAACAAATTTTTTGACATACACCTCTCAATTTTAGAGTAGTTTTTTTCTCTATACTTTCTTTCTATATATTTTTATTTTAGATTTGTTGTAGTGCATGTTGTGTGCATGAGCATTTTTAAGCAATATTGAATAAAGAACAAAAAAAGAAGACAATATAAATTTTTTTACTCGCATGTGCTACGCACTAACCACTCTCTCTGTATTCTATTTTAAATATATATTTTCTTCAAAAACTGCTCTTTTTACTAATCGTTTGGACAGTCAAGTAAATTTTTTGTTTACTTTGAGAGAATTCTTGTATACACAAAATCGGGTTAAAGACAAAAAAAAATATACTTATTATGTAAAAACAAGAGGTTCACACACTTTTGAATGAAAAATGTAGCTGAGTTGCAGAAACGATCTGACAAAGTAATTTCTATATTGAATTCAATTATGAAAATTTATGATTATTTTTCAATATTTACAATTATGTTTTTATGTATATTATAAATTAGAGATTAAAGAAAAAAACGTGTATTTCCACGTGGTTTGACAGTTCCTGTCAAAACAAGAGAAGAAAAGCACGTGTGTTTATAGCAGAAGACGGTAATGTTTTTTAAAAGAACTGTTTCTGTGACTTGGATGCGTTGAAAAAAATTGAGAAAAACAACAAATTAAAAAAAAATTCTTGCACGGTTCTTAAATCATAAACTGTGATATATGTAGTGGGTATGGCGCCTCTAATGATGCACCATGCTTATACAAACTACGGGGGAGGTGGCAGTGGTAACATACAACAAATGCAGGGCCTGCCACAACAACTACATCTGCAACAGCAACAGCTGCAGCAACATTGGAACAACCATACTACGCAGAAAAGAAGTAAATATTACAAAAAAGCAAAAAAAAAAAAAAATGCTGCAACAAATTTCAAGCACTGTCAAATTGTCCATTCATAAAAAAATCATTTCACCATTTTATCATTGATCCTAAAATCATTAATTTGCTAAAAGAAAAAGAAAACTAAACCAAATTTTTTTAATCACATCTATTAATTTTTAGTACATTCTTTGATTTTCATTCAAAATTTTCCCATTTGTTTGACTCTCGTGTCAATGTTTTTTATTAGTGACCAAATCAAATTGCTCTTGAAGCTACAATTTAAAAATTTTCATTTACTTTCGTACTTTTTTTCCACAAAACTATTTTTGAAAATGAATTCAAAAATTTGAAAATAATAATTAAACTAGAAAATATGAAAATAAATATAAATTAAAAAATTTGAAAATAAAAATAATTTTGAAAACTTAAAAATAAAAATAAATAAAAATTAACAATTTTGAAAATAAATATAAATTAACAAATTTGAAAATAAAAATAATTAATGAAATTAAAATATTTTAAAATATAATTTATGTAAAAAATTAATAATTGTATTACCACTTTTTTGATTTTTTTGTAATTTATGATATTTTTGTAAATTTTTTATTTCTTTTTTTTACTGTCAACAAAAAAATCAAAATCATTGAAATTGTAATTAACTATTAAACAAAATTTTTTTAGAGACGATTGACCAATAAACAGTGTTTTGAAGATGCATTGCAGAAATTGAAAAAAATGTGAAATTTTTGTCAAAAAAAAAAAAAGAAACAAGTCTTGAGACATGCGACAGACATACATAGAGTTGTGTATTTTTGTGATGAGCAAATTAAAATCATCTTTCAAAAAGGAAATTTTCCAAAAAATAATTCACAATATTGTCATATATATCTTCTTATGTGCGTACAATGGCGTTTAATAAAAAAATTAATAAGCAATTTTATAAATATATAATATTGTTTTCAACAGGTGAAGGTTCATATTTAAAACAAACCCTTAAGTATAGTCTATAAAAAACATGAATTAGAGGAAAACTAAATATTTCTTTTGTAAATATTTTATTTTTGTTCAGTACATATTTTTACATTTTACATAAATACATTTTTTACATCTATATTTATTATTTTTTTTATACGTGTACACTTATTAGCATATTTCATGTATATATTTTTTTCTATGAACATTTGTTACTGAAAATTATTTGAATTAAATTTTTTTCAGTGTTACGCTTATTTTTATAATGCTTCGGTAGTTATTTTAATAAGAAATTGTCTTTGAATTATTTTTAAATTAATTTGAGAATTATTTTTTTATTAGCTCCTTTTTTAAATTAAATTTAAGAATTATTTTATTTTTTCTCAGCTCAGTTTTAAATTAATTTGAGAATTATATTTTTTATTTGCTCCTTTTTAAAAAAATTTCAGAATTATTTTTTTTTTTTATTTTTTCTCAGCTCATTTTTAAATTAATTTAAGAATTATTTTTCTGTTAGTTCATTTTTAAATTAATTTTGAGAACGTTGAGAATTATTTTTTTTATCAGCTCATTTTTAAATTAATTTAAGAATTATTTTTCTATTAGGTCATTTTTAAATTAATTTTGAGAACCTTCAGAATTATTTTTTTATCAGCTATTTTTCCTTTTAATTGAACAATTATTTTAGTGAAAAATTTTTTCTTACCTCGTTTTTGAAATTAATTTAAGAATTATTTTTTTCTTCGCTCATTTTTTGAATTAATTTAAGAATTATTTTTTTCTCAATTCATTTTTTGTAAAAATAGAAAAGGGTTGTTGTAAATATGTAAAAATTCTCTATTTTACATATACTAAATATTATACACCACTGGATACTTTTAATTTTTCTATTTTCTTCTTTTAAATTTATAGGTACGTATTTATAGGATATTTATTCAAAAAAATGGATTTTCACATTTTTTTTTTCAGTTACAAATTTCCACACTTTCCACTGTTTTGTGTGGTTTTCAATTTTTTTACACGATTTTATATTATGTCCTGATATAGAGAGAGTATGTACGAAAAAAAAATTCTTTTTTTCTTTCTCTGGAAAAAAATGTCAATTTATATCAACAATATTTTTTAGTAGAGTATATGAGGAGACAGGGAGAAACAAAAAAAAATGAAAATACTCTCATTTATAACTGGCTTGAAATAGAAGTGCATTTGTGTGTTTAAACACTTTCGTTAAAAAAAAATTTTTAATTTTTATATTTTTGTATTTCTTTTTTTGTACTGTCTGGGACAGAGTTCTGTGTATGTTTTATTCTGTTCCATTAATTTTATAAACAGACTTTGCAAACGACTGATTTTCAACTTTTTTTTTTGTCAACTGTACATTAGAAAACAAATGTTAATTTTAGAAAATAAATAATATGAAAGACAACAAGTTTTTAGACTTATAATAACTAGGTTAGAAATTGATTATTTTTTTGTAATTTTTATTATAAATAAAAATTTTGTTTTATTGTTAAGTTCTATTCAAATATTGTGAAGGGAATAATATTATAATAAATTGTTTTTTTTAAATTGTAACACAAATTTTTAATAAATAAAAATTTTGGTGGCAAATTCGTTATAAATATTGCAGTGAGTTGTATAAAAATAAATAAAAGGTATAATGTTTCGTAAAAAAGAAATTACTACTTTTATTAAAAATCTCTTTGCATGATTCTATACGGTTTGCCATCAGTAGCTTTGCTGCTTTTTGTAGTTAAGCACGATTTTAGAACAGGTCATGTTTTTTATTCTAGTGTAGAATGATTCTCCTTTAAATTTTGCTCATGTGGTGTATGTCTCATGTCTTAGTTTTTAATACATTAAATATTTTTTTCATGTTTCTATTTTATTTATATTTTTACTTGTAGTTTTTTCTTTTTTGTCTTCAAATTTTCAAAATATTTTTTCGTTAATGTTTTGGTCAGTCGTGAATGCGGTTTTTTTTTTTTTTGAATTTCGAAATAGAAAAATATTCCTCGGTGAATTGTTATCCCAATTCCTTTTGGTTGTTTCTTTTTATAAAAAATCTAAAGAGGAAAATTATATATAAAAAAAAAAATTTTATAAAGTAGAAATTCATTTATAATAGAGAATAATAATAATTTTATAATTCTCAATACAAGAATAGTTGAAGAAAATTAATTTGAATCTATAAGAAATTTTGGTGAAGGTACTAACCTCATACTTATATAAAAAAAATAACAAATGCTGTGTCGGACTCTTTGGTACATCATGCACTGTCACAAAATATTCTCAGCAAATACTTCATTGGATGTATTTCTTGCTTTATTTGCAGTTTTATTTAAATATGAGACTGTAAACAATTTGGAAATAATGACAGATTTGTAGATTTTTTCTTCTACTTTTTTTTGATGAATTCATTTTAAAACAGATTTTTTTGTACACATTTGACTTGTCATAATTTTCATTCTTTTTTTTGTATTGCTCGATGAAACTTCTTTGTAATATCTTTTGATTTTTTTGTAATGGTAGTTTTTGATTAAAATGAAATTTAACAGAAATTGCGACATGCGACTCGACTTCATTATCTCGATAAATTGAAAAAGAGAAAATTGTGATAATTAACAAAGCAGTTTGTTTCAGTTTGCATTGAAGACCAGTGATATTGATGATTTTTTGTATTCCCAGATTATATGACAAACACTGATATGTTTGATCTCGAAAATGAACTTCCTGAAGATCTTCTATCGTCTGGTTCCTGGGGTTCTACAACTGAAAGTGCGAAACCTCCTGCCACTGGTCCCGGTCCAGGACAGCAGAATGGAGCACTTGACAATGAACTTCGACAGCATGTACAACAACAACAATTGTCTCATCATCTCATTCAGCAACAGGTAAATTCGATATTTGCTGGGAAAAAAATTGCTCTTAAATTTTAGTAAATATGTAACTAATTAATTTTTTTGAAACAGGGAAATAAAAATATGGTAGCAAATTCGTTGGTTATGGCTGCTGGAAGTTTGGGCAGTAAAAGTCCAAATATGCAGTCACCTCCTAATGTTTCGGTATCGAAAGGGGTAGTTGACCCACAAATGGTGGTAAGTCTTGGTAATTTACCAAGCAGCATAGCAAGTTCACTAGCGAATAACCAAATATCTATCGCCAATTCAATGGGAGGACTTCAATCATCAATGAGTATGTCTGGAAATAATCCCACAATGTCAATGCCAGGTGCAATGAACTCTGGTTTAGTCATGACGAGCAGCGCTACAGGGAACAATAATATGGGTGGCATGGCAGGCGGAGGTTTAATTGTTGCAAACAGTTTGAATAAACAACCTCTAAATACGGTAAATTTGACATTTCTAAAGAAATCTAAAGGAACATTTTTTTTTTCGAAAGAACAAATATTGATAATTATCTATTTTCAGGTATCTATGATGAGTTCCAATGCCCAAGGAATTCATCATCCTGGTGGACCTCATGGAGTCGCTCAAATGCAGAATGGACCTGCATTGATGAATCCAAGAGCTGTGGTGATGCAACAACAGCAACACATGGTTGGAGCTGCTAGAGGTCAAAGTCCCCATCAACAAGTGCATCAAGTTAATATTGTGGGCCAAGGTCCACGAATGCAAACGCCGCCCAATATGGCAAATATGGGACAAATGGGTGCTTCGAGTCCCTATGGATACAATTCGCCTGGCAATGGACCTGGTCCCAACGTCAATGTGGGTACTAATAATCCGGTGGGTGTTGTTGCTCCCCAGCAACGTGGTGTAGGAACTAATATGGCTGGTATGCAGGTGAATAGATTCGGTGGACCAGGAGGACCTATTGGATCAACGAATGTTGTCGGTGGTCAAGAAGGTGGAATGGCTCAACAAGCTCAACCACCAGCGCCAAGTCCGGCACAGCCGCAATCGGGGGCACCGAGTGGCGGACAACCGGGCCCTCAACAAGCAACACAAGGCCAAATGCCAACCGGACAACAACAAGGTGCTACACAATCAACCGCCGATCCCGAAAAACGAAAACTCATTCAACAGCAACTTGTTTTACTTTTACACGCCCACAAGTGTCAACGACGTGAGAGTCAATCGAATGGCGAAGCATGGCAATGTTCTCTACCTCACTGCAAAATGATGAAAAATGTGCTAAATCACATGACAAATTGTCATGCTGGCAAAAGTTGTGCGGTACCGCATTGCAGTTCTTCGAGGCAAATCATCAATCATTGGCGATTTTGCACGAAAGCCGATTGTCCCGTGTGTTTACCACTAAAACAAGCGGACAAAAATAGACATCAAAATTCTGTTGCAGTCACTGTACCTCAACCAACAACACAGCCCAATCCAAGTCCATCGGACATGAGGAGAGCGTACGATGCACTTGGTATTCAATGTCCAACAACCACTCCCAATTTACTACCCGGTCAGACAGTTAACAGAGGCGTCAGACTGACTGGTCCCCCACTGCAAGCGCCTGGCACCATGGCCGATGTTCGAATGGCACAACTTCAAACACAAACCGTACCGGGACAATCTGTCATTGGCGCCAATCAACAACAAGTTGTTGCTCCAAACGTTTCTCTACCCCTGAGCAAGGATCCAACTGCAGTCGCAGCAGCTGGCAATCAATCGACTCCAACCACTGGTCCAACAGCAGCCGCAGCAGCCGCCGCTGCCAACATTCAACAAACAGTCAATATGCAACAGCTCTTCGGTTTAAATGACTCCGGTCAGCCGGGAATTCTAGCCGACAATCGACTAAGCAACGTACAACTCCCTCCGGGTCTTCAAGCGGGACAAGTCACAGCGACGCCTGTTCAAGGGACGAAGGAATGGCATCAGTCAGTGACGCCAGATCTCAGGAATCATCTTGTTCACAAGTTGGTCCAAGCAATATTTCCGACTCCCGATCCACAAGCGATGCTCGACAAACGAATGCACAATTTGGTCGCGTACGCAAGAAAAGTCGAGGGCGACATGTATGAAATGGCCAATTCAAGATCCGAATACTACCACCTGCTAGCGGAGAAAATCTACAAAATACAGAAAGAACTCGAGGAGAAGCGTCAAAAGCGCAAGGAACAACAGTTACAGCAACAACAGCAGCAGCAACAACAACAGCAACAGCCCGGAGGCAGTGGCGCCGGTCTCAGACCCTGCGCTCCACCCGGAGTCGCCGCAAACGTCCAGGCCCGACCCGTTGGAACCGTTCCACCAAACCTCAGGAGTCACTCCCCAAGCATGGGACAACTGGGAATCGCCAACATCGGCATGCAACACAATCGTATGCAATTCCCTCAACAGCAGCAACAACAACAGCAGCAGCAAGCTGTGCAGCAAATACAACATCAACAACAACAGCAGCAGCAACAGCAACAGACCCAACAACAACAAATGCTTGTCGGCCCATCCGGACCCAGTCCAAACGGACAATCCGCTTCCAATCCGAACATGGTATCAAACCCCGGTCTCAGTCCCTTCGGACAACCTCAAATGTCCCAAGCGAACTTGACCACAACCACCTCGTCAGTGACCACTAGTCAATTCCCAACGACTAATGGAACAGCCGGTCTGCCCAACAGTTCGCCTGTTCAAAACCAACATCAATTCTCCGACATCATGAAGGTCCGATTAGCCCAAGCACAAGCTCAAGCGCAGCAGCAGCAGCAACAACAACAACAGCAACAACAACAGCAGCAGCAGCAACAGCAAAGTCAACAACAGACCCAGCAGCAGCAGCAACAACAACAACCGCCACAACCAACCAGCACCGCCAATCAAACCGTCAACTCAACCTCAATGCCACAAGCACCCTCACCCTTCAGTGGCATGCAACAAAGCACCCAGAGTCAACAATTCCAAAACAGTCTCTCAATGTCGGCCTCAACACCCGGCGACAGTGGCATCGCCGCCTCCACCCCTCAAACCCTAGCACCATCCGCCTCAAGCGGTCCCAGTCCCGGACCCGCTCCCCTCACAAACGGCCCACAATCAACAACTTCCACTCCCAACACACCATCCGTTCCATCACTAATGACACCCAATCAAACCACCTCATCAGCCAACCAAACACCCCCACATCCAGCCACAACACCATCACCCGCCGGTCTCGCAAGCCTCGGCAAAGGAATGACATCCCAGGAGAGAGCCGCACTCAACGCCCCACGAAGTTCATCAATGTCTTCGCAAATGGCCGCCATAACCGCAGCCCTTGATCGTGATAATTCTCCTAGTCCCCCATCGAATAATAACAAGGGCAAGCTCGATTCAATAAAGGAAGAGAACATCAAAATGGAAATAAAACAAGAAGACAGCAATGAAAATCATCGTAGCGATGGCGGCAAGGGAAGTAATAGTGATATGGCAATTAAAACTGAGATAAAAACCGAGCCAATGGACGAGGCATCGGATGAAATGGCTGTCAAGGATGAAGCGAGTGGGACAATTAAAGATGAACCAGTGACGCCAATGTCGAGTCAAGACACAGCAACATCGGATATTAAGCCTATTGTTCCTGAACCAATACAATCGACTGGCACGTCGAGCGATAAAAAGCGATTGTGTTTATTTAAACCTGACGAATTGCGTCAAGCATTGATGCCAACTTTGGAGAAATTGTATCGACAAGATCCGGAGTCATTGCCATTTAGACAACCCGTCGATCCTGAGGCATTAAAAATTCCGGATTACTTTGATATTGTGAAGAAACCAATGGACTTGTCAACGATTAAACGAAAATTGGACACTGGACAGTATAGCGATCCTTGGGAGTATGTCGATGATGTTTGGATGATGTTTGACAATGCTTGGCTGTATAATCGGAAACCGTCACGAGTCTATAAATATTGCACCAAGGTGAGATTATTATTTTATTATTTATTTATTTATTTAAAGGCATACAGGTTCCTGGGGCGTATGACTCGATCCGTAGAAAGGTACCTTCGAAGGGAATTATTTTTAAGTTCCTTGTGTTATTTTTAGCTTTAAAATAAATTCCCATGAAGTGATACACTAAAAAATCAGATGTTTAGGATATTTTTATAATCAAATTAATATAAAATCTAACAGTTAAAGGATTTAAATTTTTATATGGTAGTGAATTTTAAAGCATTTTTTCCTCTTTTTATTTCAGTAAATAATTAAAATTTCGAAAAACTTTCTTCAAGTTAATTTCTTTAACTTCAAATTTGAATTTCTTTAAGTTAATTCAAGTATCACATATAACTCAGAAAAAATTTTAGTTGAAAACAGTTACAATTTTCAGAATTAATAGAATTTCAGAAGATTTTCGATTCTTTGGAAAGAAATTAAAAATAATTATTTATTTCAAATTTATTCAAGTTTTAAATAACTTTATTTACTTTCTAAATTTAAATTAGTAAAAATGTTCACTAATTTCAATTAGTACCTGATTTTTTGCTTTTAAATAAGTAAATTTTACTAATAAATAGTAATTTCTACTAATTTATTAGTAAAATTTACTAATTTAAAAGCAAAAAGTCACTAATTTTAATTAGTAAACATTTTATTTTTACTAATTTCAAAATTAGAGAGTAAAATTCTGAAAAAAAATATAAATTTTGATTCAATTTTTTAAAGTTACTTTAATTATTTAAAAACATTTTATTAAAAAATTATAAAATTAATTGAATTTTGGGAAATTAATTGAAAATAAATATTAAAGAATTTTATTAGAAATTTTTAAAAATCGATTTTGCAAAGAATTTTAATGAAGTAATTGGTAAATAATTGAATTTTATAAAGAGTCACAAACGAATGAATTTATATGTTTACAAGAAATTTTTTTACAGTGTAAGGTACCTTTCTACGGAACGCGTCACAAAAATTATTTTTTTTTATTTTATTCTTTTTTTTCATTATTCTTTTTACTTCATTTTTTATTATTTTTTTTACTTTATTTTTTATTATTATTTTTTTACTTTACTTTTTATTATTTGTTTTATTTTACCAATTAAAATTGGTCCCCTTGTTGAGAAAAAAATTACCCAAAGTGTAAATGTTGAAAATATTGAGGAAATGTAATAATAATTTTAAAAAGTAATAATTCTTGACTACTTTTAGAGTTTTTATTTTTAAACTAATGTGTCAGATCTTTCTTTTGAATATCTATACTACACGAAGGTCGCGTAAGTATATTTTAATGGTACTTTGCAATTTAAGTATCACATATTTTCTTACGCTAGATTAAATTGGCAGGATAATTAACCTAATTTGACTTTTTGGCAATTTAGGTCAGTCACCTGTCCTACAAATAAATATAAAAATTATTTCCATTACTGGAAAGCAGAAAATATTAAATTTTATTCCTTGGAATAATAGTTATATTTTGATTCTAAAAAAAAATTTTATTTGTTTAAATATTTTTCATTATTATAATTTATTAATCAATTATAAACCATAATTATAGTTGTTAATAATAATTATTTAATTACAAAATATTTTTACTATATCATTAGTGAAAAAAGTGAATATTTCTTAATGTTTCAACATTTATATCTAGGTAACTTTTTTCTTCTTTTAGAATATAGAAATTGTTATTTGACAGGTAAGTTTAGGTTTAGTTTTATTGCTTTATTTTCTATTTTTTCAAACAATTAGTAAAAAAGTAAAATTATTTATTTATTGACAACTAAACCAATAGTCAAAAATTAAAAGACTTTTTTAAAAATATCCCTACAGTTTTTAACTTTCAAATGAACGAAATTTATTTTTATCCAATTCAAAATTGAAGAAATATAAATGAAAGTGGCGTAAGAGTATTTTAATGATACTTTGCAATTTTAAAGTATTCTTTATTTTCTTACGCCAGATTAAATTGGCAGGATAATTAACCTAATTTGACTTTTTGTCCATTTAGGTCAGTCACCTGACCTACAAGTGATTAAGATTTTTAAAAAAACTGTCTCTAATTTATAGTTTATATTTAATAACAAAAAAATTTAAGTTTAAAAAATACTTTAATCAAATAATTTAGAAATAATTTGAACCATGAAAAAGATCATCCAACTTGTGACAGAATTATAAGAAAAAGATAATTGTAAAGAAGTGAAGAATTATTTAATTTGTAAAATTATTTGAATTCTTTTTTTGAATTTTACGATTTGGGAATGTTTTTTAGAATTTTTCTTGAAGTATAAAATACAGAAATCTGTGTAAATTTAAAAATTGGCTAAATTTCATAAAAAAGGCAGTGTTAATAATCACGAAAATGAAAATTTATTCAGTTTTATTCTTATTTTAGAAAATGAGAATTGTAGTTAAAATGTAATTTTTAATTCGATTGTAAAATTTTTTTTTCTAGTTGTCAATAATTTTGGAATATTAATAAGAAAAGAAATTTTAAAAAAATGGCGTAAGAGTATTTTAATGGTACCTTGCGATTTAAATGTATTATTTATTTTCTTACGCCAGATTAAATTGGCAGGATAATTAACCTAATTTGACTTTTTGTCCATTTAGGTCAGTCCCCTGACCTACAAGTGATTGAAAATGAAAAATCCGTTTTTAAATAATACAAATTTGAAATTTTTTTTAACCTAAAGTATAATTAAGATAAATACGAAAATCTATTGAAATGTGCCAATTGGTTAAATTTCTTAAAAAGACAGTTAATAATAATTTAAAAAATTAAAACTCACTTTTATTCTTATCTTCAAAAAAGAGTAATGTAATTTTTAATTCGCTTGTGAAATTTCTTTTTCTAGTTGTCTCAATACTTTTGGAATAATTTACAAGAATTGAAAATTAAGAAAAAGTGGCGTAAGAGTATTTTAATGGTACTTTGCAATTTAAAAGTATTATTTACCCTCTTATGCCAGATTAAATTGGCAGGATAATTAACCTAATTTGACTTTTTGTCCATTTAGGTCAGTCCCCTGACCTACAAATGTAAAAATGAAAAACTGTCATCACTAATTTACAGTTTACATTTAAAAACAATTTTTTTTAAAAATTGTATTACTCTTTCTATTGTTTGTTTGTATTTTCTAATATTTGTATTGCGTCTAATTTTGTACTGAATTTGCATTATATTTGCATTTTTTTCATTTTTCAGCTGTCCGAAGTATTTGAACAAGAAATTGATCTTGTGATGCAAGCTCTGGGATACTGTTGCGGAAGGAAGTATACCTTCAATCCTCAAGTTCTTTGTTGCTACGGAAAACAATTGTGCACAATACCGAGAGACGCCAAATACTATTCCTACCAAAACAGGTCAGTTATTGTTTTCATTATTGCTCAAGTACATGGCAATATTTAGCATTTCTTCATTTAGCGATCATACGATTTCTGCATTGCAAAAATTCACCTTTTTTTGCTCTTTTAATTTTTTTTCTCCTTGAAAACATTTCGTTTTAAATCTTTTTTTTTTTAAATAAATCTATTTTTTTTAGACTTGGTGGAAAACAATTTAGTTATTAAAATAAAAAATGGATTACAGAACGGAAGTTGAATTTATTGTAACTAAATTTTGCATGAATAGTTTAGTAATATTTGCAATTTTTTTTTGTAGTTTTCCTTAAGTAGCGAATTGAATAAATTTTCCAGAAAAATATTAAATTTTTGAAATCAAAATTAACTTTGTAGACGAAAATTAAATTTTTGAAAGAAAGCTTCAATTTTGGCGCATTCGGTATTTCTGTAGCACTTAGTTTTCAAAAAGTGTTGTTTAACTTCGTGCGCCATATTAAATTGGCGGGATAATTAACCCGAATTGGTCATTTTCAGCCAAGTTGGGTCAGTCACCTGTCCTACAGAAGTTTTCAATTAGCAAATTATAATCTTGACACGAGATTTACAGATATAAATATTATTTACAAGATGCTTCGGCAAAAAGTCAAGGGAACGAATTCAAATTTTTTCTGTAATACAATTTTTTTTTTGACAATGCCTATAATTTCTAACAATGCACTATTTTTTTTGTTTTCTTCGCTCTACGGGTTGCGTACGTGCACAAAAAATTTTTATTTGCTGCTTGCTTCTTGCTTTGATCTCTGCTTTCCATCACGAAATTTGGTTCTTCAACATCGGACATCTGAATAATTGGAATAAAACAAAATTATTAACACGGACGGATTTTTTTTGTCTGGAAAAAATTTTTTTTTTTGGATCTAATTGGCAAATTATAAAAAAAAACATTGCATGTGTTTTCGAAAACGCTTAATATGGACACGATATTTTTGGATTTGCGTGTAACTCACGCGTGTAAAATAAAAATTGGTGTGGATTTGAAAAATTTGGGCGATAAATAGTCTAAAGGCTTATGGTGTTGTTTCCGATAGATACACCTTCTGTCAGAAATGTTTCAACGACATTCCCGGTGATACCGTGACGCTTGGCGATGATCCCACTCAACCACAAACGTAAGTTTTTGATTTCTGTTTTTCTAAACTAAATTGGAAATTGCAGGATTAATACAATTTTGTTTTTTACTTTAGTGCCATCAAAAAAGAACAGTTCCAAGAGATGAAGAACGATCATTTGGAGTCGGAACCTTTCGTTTACTGTACAGACTGCGGGAGAAAAGTGCATCAAATTTGTGTACTTCATATGGAAAATATATGGCCCTTAGGGTAAGTGAACAATTTATTTCTTTTGATCTGCTTCCAAACAAGTATTTAAAACATGTTCTCATTTTTTTTAAAAATTTCTTTAGCTTTACCTGTGATAATTGTCTGAAAAAGAAGGGTCAGAAGCGTAAGGATAATAAATTTAATGCAAAACGATTGCCAGTAACGAAATTAGGTACATATATTGAAACACGAGTCAACAATTTCCTAAAAAAGAAAGAAGCAGGCGCAGGCGAAGTTGCAATCAGAGTGGTGGCTTCCAGTGATAAAGTTGTAGAAGTTAAGCCAGGAATGAGGAATAGATTTGTCGATAATGGAGATATGCCGGGTGAATTCCCCTATCGTGCAAAAGCACTTTTTGCATTTGAGGAAGTTGACGGAACTGATGTGTGTTTCTTTGGTATGCACGTCCAAGAATATGGTAGTGAGTGCACATCGCCAAATACGAGGCGAGTTTACATTGCTTATCTCGATTCGGTGCATTTCTTCAGGCCTAGACAATTTCGTACAGCGGTTTATCATGAAATTCTTTTGGGATATCTCGATTACGCTAAACAATTAGGGTGAGTTTTTTCATTTTATTCAAAAATTTCAATTTTTAATTCAGAAAAAGAAACTAATTCTACGCCTATATAAATATAGGGTTGACACGCAATCTAAAAACCTAGAAATGTCAGGAAATTTTATTTATTTCTTTTTGATGAAGAACATTATTTTTCATTGGCAATTTGATTTTTCTCTGTAGATATACAATGGCTCATATTTGGGCGTGTCCTCCATCGGAAGGAGATGACTATATCTTTCACTGCCATCCGCAGGAGCAAAAAATTCCTAAACCGAAAAGGTTACAAGAATGGTACAAGAAAATGCTAGACAAGGGCATAGTTGAAAGAATAGTTCTCGATTATAAGGTTTGTATAAAAATATTATATATTAAATACTTACGTTTTAATAACACTCCATTATTTTTGTTATATTTTACATATTTTTGTATTTATTATTTTTATTTACTTTTTTTAATAATTCGAAAGTCTCAGTGTTCCCTGTCAGTGAAAACAAATTACTTACAGGTGTCTTGTGGGACTGACATTAAAGCCTGACTAAGCTAATGTTTTTATTTATTTGTAAATTTTAACATAGGATAAACAGGCGACAATTTTGACACAATAATTAATTTTATTATTTAAAATTTAAATATACTGAAAGAGAATTTTTCTTTTTAAAGGATATCCTGAAACAAGCAATGGAAGACAAATTGACCTCTGCCGCTGAATTACCTTATTTCGAGGGAGATTTTTGGCCTAATGTTTTGGAGGAAAGTATAAAGGAACTGGACCAGGAAGAGGAAGAGAAACGAAAGGAGGCCGAGGCTGCTGAAGCGGCAGCCGCAGCGGCAAATGTAAGTCTCTTTTTCATAAAAATGAATCAATTATTGCAATTTCTTTTTTAAAAAGTCATCGTGTTTGTCTGAAGGAAAATGTTAAGTTAAATTATTTCTTGTAGATTCTCTCAATGTCCGAAGACTCAGAGACTGGTCCAGATGGCAAGAAGAAAGGCCAGAAAAAGGCGAAGAAGTCAAATAAATCCAAAGCAAATCAGCGAAAAAATAGCAAAAAATCAAATACACCCCAAACGGGAAATAATCTTTCGGCGAAAATTTTCGCTACAATGGATAAACATAAGGAAGTTTTCTTTGTAATTAGGCTACATAGCGCTCAAAGTGCAGCGAGTTTATCCGTAAGTTTTCTATTCCTTTATAGAACTTGAATTAATTTTATTCGTTTCTTCAATTAATAGAATTTTATCGACTTTTTATTTGTCTTTATTCTTTTCTGGAATTTTGATTAATTTTTCGAATTTTTCAGTCTATACAAGATCCAGATCCAGTTATCAATTGTGATTTAATGGACGGACGAGATGCTTTCCTCACAATGGCAAGAGAGAGACATTATGAATTCTCATCTTTGAGACGAGCGAAATTCAGTTCAATGTCCATGTTATACGAGTTGCACAATCAAGGCCAGGACAAATTCGTTTATACTTGTAATAATTGCAAGAGTCACGTGGAAACTCGATATCACTGTACTGTTTGTGATGTAAGTTTGAATATTTGTCTTTGAATATTTAGTCAAATTAAAAATTTCCTATTTTTTATGTTATACGTTAAATTTTCTCCCTTTTTCTCTAGGACTATGATCTGTGTATAAGTTGTAAAGAAAAGACTGGTCATCCTCATCATATGGAGAAGCTTGGTTTGGATTTGGACGATGGTTCATCACCTGACGACGCAAAACAGGCCAATCCTCAGGTGAGATTTACTTTTTTTTTTAAAAATACATTTAGTTGCATTTAAATATAAAAGAAAAATTGTAATGAATTTAAATTTACGAGAAATTTTGTATTTTTGCTTACAGGAAGCGCGCAAGCTCTCAATTCAAAGATGCATTCAATCTCTGGTCCACGCTTGTCAATGCAGAGACGCGAACTGCCGATTGCCAAGCTGTCAGAAGATGAAGAGAGTTGTGACACATACAAAGGTGTGCAAACGAAAGACAAATGGTGGATGTCCAATTTGCAAACAACTTGTTGCCTTGTGCTGCTATCACGCCAAACATTGTCAAGAAGCGAAATGCCTCGTACCCTTCTGCTCCAATATTAAGCATAAATTGAAGCAACAACAACTTCAACAACGACTTCAACAGGCTCAGTTACTCAGGTGAGAAATACTAACAAAAAAACATAATTTCGATAAAATAGAGAAGATTTTAAAAATATCATTTTAATTTTAAACTTCGAGTGAATAGAATTTTATTAGAATTTTAAATTAATATCGTAATGATAATTAATGTTAAATAATATTAATAATTAAAATAAAAAAACAGGAGGAGAGTGGCTGTGATGAATACGAGGCCGACGGGTCAAATGGGTGCGGTTCAAAGTGCTCAGCAAAGTTCGAATACAAATATGACGACTGGTGTTGCCATGAAACCAGGAATGAGTCCAACGAATTTACCATCTCCCCATCAACCCGGCGTGGGATTAAAACCCGGTACACAGACACCGTCTGCACATGTTCTCCAGGTTGTTAAACAAGTCCAGGAAGAGGCAGCGAGACAGCAAGCGCCACATGTCAGCTATGGTAAAGTATCACCAGGAGTCGGTGTTGGCGTCGGTGTCAATGTCAACGTTGGAGGTCAAGGAGGCAATGTCATGCCACCACCTCAAATGCAAAGGTCAATGCCAGTTCAAATGCCGAATCCCAGCGGAACACATCTCATATCCATGGATCAATGGACACCTAGGTGAGTTTTGTTTTAACAATTAAAGGCTTTTTTTCAACTCATAAACTTTAAAATTATCACGAATTCTCTAATACAAAATGTTAAATTCTTTCTATTTTTGGTAATAAATTATTTTAAATAATTTCATTCTTGAAGAACTCTCAAAAAACTACTACTATAACTTATAAATTATTTAAGGAATAATTTTACTTAAAATTTTCAAAAATAATTGAATTTTATGAGTTGCGTTGACAATTTCTATAAATAGATGAACTTCAAAAGGTTTCAATTTGAAATTTTATAAAATTTCAATTTTTAATGAATTTAATTAGAAAGAACTTAGAAATTTGAAAAATTTTAATAATTCAAATTCTTCCAGTTAAATATTTTAAAACGTATTTAATTAATTATTAAAAATAATAGATTTATAGAAGAATTTTAGTTAAAGACTCTAAAAAATATTGAATTTTTGAGAAGTTAAGAATAATACCAATTTTTTGAAATAATTGAATTTAAAAAAGATTTCCAATTCAAGTCTTTGGAAAATCTGAATTTTACACACTTTTAATCAATAATTCTGTAGAGCTAATTTATTTTAAAAAGTTTCAATCTCAATTCTATTGAAATTGAATCTTTTAATATAAATATTAATTATTTTATCTGGAAATCGAGGAAGAACAAAATTAAATTTTTGTGGCAACCCTGAATTAATAGACAATTTTTTTTATTCAGAAATAAAAAAAATTCCCTTTTTTTACAATTCTTCGAATTTTTAATAACTTGAATTTAAATGAAAATTTGATTTGAAAAAAATTGTATTTTAAATAATCATCTATTTGAATTTTGATTATTCAGGTATCAACCGAACACGGTTATGCAACAAAATCCCGGTTTGAGACAACAAACACCTCAGCAACTGATGCAACAGCAACAGCAGCAGCAACAACATCAAGGCCAAACGGGAATGGGACTTGCCGGTCAGATGCCACGACAAACTGGCGTTCTTGGCGGTCCTCTCAGTCAAGTTGGACCTGGCGGTTCGACAATGCATAATCGAGCCTATCAACAACTCATGGCCACACTAAAGAGTCCCAATACACCGGAACAACAAAATCAAATACTTCACATACTCAAGAACAATCCATCCCTAATGGCTACATTTATAAGACAACGCCAGGTATTATAGATAAAAATTTTATTCTCTTGCTTTCAGAAAACACATATAAAAATTTACAATAATCTCTGTCTTAAAAGGTATCTGTATTTTTTTCCAATCTTTTTCAATTCGAATTAAATATTAATTTTTACAAAATCTTTAAAAAAAACACTAAATTTTACAACTCTCAATTTTAATCTAATTTCAACTTTAATCTAATCTCAAATATAGTTTCAACATTAATCTAATCTCAAAATCTGATCTCAATTTTAATCTAAATTTTCTTTTTTAAATTAATTTATAAATTAGAACAGAAAACAGAATTCAAATTTAAATACGCTAATTAAATGTTGTTGTGTTGAAAAATTGAAGAAATGTTTCTAACGCATCTAATAAAAAAAAGGTACTTGCTCTTCAGCAGCAAACTGGTCAGCATGCTGGTGGAGTTGGTCCACTGGGTCCTAGTCAGCAGCAACAGCAGCAACCTGGCTTGCAGCATATGCTGTCGCAACAACAACAACAGCAACAACAACAGCAGCAACAGCAACAACAACATCATCAACAACAACAGCAGCAACAGCAGCAGCAAGGTAGAACGCAAATGATGATTGGACAACAGCAGCAACAACAACCAAGCCAAGGACCCAGTGTACAACAACAACAGCAACAGCAATGGTATAAACAGCAGCAAATGTTGGTTATGCAGAGACAGCAGCAAATGCAACAGCAGCAACAACAACAACAGCAGCAGCAACAGCAACCTTTTACACAACCACCGGCACCGCCTTACGGCCAACAGAGGCCCATCAGGCCACCTTTAATGAGTGAGTCATAAATTTTCTTTCCTTTTTATTTAAAAAAAAATATTTAACGCGAAAACAAAAACGGTTTTTGTTTTCGCGTTAAATATTTTTTTCCATAGAGGAAAAAAGGGATTCTAAGTAAACTCTTGTTATGTTTAAACTAAAAATCGTGATTATTATCGATTTGTCGTTTTTGTTTCTTAGATTCTTCTTTCTTCGTTTTGTGTCACATATTTTTTATTTCATTATTATTATTAAGTAATCTTTAGTATTGAATATTTAATTATTATCTATGGGTGATTCTCTGAGAAAAATTACGCATTCCTAGTTGTTTTTGTCAAAAAATAATAAAATTAATTTCAGTTTTTAAAGATTATAGGACAAAAAATCCAATCCAAAAAAATCGGACCGAAAAAGTCAAGAAAATAAGTCAAAAGTAGAAAAATTCCAAAGTAAATAAAAACTTTCTTAAATAAATAATGAAACATGTGAAAATGCCACGTTTTTACTTTTTACGCTATAAAATCGGGATTTAAAAATGTTAATGTTAAAATCGCAGGATTTGAATTATTTACAAAACATAATAAAATTATACACAAAAAATTAAAATATTTTCATAAATAAAAAAATTCGCGAAAATTCAATTATTTTCATAAATAAAAAAATTTCTAGAAAGATTTTAATTATTCTATAAAATTTTTAAATCAATTATTTCAAGAAATACTGTTATTTTCAACAATTTTGATAAAATTCTTTACGAAAATTTAATTATTTGTTTTCAATATAATTCCAATTATTAAATTACTCGATTAATTTAATTATTTTCAAAAATTTTAAATGTTTTTACCTACTTTCGATTCACACTCATCGAAATAAGCAACTCAAAAGAAAAGAACAATTTCATTCAAGGCAACCATTTAAATTTTTATATCTCAATTTTTTTCATTGAATTTTTAATTTCTTTGTACTTTTTGACCAGGAAAAAAAATTCAAAAAATAAGTTTAAAGTGAAAAAATTTTGTTTTCACTTTTTTGGATTTCATTTGCATTGGATTTTTTTATGTGGACTTTTTTATTCTTATTTAACAATTTGATTTAAATTTAATTTTATTTAGTTATTTAATATTTTAAATTTAATTAAAAATTTTTAATTGTTGGATAAGATTTAATAATTATTTATCAAATCGCTAGAGAAAAATTCAACTGAAATCTGCTCTTACGGACCAGATTTCATTAAATATTTTAGTTATTTGTCCATTTATTTAAATTTTTCTTTAGTGATTTAATCAAAAATTGATGAATCATATCGTATTGGTAGAATTTTGGATAAATTAAATTTACTTTACCATTTTTAAACAAAAACAAAGTCTGACACTGCGAACAAGTTATTTGAGAGAATCATCCTTATGTAAATTTATACTAATATTTTAGTATTTAATTTTTAATATCTATGGTTTAGAGTCTAAAATTACTATCTGCATTTTAGTAAATTTTTGTCACTAGCAAGTGAACTTGAAAATAACGAAAAGAAAAATATAAAAAAATAACGTGATTTATTATAAGAAAACTACAGTTTTCAAAGTTCTCTTCTTAATAAACAAATTATTTTTCCGCCCAGTAGTTTTCTTTATTTATAAACTTCTTGGGCTAGGGACAAAAAAACTCACTGAAATGTGAACTCTAAACCGTCGAATAATAATATTTATATAAATTTATATTAATATTTAAATATTTAATGTTTATTCATTTAATTATTAAATTATAATTGATACTATTAATTGATATAAAAATACAAGTTCTGTTCAATGGAAATTTAACCAAATGATAAAATTCTACTCATTGGTAATTCGATTAACATCCTAATTTGTTGAGTGGTTTGTTAAAGGGAAATTTTGGTAAACAGAATTTAACTCTCCGTTGACACGAATTTCAAGTACCAAATATCTAAAAATTTGTTCGAAAATTGGATGATAGTTTAGAAGTTTATCTACATAACAATGGAAATTATATTTTTGTGAAAAATAGTGGTGGTGTCGATTAGAAAAATAAGAGTGTCAACGGTGGTATGTTCTTCTAAATTGAATTCAAATTTTCCTCTGTAGAAATCGAAGTGTCTAAAAGTTCTGTTGTATAGAAATTCTAAAGTGTGAGCAACTCCACGTGAAACGTTAAGTAAAAATTTTATAATCCCTCTTTTTTCAAAAGCAAATCTTATTCTTCTATTTATAAACTTTCAGGAAATTATCTCTTTTTTTCATTTCTTTTTTATTGAAAAGCTGAAATTTTTTCCAATAAATTATGTAAAGTTTGAAAAGGGAACAACAATGGGGTTTCAAGAAAATAGAAAAAAGTGCATTTTTCCCATTCTCTGGAAAGTATATTGTCGTCCCAGTTTCATTTTTTTACATGTTTTATTGGAAAAAATCTCAACTTTTTAATAAAAATGATTTTCAAAAAATTAAAAAAGAGATAGTTTTTTAGTAAAAATTAAAAAATAAGGTTTATTTTTTAAAAAAAGAGGTATTAAACATCTTTTTTGAAAAGATTTTTGGCATTGAAAAGTACAAAAAAGATGCTTTAAAATTTACTTTATAAAAATTAAAATTCTTTTATTCTTGTAGAAGTTGTATCAATTTGAATGTAACAAAATTCCTTAAACATTATTCCAGATTGAATCAGTTTACGTGGAATTGCTCAAAGAAGAATTGTGTGAAGTTTTTGTTTTTAAATATAGAAATTCGTTTAGTAAAAATTTTATTTAAATAAAAATTCTCTTTTGAAGTGTGAATTATGTAGAATCTGGCATATCAAATTCAACAATAGAAATTTATTCAAATTCGAATTCGATGAAAAGGAGAAAATCATTTTGGTATAAAAATTGGATCGAAAATTGTTTTTCTTTTCAAAAGTCTACAGATTCAATCTTATGAATTTTGACAAGATTTTGATAGATTTTAAAGCAGAGCAGGGTTGCCATAGGTCACGGGAAATCAGAGTTGAAAGTAAAATTGTTCAGGGAATTCAAGGAAAGGTCAGGGAATTTTATCAAAAGTACTAAAAAAATTACTAAATTTATAGAATCAATAAAAAAATTTATGATTTTGCGGTCTTAACAGAATATGAAATTTAATTTATTTCTGTAAATAAATTAATTCTTGAAGAACTATCATAAAATGATAACTTACAGATTATTTTACGATTAATTTTACTTAGAAGTTCCAAAAATAATTTTATTTTATTACAGTTGAGTTTAAGATTTTTATAAATAATTACATTTCAAAAGGTTTCAAATTAAAGTTTTAGAAAATTGGAATTTCAAAAAAAAGTTTTAATTACAAATTCTCAAGAACTTAGTTTGTTGAAAAATTTTTATTCAAATTTCGTTGAATTTTTGAATATTACAATATTATTTTAAATATAATAATTGAAAAATTTTCTAATAAATCAAATTTTATAAAATAAAATTCTCAACAAGTGAATTTCAGAAATATTTCAAGTGAACTTTCTTTTTTGCTATGTATGAATAATTAAATTCTCAATGAACTTTCACAAAAATTCTAGAAAATAATTGATTTAAAGAAGAATTTTAGTTAAAAATTCTAGAAAGTAATTGAATTGAAATCTTATAATAAATTTTGGAGTTAATAAATAAATTTAAATTAAAGATATCTAAATAAATTCAGTTTAAAAAAATTAAATTAAATTTTTGATAAAATTTATGTAGCTATTTTCGTAAATAATCGAAAATTCAAAGGTTTGGAATTTGGAATTTTTTGTTAATTTGAATTCCTAGGGAAAAATAATAATAATTAAATATTTATTTAAAAAGTTATTGATTTTTCGAATAATTTTATAATTAAAGACATTCATAAATTAATGTTTTAGTAGATTTTCTTTTTCAAATCAGTAGAATTTTGACAAAAATTGACAATTTTTAATTTTTCTATAGTGAATTTTAAAGTATTTTTTGTGTACTTTTCAATTCTTAAAACTCTTTTTTTAAAAAATGTATTTTTAATTTCCATTAAAAAAAATAAACCTTTTTTTCAAGATTTAAAAAACGTTCTCTTTTTTATATTTTTTTCATTATCACTCAAAAGCTGAAACTTTTTCTAAAAAATTATGTGAAGTTTGAAAATGAGACAACAATGAAATTTCAAAAAAATGAAAAACACAACTTTTTTAACACTTTTTATTTATTTTATTGAAAATCCATTATTTTCCCATTTTTAAACTTTACATAATTTTTTAGAAGAAATCTCAACTTTTCAATGAAGATGATAAAAAAGAGGCTTCTTAGTTTATGTAAAAATTGAAAAATAAGGTTTATTTTTGAAAAAAGAGGTGTTAAAAATATATTTTTCATAACGCGGTGCAAAAAAGGGCACTTTTTTGCACCTTGTTATGAAAAATGCTTTAAAATTCACTCTATGAATATTAAAATCGTTCAGTTTTTGTAGAAGTTATATGAATTTAAATGTAACAGTTTCCCTTAACATCTAATTTCTTTTTATTGGATCAGTTCAAGTGGAATCGCGCTTTTATCTAATAATTTTTAGAGTGAATCAGAATATTCTTTAGAGTCAGGAATAAAGAATACATGGAGGGAGAATTTATATTAAAGTTTGTAAACGTATTTTACAAATTAGGGAAAAAGTGTGCTAAAGATAAATTTTTGTATAAAAAATACTCTGTATAAAAAAATACTTTGTATAAAAAATACTTATACTAAAGTATAAAAAATAAATCAAGAATATTAATATTCTTGATATTTAATATAATTTTACTAAATTTCACACAAGTTTTTTTAAAGTTATTAAAATTCAATTCTATAAAAAATACTAAATTTCACATAAGTTTTTTCAAGAATATTAATATTCTTGACATTTGATATAATTTTACTAAATTTCACATAAATTTTTTTAAAGTTTAGTACTTTTTATATCAAAATTTGTCTTTAGCGCACTTTTTCCCTAATTTGTAAAATACCTTTACAAAATTTAATATAAATTCTCTCTCCGTGTAATTAAAAAAAAAAAAAAATTACAAAATTCTATCTGCAAAACGAAGGGGAAAAAACCAAAATTCTGTGGCAACCTTGCAGAGGTGATGATTCGTAGTAATGATTTTAGGAGAATGTTTTTTTGTCTAGTTTGTAAATTATTCTTTAGATGGCTGAAGGCAGTGAATGGCGATTTAATAGAAAAAAATGCAAATTATTTCCATAGATTATGGTGGTTTCAATGAGCAAGGCTACGGTCAGCCGGGTCTTAAACCAACACCACCTCCTGTGCCCTCTCCGCAAGGTGTAATGGGACCACCAGGAATTTCGGTGCAGCAACAACTGATGCAGTCGGTTCGTTCACCACCGCCAATTCGTTCACCACAACCGAATCCCTCACCTCGACCTGTACCGTCGCCGCGTAATCAACCAGTTCCTTCACCGCGTTCTGGTCCTGTACCCTCGCCACATCATCATCCACCACATGGAACGCCAACTCATTCGCCCGCACATGAACTAGGTGGCCCTAGTGAAATGATGTTACCCTCCGGTCATCCTCCCAATATGCCGCATCATTCATCGCCAGCACCCCCACCCACAAGTGGCACAGACTCGAGTGAAATGCCGCAAATGACGCCACAAGACCAATTAACAAAGTTCGTAGAAAGGTTGTAGTGACAATTAGTATCATGAAATGATTTTAAATCTTTTCTGGCTGTTGCCATTTAAAAAAAAAATGAAAAAAAAACAAAGCCGTTTTTTTACGAAATAAACGGCTTCGCTGCTCACGTTCGAGGTGCCTGAGAGAGAGATAGAGAGAGAGAAAGAGAGAGAGAAAGTTATCGCGATGAGAATTATCTCTAAACTTCTCCCCTATCCTAACACACTAAACGGGGTATTCGATTGAGCGCGAATTTATTGTAGATTTGTATATCAATGAAAAAAAAAATCAGGGATGTAATCCAGATTGTGGCGTTCCACTGCGCGCGCGATCTTTTACTATACCAATAACTCTACTCTATTTATTAGGGTGCGCGTTTTAATTCTCCGAGCCATTGGAACGATAAAAAAAAAAAAATAAAAATAGAAGGCAAAGGACAACTACTTATAAAAAAAAATACATTGTGTCGAGAATGAACTCCAGACAATGTCCTTCTATCTTTGCCCCCCTCTCCCTCCCCAGGGCGGCAATCGCCCTTAACAAAGTTCCATGCGTTCCTGATTTATACTTGTGGTCCGATAAATCCGGCATAATCTCGATATATTTTTATATTATTCAGAATAAGAAATATATGAATATATCGAGATTATTAGAAAATAGGAGATCGAAAGACTATTCCTTATTCCCTTCCTTGCTGCTGCTGATGCTGCTGCTAATCCTCCTTCTCGTGCAGGCTAAGTGAAATCGTACAAATGTGTTGTGTATACTTAACGTTAATTAATATTAATAGTTCAAATACTACTGTAGCGAATATGCAGTTATTACCATTATTATTATTATTAGAAATTATAATTATTGATAATAATAATTATTATTTCGATTATTATGATTATTACAATGATGATTATTATTATTATGATTATTATTATTATATTATTATTATGAAAATGATTATGATTATTATGATTACTATTATTATTAAAATGATTATGATTATTATTATTATTATTAAAATTATTATGATTATTATTACTATTATTATTATTATTATTATTATTATTATTATTATTATTATTATTACTATTGTAATTATTAATATTATTATTAATATTGCAAGCGAAATAGTCAATGTTGTTTGTATTAATATTAAATATTAATATTACTATTCCTATTTATTATTATTAATATTAAATGTTAATATTAATATTGCTATTTATTAATATTATTAATATAATAGTAATAATAATAATAATTATTATTATTATGATTGTGAAAAAAGCAAAGATATAACAAAGATGCGTGTATGAGAATGAATGGAATTACCTTTGTGTATTTAAAGAAAAAAAAGTAAAAGGTAAAAAGAATTTAGAGCCGAGTTTTTAAGCGAATTAATTGTAAGTTGTTATACAAAGAAAAATTGAAGAAGCAGTAGCGACCACCGTGATGGAGCTGTACTTAGCTCTTAAATTTTTTTTTTAATTTTATTTTAAAATCTCGAGAGCTCTGGGAACTCTTGAATAATTTTCGATGGGGTTCGAAAAACAATGACGTAACCAAAAAAAAGGGAAAATTTGCATAAACAAAGGCTGCTAAACGAAGGGGATGATTTTTTTATAAATCGTGTAATTTTTTGAACAGATTTTTTTTTTTTTTATTTTAAAATAAAAGTCCCGTGTTGGATTTTTTTCGTAACATTGTATATAATATATATTATTATATTATTGTCATTGTTATCATTATTATTTTCCTATTAAATTGACGTGAAAGTACGTGTATAATAATAATAATGATGATGATGATTTATGATTGATTGTGCTGAAAAAATGGTAATGATGATAAAAATGAATATATTGATGATTTAAATATAATGATATAATGATAATAATGAAAATAATTATTATTGTGAATGATAATGAGAAAATAATTATAATTATTGAAAAATGATAATTGAAAAAGTAATTGGTAATTATTGAAAAATAATAAATGAAAAATAATTGTAATTATTGAAAAATAATAAATGAAAAATAATTATAATTATTGAAAATAATAATGATAATGAAAAATAATTATTATTTGAGAATGATAAAATGATGGTAATGATGAGAATGATAATGATAATGATGATGATAATAATTATTATTAATATTATTATATTAATTTACTCTTGTCTATTATGAATTTTTATGACAAAGCGAAAGAACATATTGTAATATTTTGAGACGTGAAGGGGACCGATATATTGCGTTATAAAAGCTACTTCACTATGCCAGTGCTGTATAATAGTAATTTGTAAGTGTATTTTTCGCCTCTGCTTTTTTCTTAATTAACTCTATTTAAAAGCAACAAACTAAAAAAAAACAAGAAAGAAAATGATGATGTAGGAGAGAATGATTTTAAGTGTAAAGCGCGAGATTTACTTTTGAAAAGCAGTAAAATTCTCGCGAAATCAAGTTGTAAAAAAAAATATTTAGCTGATTAAAAGAGAGAGAGAAAAGAAAATGAAAATTTTAATCAGAAGTTCTACTAACGGACAAACGTGTAACTAACGTAATTTTAAAAGTTATTTGTAAAGAAGAAAAAAAAATGCGCTTTTCTTTGATATTGAAAATTTTTATTTATTTTTTTTTTGTTTTTGTTTTTGATTCGAAGAAAAGCGCCGCATTTTATTTTTTAGCGTTTTTTTTAGCGCTTTCGCATTATCAAATTTTCAACGTGTGGTCCGCTTGCGTTTTCTTTTTTTTTTATAGAAAAAAAATAAATTCTTAGGCAAACGCACGGTGAAGTACTTCAAAATACGCTGCGATTTTTTTTTTATTTTTTTTTTTTTGCTACTTATAAAATGCGAGGTGGATCGTATTTTTTTTGTCTTGAAATTTTTTTCCCTCCCGTTTTGTTTATTATTTTTTTCATTTTAAATGTTTAACTTTTTACAGATTTTTTTGTTTTTGATCGCCTCATCGAATTCATGCGAGACTAAAAAAATTTTTTTTCTTTTTTTTTGATAGATTTATTTTTCTTATAAATATATTTAAAAGAGAGAAAACTTAACAACTGTTTTTTTTATCGTTTAAAAAAGCGTTTCGCAACGCTGAAAGGAAACATTCTGAAAATAGGAATGTAAAATAAGATTTTAATAGTAAAAGTTAATTATAATGACAACCCAAAAGTATTTGGCTTAGTATGGCTGTGTTTAGGGCAGTGTTGTAAATTTGACAGTGATGGTGTACCTTTTTTTGTGGTAGTAAATTCTTTAAGAATGGACGTTTGAATGTTTTGCGTACCATAAGTTTTTATTAATGGAAAATGTGTTTTGAAAACATTTTTTTGTTTAAGAAGAAAAATAAAGAGAATTTAATTTTAAATACCTAGGTAAATTTAAAAAATTCTTTTTTTTTATTATAAATTTGTATATAAATTAACTAACACAGTTAATTTTGAGATGAAAGTATTTATTTTATTTTTCGTCGTTTATTTCTTTAATTTTCTGTTTAATTAAAATAAAATTTTATTTTGAAGAAAAAGATTGAGAAAGTTATCAAAAAAATTCGCTTAAAGAAAGGAAAAAAAAATTGTAAATTGAGAACAAATGGAAAAATCGATTTTAATAAAATTTTTAGTCTTTGTTGACATTTTCTTTTTTCTCTGGTACGCAATGCATTCGTTAGCAATTTATTACTATAAAAATAAAATGAGAGGCGAATGATACAACGCTGTATTTATATATCATGGAAATTGTTTTCTTTTTTAATGATTAATACATTGAACATAAAATAACGTCTGAAATAACGTTTATAGATTTATTATTATTATTATTATTATTATTATTATTATTATTATTATTATTATTATTATTATTATTATTATTGATTAATTAATTAATTGTTCGATAGGCGATACTATAGAGACAAAGCTATGGAATATAAATATTACTATACATTACTGAAATATCGAATATAGAATACTACTTTTTATTATAAAAAAAAATTCTTTCGTAAATCATGATTTAATTTACCCAATTGAAACGAAATGAGACAAAAGAGAAGTTTATCCCCCCCTCGTGTCCACCTCGCTCCTTATAAAAAAACCATCTTTCGAATCTCACCTCTTTTCCATTCCCATCCCATAAAAAAAATTTCTTCCCTTAATTTGTAAATAATATATTAACGTGTAATGCATCGGTCACGGCGATTGTACATTGAACATTTGTGCTTTTCTATTTATTATTATTACTATTATTATATATAATTATTATTATTATTATTCTTATTATTACTTTTTCTTTTAAATCCCTCAAAAATCTCGCAAAAACAAAAAACTTTATCGATAAGACTTTTCTTCTCAATAGGGACTTGTTTTTAAAAAAACATCACGAGTCGTTTGTGATTTAAGAATTTTTATAAACACCCAAAGGCGTCTCAGTAATTAAAAAAAAAAATGCCCTCTCGACACTATTTTTTTTACTGTAGAAAAAAAAATGGCTCGCCCTTAAATAAAAAGTGAACAAACGCGCTAGACTGATATCTCTTTTTTGTAAATGAGAATTTCTATGAGAGTTTAATTTATGAAAAAATACTATTTGCAATATTGTTTATAATTGAGAGTTTAATTTGTAAACCACGACATAATAGAAATGAAACAAGAGAAAAAAAAAAATGAAACAGTGAATTATAATAAATAGAAATAAATAATACAAATAATGAAAAATTAATCTATGTATATTTAAAGAAACTATATTTTCCGAACACTTTGATTTAAATACAATGTTTTTTAACTGTAGTATAATTTAAACTAAATATACGCATATAAAAATATTCTGTGTCAATTTTCTTTTTCGCAATAATTTCAATAATTTTCAATTTTCTTTTTTCGAAAAATAGTATTTTTTCACTGAAATTAAATTGAATTTATTAACGAATCGATTTAATGTTTATTAATAAATGTAGTTAAAATAGAAATGTTTATATTTATATAATTAAAAAATACAATCGAAGTCGTGTATTGTTTACTTTTTATCGATTCGCATTCCAAAAGGGAAATTTTTTATTTTCGGGGTATAGTTTTTTTTTTTTTTTTTTGGAATCGAGCATAAGTGTGCTGAGTGTGATAAAATTTCGATTAAACTATAAAGAAAAGAAATATATATAAATGGAGTCAATGGAATTGTTTTTCATTTAAAAAAAAATTTCTGTACGTCGATCAACAGTTGTGTGAGTGTTTTTTCCTATCTGTCTATCTCTCTCTTTCTCTTTTTGCAAAAAAAAAAGAAAACAAATAAAAAAGTGTCGGTGTTGTCACTCAATGGTTTACGTATGATGATGATGATGATGATGATGATGATGATGATGATGATGATGATAATGATGATGTTGATGATGAGAGATTCCAGAATCTTCACTTGGTGAAAAGACGAAAACAAAAAAAAAATATAATAATAATAATAAGTAGAAATTTAGGAAAAAAGTTTTTAAAAGAATTTTTTTTTCTTCTTTTTTTTATAAATAAATAAATAAATAAATATATATATATAATATATAAATATGATCGTTTGGGTATTGTATATTGGATCGATTGAGGACTGTGGAATTCCATAATTAAATGAGGAGAACAATTGCGAGAAGTTCTATTATAATTATCGACTGTTGATCTGCGGTCGATTATTGATAAAAAAAAAAAAAAATATGATTGCAATTCGAAGAAAATATACTCACTGCCTTGAATTTTCCTGGCTGTACACTAATCCAATGTGTTTAGCACGCATGAAAAAAAAAAAAAAAAGCGCGCGAGTGGGACTAAACTATTGGGGATGTATTTTGTTTTCTTGTTGTTTTTTAGTCGTAAGCCCTTAATCTTATTGCAAGCGTAGAATAGTAACGTAAACGAGACATAAAAGTTATACATATATGTGTATATATTTATACATACATACCTACCTACCTACAAACATAAATACGAATCTTACGAAATAAAGTTTACGTATCATCATTTCAAAAAAAAAAATATTGAAAGTTGTGCCTGCATGATGAACAACAACACTTTTACCAATATCACAAAAAAAATTATTTTTTATTTCTTTATAATTTTTCCATTCCTGCAGTGAGAAAAATTTTCTTTTTAGAAATTGAATTAACACTCGAATAATTCGAATTATTAATTTTAAGAAAATAAATGATTGTATTTTATAAATGATGACAAAAAGAAAATGAAAAGTGGTTTTTTTTCAAGTTCTATTGTAAAGAAAATTTTTCTCTTTGCTTTTTGTAGAATATTCGAATTTTTTCCCTTTTTTAATTACGATCAACCTCGAGATTGAAATTTTTAGTTTTATTTGCTGTTTGTGTTGCAATTCATTAACGATTTTCCTTTTTCATAAGGTGTGACTAACCATATTTTTTTTTTTAAATAAGTAACCATATATTTATGTTAATAGTTAATAATTAATAGTTTTTATAATTATAAATAAAATAATACATCTTCTATTTTATTAAACTGTGATTACAATAATGAGTTTAGTTTTATGTTATATAACTATGTTTCGTTACAAGAAAAAAATATGGTTTGTATTTTTTCTTTCTCATTTCGAATACTAAAAACCAAAAAAAAAAATTTTGAGGTTTATCGTTAATTATTAATTTAAATTTGATACTATTTTTTTTGTCGCAAAAATTATTTTACAGAAAAAATAGAAAGTTTCTTTCATTTTTAATTTCTTTTTCTTCAAAAGAAATTTTTTTTCTATATTTAAATATTTCTTTTCGAATTTTGAGAAATTATTTTCCATTTCAGAAGGCAGAGAGAAAAATAAATTTTTTGTACTGCCCCCAAAAAGGGTTTTGAAACATTTTTTTTATGGATTATAAATTATAATGAGAAAAATTAAGTTTGAGCATTTAAAGGAAAAAATATTGTGATGCAGGGCTTCTTTCATTTATGTTTTTTATTAAAGAAGAAGAAAAATATTAACAGTCTGCGCTCGCTTTAAGAAAGCGTAAAAATCGACATAGTTTCCGCTTAATTATTTATTATGTTTTATACCGAATAATTTTACAGTAATGCATATACATATATATACAAAATAGTTAAAAACATTTTTTAAATTGAAATATGTATTTTAGAAATTAGTGTAATTTTCTGTAGATAGTATTATTTATTTATAATGAATTATGTCTTTTCTGCAAAAAAAAAATTAAATATACATAGTCCATTCTTAATTTTTATGTTAAACATTATAAGGCGTTAATTAATTGATAATTGTAAAATTAATTTTGAAATAATTATTTAAGTATATATTTTATATATAGTCCCATATGGCACAATATATCTTGCAGTAAAATTATTCAAAATTATTATTATTATTATTATTATTATTATTATTATTAAACAATAAATTTACTGCAAATGTTTTTTTTTCTGCTATTTTGGGTATATATACTGGTATTTCTAGTATATATTCTAGTTTATATATTAGAATATAATCACTGAAAACAAAAAATATATTTTCAAATAATATAATTTTTGAGTTTTGATTTTTTGACAAAAAAACAGGTTTTTGTGTTTTTTAAAAATTTTTTTGTTATTTAAAAAGTTAAATTAAAATAAAAAATTACACGAGAAAAAAAGGATAAATTAAACAAATATTTTGAATATATAGTTGGAGATAAAATGAAGTTTAAGTTTAAGACTTAAAAGTAAAGAAGAATATTTGAGAAAAAAAAATCAAACAACTTTATATATAATAAAATAGGTATATTTGAAGAATAATTGTTTTATAAGGAGTAGGATAAATTTTACAACAGAATTTTTGCGAATTTAAGCTAAATGATTGTAAATTTGAAAATAAAAAAATATTCATTGCTGGTAAGTGGATACTCAATTTTTTTTCAGGAAAAGTATGAATATATTTTAGAATTTTTGTGTTTTTCTTTGTTTTTTATTTTATTTAACTAGCAAATATTTTACTATTTAACTAATTAAATTATGATTGTCTATTAATTTTATAAACTTTAATAAAACTTTTTGTAGAAATTCAATTATTTCGCAATTTAATTTTAAAGAAATTAAAAGAATTCAATTATTTTCATAAATAATAAAATTCTTCGCCGAATTTCAATTATTTTGAATGGAATTTTAATTTTTTTATAATTAAATTTTTTGAAATAATTTAATAACATTAAAAATTGTTGAATAAAATTTTATGCAATAATTAAATTATTTCAGATTCAAAACTAGAAAAGTCACAAATATAATAAAGTAATATAAAAATTTGTATAAAAATTATCGTTTAAAATGGAAAAAAAATTTACACATTTACGCAAATTTCTGAAAAATAAAATAATTTCTAATTTTTTTTTTTGCAAAAATATCACAAAACTTATTCTTTAAATTTGAATTAATAATTATTTGAACTAATTAGAATTTCGAACAGATTACCGAAATACAACGATTAGTATAGATTTTTGTTTTTTCTATTTTATAATTGTTTTTTTAATTTTTTGCCTTTGTGAGCAGAAATTATGTTTTTTTTTCTTTTTAGGAAGTTTTTTTTCAATTTTTAGAAATTTCTTTCCATGCGACATTGAGTATTCCAGTTGCTACGGAGAATTTTTCAGAGTATTTCACCTCCTTCAATTAGGTAAGTAACGAGAAATCGAAAATTATTTTCTCTACTTTTTCTCATTTACGAAATAAGAGAAATAATAATTTTCAAAAAAAAATTGCTGTTTGAGAGAAAATTTCTGATCTGCATTTCAACATCAAGAGAAGTTTGTGATTGTCTTCGCCATCAATTATTTTTTTCTCCTCTGGATTGTCAGCAGAATTATGTTCACTTCATCATCTTCTCACTGCGCACATTTAGAGAAAATTCATCATCATCATCATTATTTCGAATTTCCTCGATCAAAAACAAACAGGTAATGTAGTTTTGCTTTCTCGTAGAGAAACGATTGTTTTATAATTTTATTAATTTTTATTAACGATTTTCTACTTGTCCATAGAGTTGTTAACCATTTTCTTTTCTTTTTTTTTTTTTTTTTGATTAAATACGTCATCTATCGGGAAATAATATTTTCATCCATGTTTACATCAATTATAATTGATTCAAAACAATTATTTACGAGTGTTATCAGTATCTTATTATTATTTGCGACAATAGTTTCGAAAAGCAGTGCCTGTAGTCTACGATATAGTGAGTGTCGTTAGAAAATTTAATTTTTTTTTCAAACAGATCGCAAAAATTGTTAACGTAAAAAAGTTTGCATTAACACAGGTTTTTGTATATAAATGTATAAATTGTACATTTATCGGTATATTAATGTTATTGTGTTATACTTATTTTATTCTCTATTATTTATTATAAATATTCAAATTTGTCCTGTCAATTTTTCTCTTTGGTTCGCACCAAATTTTTAATTTATTCAATCACAAAAATTTAATTTCGTTGACAAAAAAATACCGAATGAAAATTAAAAGAAATGTTTCGATTCGTTTATGAATTATTTTATTTTTAGGGCGTAATTATGAATTCGAACGATCAGGAGAATTCGGAAGGAATTGAGAATTTGCCGCTAGTGCTGGACGAAGGGAGTCAATCGCCATTGGATAGAATCAACGACTCTGAGGACTCGAATCAGGAGCAAATTCAAGCTCATAATGTCCCATCAATCGATGGGAGATCAATTGATCCTGTACGACAGTATATGCTGCAGAAACATCTTGTTCTTCTAATCCACGCGCAAACATGTTTGGAAGACGAGAGCGAGAGGAATATTCCAGCGGAAAATTGTCGAGTTGCATTTTGTGACGTAATGCGAAATGTACTGAAGCACATGGACACTTGTTTGGAGGGAATAAATTGTACCTATGAACTTTGCAGTTCTTCTCAACTGCTTTTGTACCATTTGCAAAATTGTGGTCAACGATCATGTCCCCTTTGTGCGCCTTTCGTCGACATTGACGTCCTATTGACATCCGACACTGAAGATTCTCCCCGACAGTCGTCGTCAGATGCGGAAATTTCGGAGAATAGTCAGGAGAATGACGGAAGTCGAAGAGAGGAAAGAAGGAGGAGAAATAATTCTGTTTTTAATCAACAAGACGCTGCCTCGTCTTTGGAGCAAATTCTCCATTCACCGAATGGAATTGCAAGATGGGTGGAGAATACGAGGAAAATGGTGCAACTTAATTGGCAGTTGTTTATACTTTTACACGCCGACAAGTGTCGGGCTCATAGATCTCTCCTGTCGTGTCCAACGCCGAATTGTCAGGAATTAAGGGCAGCTTTGAATCATATGCCGAACTGTCATCTAGGTGTCAGTTGCACATTTTCGCATTGTTGGGCCTCGAGACAGATTATCAATCACTGGACGAATTGTCGATTGAATATTTGTCCTCTTTGTGTACCGATTAGACAACTCGAGGGAGTGAGGAATAGGAATTTTTTCTCGTCAATTGTCTCACGTAATCCGCCTTTACGTCCGTTGGTGACGACAAATCAAGCGAGTTCGTCGCAAAGAAATCCGAGAGGAGGAAATTTGACTGAAGAAAATAGAAACAATGCACCGGCAGTTGGAGGACAAGGACTACCGCTTTTGATAAGAGTGAATCATGGTGCATCGTGTTCGTTGAGTACGAGCGCAAGTGGTGCTATTCAATTGTGCTCCTCAGCAGAGCATCATTATCAACAATCGGGTTTAATGTTTACGAATGAAAATCCACCACCGAGACAGATGGATGTCAGTCCACCGGGTGTTAGAGTTGGAAGTCTGCCAGGTTACGGTCCCGATGACACCAGTCCACCAGGTGTGAGAATTGGAAGTCTTCCAGGTTACGGTCCGAATGATGTTAGTCCACCTGGGAGGAGAATTGGAAGCGACGACGGCCACAATCCGGAAGCTGGTGCTGATGGACAGGAGAATAACCAATCACTTCTTCGTGTTTGCAGTCACGATAATCTTTCAAAATCCTCATTAGAAAAAATTGACGATGATCACGTTACTCGAACTCTAAATTTTGATAGGACTCTAAATTCTCCCAACCAAATGGAAAATTCTTCAGAAGCACAGATGTTATCAGGTATTAACAATTATTTCATTTGGTTCCTATTATATTACAAAAATTTAATTTAGAATTATATATTATAATTATATATATATAATAAATAATTTAGAATTTAATTCGAATTCATACGATTTGATGCGACTCTAGAAATCAACGCTTTTAAGAAACGAAAAAGCAAAGAAGAATATTTTTCAAAATTATGATTCTAAAATTCCGAACGTTCAATTGAATAAAATTTAAATATTTATTTTTCCTTCAAATCAAGCTTTTATTACTCTAATTTTGTGACAGTATCAAAATAAAATTAATTATATTTTCTAAATATAAAATTTAAGTTTTTAATTTTCATGACAATCATTAATTTGTGAAAATATTTCTTTATCATTTAAACGTTCAAAACTTGGGAATAATTAAATTCATCTCTAATTAAAAGGCAAGTACTGAAAAATAATATAAATTTGAAGCTAAAATAAAAAAAATCAGCGCATTATTTTTTTGTTTTTCATTTTTAAATACGTAGGTATTAATTATTTTCAAAAAATTTTATAAAATCCTTCGAAAGAATTCAATTATTTTTCAATTTAATTTTAATAAAATGTTTCACGAGAATTGAATTATTTTCGTACATAAATATTCAAACTTTTTTCAAAAGAATTCAATTAATGTAACATTTTTTATTAAAATTTTTTAAAAGAATTTGATTATTTACAAAACTTTTGATAAAAATTTTTATGAGTTCATTTATTTTTAATGTAATTAAAATTAAATTAGTTGAAATTATTCAATGATTCTTAAAGTATTAATAAAAATTTTTTTGAAACAATTCATCAGGGAAAATGTGATTTCTCCTGCCGTTTCTTAATGCAGTAGAGAATTTAATAAATTTAAGAAAAGTTTAACTTTCTTCTCCTTTTCAGATGCGACAGTTAATAGGGACGCCATAAATGAACCTGAAATGCAAAGTCTCACCGGAACAATGTCAAGATTGTCTGTACCTGAATCTAAAAAAGAATTAATAGACAAAGAATCTCTTACTCCAAATAAAGCAGCAAATCTCAGCTCTGAGAAAACTACGATTAAGAATTCAGAAAATGAACTCGATTCAACGGAAATTTCGAAACAAAATTCTTCTTCCGATCGTGAACCAAAAGAAGAATTTGAACCAAAAAAAGCAGAAATGGTAGTAAACGGAAAGGATTGTGAGCGAACTGGAAAATCAGATTCTGATGAACTTTAAGGTTATTACGAATCCAAAAGACTTTAGATATAATTTAATTTAAATATTAATTTAATATTATTAATATTAATATAATATCATTAATATTAATTTAATAGCATTACAGTTGACTCTGAAATCAAGTTAAATTTATCGAGAGATGATTGTAATTGTTTTTAAACCAATTCAATATTTTAGAAAATTTTAATTTGTTCTCATTTTCTTTTTTTTAGATACAGAAGTTTTGGAGAAATTATTCAACAAATATTGAGAGCACCGTGAATATGTCAATTTAATTACATTATCACACAAAACAATGAAGAGAAATGATTCGCATTTGTAGAAAAAAAGTGTACGCAAGAAAATGACGAAAGGTAGATATTCTATTTTTATAACAAATTTTTCCAAGCTGATATATCACGATACTTAATGTAACAAAATAATAGGCAAATTTTTATATAATTATTATTTATCGACGGTCACTATTTTTTCCGTTTAATTTATAAATTTATTTTATATTTTTTAAACTACGATTTCGTGGCAATTTGATTTGGTATCATAATCAATCAGATAATGTACATAAATTTTAATTGTTATAGAAAAATTGAAAGTAGATGTAAAGAAGATATAGAAATTCTATTAAAAGATTTTTTTATTAAAAAACTTTTTTATCAAATTGTTTTTTATTATTTTTTTATTCTAAGAATATTTTCTTTTAATAATTCACAACTTTTGATAATTTTTTTGAATATATTTTGTTTCAATATTTAAAACTAAGTTTTGTACTGGTTTTGTAGCAATTACAAGGTTGCCACAGGTCAGAAAATATGATAAAAAATACACTACAAAAATTCTGCAATTTGATGTCTAAATTAAAATTCTTCTCAGAAAATTTAATTATTTTTAAAAATCCTAGTAAAATTTTTCGAAACAATTCAATTATTTTTAAAATCCTAGTAAAATTCTTTGCAAGAATTCAATTATTTTCATAAAAATAATAAAATTTTATTTGCAAAAATTAAATTACTTTTTATACAATTTTAGATTCAGAAAGGAATTTTAGTTAAAAATTCTAGAAAATAATTGAATTAAAATTATGATAAATAATTTTGGAGTAACATTTTTAATAAATTAATTATTATTTTCAAAATGTTTTGAAATTAAAAATTTTAAAATCTTAATTGCTAAGGAAAAATAATTGTAATTGAATATTTATTTAGAGTAATATTCAAAATTCTATCTGTAAATTACGGGAAAACAAAATCCATTTCTTGTGTCAACCTTGGAATTAAAATTATTGTAAATATTATAACTATTAAAATAATTGTATAAGTACTTTTAAAATTACCGCATTTAAAGTCGCATGCGCCATATTCTACACTCTTTGAGTTTTATGTTGAACCATAAATTTGTAGGTTGTCTCCTTTCATTGCAATACAATAGAAAGAGAGAGGACTCGTCTGACAATGAAGAATCTTGGTTTGGAATTGTGTCCAATCCAATTGTGTCTTTAACAAAATGGCGGTTACCAGTTGATTTTGTGTGCGTGGTCCACTGCTTAATGCAGTTCTGCTGCTGCAAAGTCCACTGCATCATTTTTTTAATCTCTATCAGAGAAAAATGGGCGGCATTAAACAACAATGGTAGTCATATCTAGATTAGAAGAATACATTGATAAGGATTGGACGTTTATTGTATTGTCTAGAGAGTAACAATTGCTCTTTAATGAATGGCGGTTTATGATGTAGTTTCTCTCTCGTCCTTGACAGTGCAGTGTCAGTGGTTACAATTGCCTCTATACTGTAATGTGCATTTATACATGACGTTAAGATTTAATTAATTAAAACAAGTGCCAACGAAATGGAGGTGCTTAAAACAACACAAGAGATCGTTCATGACGGATGGCTCATTAAGTCACCGCCTACGAAAATCTGGAGGGCGGTAAGTATTATAATCCATCCATCTTTATATAGGATTTTTTTTTCTCCCATTGTCATTTTATATCAACTTTATTGTTTATTGTTTTTAAATTTAACTTTTTGTGGTTTTGCACATATGAAAATTGATACGTTTCCTTTTAGTTAAAAAACGTTAAAAACACTTAAATTGCAATTGTTTGCTATTTTTAGCTGAGACTTATAAACTATAGTGGAATTTTTATACATTTTTATAACCTTAATTTTGTTATTCATTGTATACTTTCAATTCAGGGAAATACAAGAATATCGGGAAAATGTATAAAAATTTATTTTAATATTAATTAGAATTTATTTGAATTGATTTATGATTTAATTATTTTTTATTATTTTAATTATTCATAATCAGTGACACGAATTTAATTATACTTGGCTTGCTTTATTTCCTGTTGAGATAATTTTATGTTCTTTGTGTACTAATTTTTCTACTCTTTTTTTATCGCACTTAATTGTTTGTAAATTAGACACTATTTATTTTTAGCGCTGGAGAAAACGATGGTTTGCTTTACGTCATAGTGGTGAATTACCAGGGCAATATTTTTTGGAGTACTACACGGACAAAAGGTGTCGAAAACGAAAAGGACAAATAGATCTCGATCAGTGTGAACAAGTGAGTTATTTTATCAGGATTGCCAGAGGTCAGGGAAAAGTTAGGGATTTTTATTAAAAGTACTGGGAAAAAATTAAATTTTTAGAATTTTTAAGAAAATTCTGAATTCTTGTTTCTTTTTTGCTTGCCTTAAAAATTTTGAAATTACTCCGAATTCTAATACAAAACCTTCGATTTTTTCTATTTCTGACAATAATTTCTTTTTGAATAATTTCATTGTTGAACAACTATCATAAAATTAATACTTAATTTTCAAAAATAAATTAACTTCGAAACGGTTTCAATTTGAAACTTTATAAAATTACAATTTTTAATCATTTTGGAAATCATTTTGGCAAAATTTTAATAATTCAAACTCTTCTGAAATAAGTTAAATTTTTTAATCTATATATTTAATTAATTATTAAAAATAATGGATTAATAGAAGAATTTGAGTGAAAAACACACTACAAAAATTAAATTTTGGAAAAGTTACAAATGAATTGGAAAAATCCAAATATCTTCAAAAGTAATCAAATTCTCAGCAGAAATTCAATAATGTTCAAAAATTTAAAAAAATTCAACTTAAAATTTCAATTATCATTGAATAAATAATAAAATTCTTCTCTGAAATTCAATTATTTTCAAAAATTTTAATGAAATTCTTGGCAAAATTTCTATTATTTAAAAAAGAATTCAATTCTTTTCATCAATAATAAAATTCTTTCTAAGAATTCAATTATTTTTATAAATAATAAAATTCTTTGCAAGAATTCAATTATTTTTAAAAATATTAAAATTCTTTGCAAGAATTCAATTATTTTTAAAAATATCACTATTCTTTGCAAGAATTAAATTATTTTCAAAAATTTTAATAAAATTCTTCTCAGAAAATTCAGTTTTTTTAAAATCCTAATTAAATTCTTTGCAAGAATTCAATTATTTTTAAAAATATTAAAATTCTTTGCAAGAATTCAATTATTTTTAAAAATATTAATATTCTTTGCAAGTATTCAATTATTGTGAATGGAATTTTTATAAAATTTTCCAAAAGAATTCAATTATTTTCATAAATAATAGACCTCATTGCAGAATTTCAATTATTTTTAATACAATTTTAATTGAATTCCTCGAAAAATGTAATTATTCTTAAAAATTGTATTAAAATTCTTCCCAAAAATTCAATTATTTACATAAAATTATTTTATAATTTGTTTATTATTTAATTTATTATTTTGAAAACATTTTTAATTAATAAGAGTAGAGATGATTCTATCACTTAGTCGTATTTTAATAAATAGTGGAATTTAATTAAAGAATTTAATTATTTTTAAAAATTTTAATGAAATTCTTCGAAAGAATTCAATTATTTAAAAAAAATTTTAATAATATTCTAAGTAAATATTTAATTTTTTTCATATTTTTCAATAATTTAATTATTTTCATAAATAGGAGGAAACATTCAATTATTTAATAAATTATTTATTTAAATTAGTATGAATCAAAATATTCTTAAGGGTGAAAGTAAAAATTTTATCTGGAAATCAGGGAAAAGTCAGGGAAAAACAAAATTAAATTTTTGTCACAACCTTTTTTATACATTTTTTATATATCCTGAAATTTGTAGAATTTTCCCCATATATTTATTTATTATTTTTTTTTACTATTTGCTTAATTATTTGTTTTCTTTATCTAATTATTTCTTTTATTATTCGTTTAAAGGTTGACGCTGGTTTAAGATTTGAGAATCGTAAACAAAAGTATCAATTTATGTTCAATGTTAAAACGCCAAAAAGAACATATTACCTGGTGGCTGAGAATGAAGCTGAAATGAATAAGTGGGTGGACGCCGTTTGTCAAGTCTGTGGCTTGAAGGCCCAGGATGAAGAGCAACAGTGTCAGAGTAATATTCCGCATTTCATTTTTTGTTTTACTGAAAAATTCTTAAATTCAATTTTAATTATATTCAATTTAATTCGAAAATAATTCAATTATAATTTGCCTAATTTCTTTTTCAATTTTAGTGTTTCAATTTGAGGCACAAGAATCTCCGCCAATTTCTCCAACGAGTACTATTTCCGGACCATATATTCCCATCAGCGAATGTATTTCGGGACGACGTCTCAATGACACCAGCTCTCTGAGTTCAACTCTTGGCCAAAGCACTGAGCAATATGACGCGCCAAGAAGAATTCCTCCATCGCCTCCAAGATCGCCGACGACGACCGACGCCGAGAGTGTATTCACTGATGACGAATGGACCGCACCCGTTCCCAGTGTTAATTGGGAAACGTTTCCTTCTTGTGGTGAGAAAGATCTTTCAATATTAATAATAATAACAGGGATCACAGTCTGTCACCTTTTTTCCATTTTTTTTTTCTTGCACCTGTTTTAATTATTCTATAAACTTTCTATAATAATTTCATTCACAGATAGTTTTTAAAAAATTTTAAATAACAGAACTTTTGTTTTTGGAATTACAATTAAATACAATTTTTTTAGCTACTTCTAAAGAGTAAAAATTGTATTTTTAATCTCAAAAATTGAAAATTTTTAATTAAACTACTTTTTGAATGTTAAGATGATTTAATTTGGTAATAAATTTCAATAAATTTAAAATCTAAAGAGACAATTAAGATTTTAATTGATGAAAGATTCAAAACTTTCATCAATTAAAATCATAATTGTCTCTGAATTTAAACCGTCAACATTTTTAATCTTAAATTCTGTGATTTATCTAATATTTAATTAAACTCAAATTCACTTGATCTGAATTGAAAAAAAATTGGAATTATTCCAAACTTTAATTTTTGTATTTTTTTATACTAATTTAGATAAAAATGAAAAACGTAAAAACAAAATTCTTTAGAACCAAAAAGTGATAATCTAATTTCTTAATTTTATTTAACATTACAAAATATAAAAATTGTTACTTATAAATTATTACAGAAAAATTAATTTTTAATAGTTTTTAATAGCGAGAAATAAATTTAATGTTCTTTATTTTATAAGAGAAATTGTATTCTTTTACTTTACTTTTTTGTTTACAAAGTGTTATAAATTTTTATAACTTTTATGATTTTAAAAATGACATAATTTAATGATTGGCTAGAATTTTATTAAAATTTTTGATAATAATTGAATTCCTTCGATGAATTTTATTAATATTTTTAAAAATAATTGAATTATTTAAAGAAATTTTAATAAAATTGTATTGAAAATAATTGAATGCTTCCTAAGAATTTTATTAAAACTTTTGAAAATAATTTAATAAAAAATTAAAATTGTTTCGAGGAATTTAGTAAAAATTGTATTAAAATTAAATAATTGAATTGTTTCAAAGAATTTTATTTAATATATTTAATAATAATAAAATTCGTTCGATAAATTGAAAATTGTTTAATTCCTGCGAAGAATTTTGTTATTTATAAAAATAATTGAATTCATGCAAAAAATTGTAATATAATTTTTGAAAATAATTGAATTTCTGGAATGTATTTTTGCGAAGATTTTAATTTGAATTTTATTAAAAATAATTAAATTTCTGAGAAGAATTTGATTATTTATAAAGATAATTAAATTCTTGTTAAGAATGTTATAACGATTTTTAATAATAATTAAATTCCTACCAAAAATTTTATAAATTATGAAGATAATTGAATGTTTGAGAAGAATTTAATTTTTTCTTGTAAAGAATTGTATTTATAAAAATAATAGAATTCTTCCAAAAAATTGTAAAAAAAATTTTGGAAAATAATTGGATTTCTGGAATGAATTTTATTATTTGTTAAGATAATTAAATTCTTCGGACGAAATTAATAAAAGTTTTCGAAAATAATTGAATTTTTGAGAATAATTTAATAATTTTTATGAAAATAATTGATTTTCTGTGAAGAATTTAGTTATTTATGAAGATAATTGAATTTTTGATAAATTTTGAATAGTAATAAATCAAAACAGCTTTTATTTATATAATTTTATGGCTTCCAAAAATATTGAATTAATAATAAATAAAACGATAAATTAAGTACACAAAAATATAAAGACAGAAAAATAAATGATTATCGTTAATAAAAAAAATATTTCAGGAGATTTAAAACCACCGCCATGCTCGAGCGATGCAGAAATTGGTTCCTGGAGTGTAAGAAAAAGATTCGGTAAATTGAGAATCGTTGATTCTGCCGCTCCACCAGTTACAGAAGAGTTACCAGCTCCACCTCGACCACCGAAACCCCCGCACATGTTACCCGAGAATCCTGGACACAATTATTTGAATTTAGACGGTGCAACGGAAAGTTCAAAGCCCACGACACCCGCCACTCCAGCGCCATCGACGCCAGCCACGACAATTCTCAGCGATGATAATTTTGACCTTCCACGTTCACAAACCGGAATGGAAATCATCGGTGGCAGGAAACATGGCTACACAAATGCAACGCCATCGGCAATTGACGATCGTGTATTTCGTTACGATTTTCATGACGAAGAACCCTCGAGTCCAAGATCGGAGAGTTCAACAACAGCGACCTATTCAAATCTACCTAGTCCATTGTTAAAGGATAGTACCACTACAGTGCCTACTACCATGGCTCCACCTCCTCCCGTTGTTCATAGAGATTTGAAACCAGGTAGAAAAACAAGTGACTCAACTTCAATTATTAGCAATGAACCATCACCGGGACCCGCGGGATCGGCGCTGGATATCAATTCAAGTGAACATTCACCCGCTGAACCACCGAGTATCGACAGAAAACTCAAACCACCTTTAAATAGGCCACCAATTGAAAGTAATTATCAATATTTTTTTTCTAGACAACGACTACAATTTAATAAATTTTCAAATTTATTGTAACTAATCGAATTTTTTATTTTAAAGTTAACACTGGAGCTCTACAATTGGCTTCTCCTCCAGGAAGGGGAAGATTGAGAGCAGCTCCTAGTCCAACTCCAACTACGAACACTTATTCTAATCGCCATCATTCGACGTCTGATGAAGATAATAACGCACATGACGATAAAGAAGAGGTAATTATTTATTTTTTTAAATTCTATTCAGAGATTATAATGAAGTTCAGGTCTTGGACTCGCACTATTGCTACTTTTTATTTCTCTGAAATTAGTGTCGACACTCAGCGTCAAAAACTATTGTTTGAGATTTTTAAAAGTTCTTTTTAATATAAAACCTTCAAAAAAATTGTTTTATTCTTTTTAGTTTTGTGAAAAAAATATCTTTTGACACTTAGCGTCGACGCTAACTTTAGGGGTCTTACTTTTTGACACTTTTCCTACCTCGTACAACTATTTAGCTATTATTTTTAAAAATAAGTTATCAATCACACTTATTTCATTAAAAAATGACACTAATGCTAACACTTTTCTAATCAAGTTTGTATTTACTAACTCAATTCAATCAATTTATTTAGAAAGAAATTAATTCTAAGACAGAATTTTGACTTTTTTCTGATTCATATGAGAAAAATTCAAGGGAGGTTAATTATAAAAATTAATTTCTGAAAATGTTAATTACTTGTTTAAAAAATTTAATTAATGTCAATTATTTGATTAAAAAATGTCAATTATTTGATTAAAAAATCAATTACCTTTCGAAAATGTAAATTAAAGGTTTACAAAATTCAATTATTTTTAGAAAATGTCAATTACTTATACAATTTAATTATCTTTAGAAAATTCCAATTATCTTTCAAAAATAAAAGTGAAACGATTTAAAAATCTATTTCTAGAATTTTAAATAAAATTAGTTACTATGCAGAATTTCCTTCGATTATTTTCAAAAATTTTCTGAAAATTCTTTAAATTTCAATTAATTTATAACAGAATTTTAGAAAATTTTAGTTACCTTAAAAAATATTCAAACACTCTTTATGGAAACTCCATTTTTAGAAGAATCTAAATTACTCGTTTATATAGACTTAAAATAACTGAAATTATTTTCAAATCTTTCGAAAATTTAGTTTTAAATCATTTTTTTTAAACAATTAAATTTTCAAAATATATATTATTTAAAAAGTTTCTAAATAATTAAATTTTTAGTGTATTTTATTAAATATTTTGAAAATCTAATTTTTAAGAATTTTAATTCCAAATTTTGAAAATAATTAAATTCTCAAGAATTGAGTTCTTCGCTGAAATTCAATTATTTTCATTAAGAATAAAATTTCACAGATATTTAATTACATATTTGAAATACAATTTGCATACAATGTTTTGTATGTAATTAATTATTAAAAAAAATTGTATGAAATGTTCTGAAAGAAATCAATTATTTCATTTTCATAATATTTGTTTTTAAGAATTTATGTATTTTTAATAAAATTGTAATTATAAATTCCTCGATAGAATTTAATTGTTTTCAAAATTTGTAATTAAAATTTTTTCCATAAAAGTTCAATTATTTAAAAAAATTGTAGTCAATTGCATTCAATTATTTTCATTAATAAGAAAACTCTCTGCAGGATTTCAATTATTTTGAATACAATTTGAAATGAATTTTTCGAAAAATGCAATTATTCTTAGAAAATTTATTAGCATTCTTCGAAATAGTTCAATTATTTATAAAATTTTTGATAAAATTCTATATGAGAATTCAGTTATAAGAAGAAATTAATTATTCAATCAATTATTTATTTTTGTATGTATTTTTAAATAATTGAATTCTAGTTGACTTTTCTAACAAGAATTGATTTAAAAATGAATTAAAAGTGAAATAAAATATTGATTTCTACTTGAATTTTCTAACAAGAATTGATTTAAAAATAAAATCATTGAATTTCGAAAAGATTCTTATATTTTTTGTCTTTGAAAATTGTAATTGTTCTCAAACGGTAATAATACAAAAAATTAGTCTTTTCAAAAATTGTAATTAAATTTTTTTTAAGATAATAAATTTCCCTATAAAGTTTAAAAGGATTAAATTAATTTTTGAATAATTAATTTGAAGCATTGTTAAATTTAATTCAAATTAATTTTTCGTTAATAAAGTCTGATTTCATTAATATAATATAGATTATTATAATTTTCAAATTTTTTTGTTACAGATTTATTATTATCAGGATCACAATGCATTTATACCAGCGTCAAATCGTCGTTTGGTTGTACTGCAATATCTTGATTTAGACCTCGAGGCGAAGGAAAGTTTTTCATCATCAACATTGCCGACAATTCAATCACCGCCGAATAATACTGTTTATAAGACAGTTGATTTTCTTAAAACCGAAGCATTTAATCGAACTAGACAACGAGTTGAAGAGGAACGAAAACAATGCACAGACGATCTTTCCTAAAAGCTTCAATGAAAATTCCACAAATTTTATTTCCAATCATCATCATATCAGAAAAACAAATCTTATAACTTTACAGAGAAACAAAAGGTAATTAAATTAAGCACTTTTTTTATTCATCTACATATTATTATTATTATCAATATTAATATTATTATTATTTTTTATTATTATTATCATTAGACTGTCATTTTAACTGGCTTTACTTTTTAGTGCATTTTTACTTCATAGCACTTTTTCAAAGAAAAAAAAACATCTATTTTTTATATTTAACGTAAAAATAGAATTTTAATTCGTTTTAGATAGAAAAGTATAGATTTAGATGAGGAACAAATTTTCCTATTTTGTTACTATTCGCTTTTCTTCCTAAGAGAATATGATCTTTTAAACATTTGTTTATATAATGATAAATCAATTCTATAAGGAGAAAAAAATTTTTCTAAAAAAAAATGATAACCTTTTGCCAAAAAGGGAATTTTCTGAAACATTTAGAAAATAGGAAAAGTTACAAATTTGTTCGTCATTTATTTTTGATAACCAAAAGAGAAACAAGTTTTAACTCAAATATTTGTAAATATAAAAAAAATTCCTAGAAAAACTATTATTCATTTTCACTGAATAGTCAAGAAAATTTTTTAGAATCTGAACAAACGCACATAAGGCACAACGCTTTAAGAAAATATTTCTCTAGATCATTTTATCACTGGAATTTCAATTTCATAAAATAACAAAACAAATCTTAGAATTAAAATTTTTAGTACATATTTTTCATAATCATTTACAAAAAAAGAAAGAAAAGGAATGAAAAAAAGTTGTTATGAAGTAGCGTTGCCGAGGAATATTTGAGACAAATGAATAGCAATATAATAATGGACCAAAAATATAAATTTAATATTAAGTGACAAAAAAAAGAAAACTGGTCGAATTTGACTGTATAGAAAATGTTTAACTAATCAAGTAGTTATTTATGATTGCAAACCAAAATAATATTTACGAAATATATCGCGAGACAAAGGGATAATTTTCTTCTTTTTCCCTTTGTCTCTAAAAGCAACGAATTTTAAACCTAATTAATAATGAAAAACTTTTTATTTTTAATTAGTACTATGTACCTATATTTTAAATAATATATTTTTAACGCGATTCATGAAGGTACGCATTTATTTTTGAAGGTGTTAGCACGCCAATGAGAGCGCACTTGTTACAGGATTGTAAATCATGTGTACAGTATTAAAAAGTTTTTCAAAAAGAAAATGAAAAAAAAAAAGAAAATTTCTTAGGTTTTACGAATATTATAAGATCTTTTTATACTGCAAGGTACTCTTCTGTTTTTGAGATTAGATATCTTATATATAATATAAGTAGAAATTTTTATTTATCAATTAAACAATTTTCTTTTGACGAAATTTTTAATTGATAAAGGAAATTAATGCGTCGCAATTAAATTTGGTAAATACTGTAAATATGTATACATAAGTATGAGCTAAAGAAGAAGAAGGAGAAAAATGTGTTATATAATGCTCTCAGAGATTTTATTATATAAAGATCGCTTTATAAAGTCGATTTTTAAATGTACAACTTGTAAACGGTTTTTTTTATTTTTGCTTTTCTATTTTACAAATCGATTTTACATTTTTGCGTCATTTTTATTTTTCTTATATGAAATAAAAGAGATTTAGCGAAACAGATGAAACTTTCTCTTCTTTATCTATTGCTTTTTTTTAGTATCGAAAAATTTTATATTTATATAAAATAGCGTTAATTATATTTTTGATATTAAATATATTAATATCTATATTAATATTAAAAATAAATTATCTTAATATCTATATTAATATACTTAATACCGTTTACGAATGATAATTTAGTTCTGAAACAAATTTAGATTGTTTTATATTTAGAATTTTTTTCAGATTTCGAATAGTAAGTGCTACAAGTATTTTTTTTTTTTGGTTTTTAGTGAAATTAATTGAAGTGTTTTAGTTATTAGATTAGATTCTCAATTGAAATGTCGATAGAAAATCTGTGGATCTCGTCACGACATTTTCAAATTCCAAAAAGGATAAGGCACCATCACTGTCTATGTCACTTTCTTCTAAAACTTTTTCACAAATTGTTGCCACTTCCTCTGGACTTAGTCCACCTCGAACTAGTTGATTGCATGTTTTTTCCAAATCACTCAGTCCCAATAGTCCATCGCCGTCGAAATCTGTTTGTGATTGTAATTTATTATTTTGAGATTGAATTTAAGTAGAAGGAAATGTAATTTATATTTAATTTGAATTAGAAACTTTTAAAAATAATTCAATTCCTTCAAGGAATTTAAAATTGTACTGAAATTAATCGAATTCTTACTAAAGAATTTTATTACAATTTTGGAAAATAATTTAATTATTTCTTGAAGAAATTTTATTAAAGATTTTCAAAATAATTGAATGCCACCAAGAAATTTTATTGAAATTATATAGAAAATAATTGAATCACTCGGAAGAATTTTATTATTTATGGAAATAAAAGTTTTTGATAATAATTGAATTTTTGCAAAGAATTTTATTAAAATTTTTAAAAATAATTGAATTCTTGCAAAGAATTTTAATATTTTTGAAAATAATTGAATTTTTGTAAAACATTTTAATATTTTTGAAAATAATTGAATTCTTCCAAAGAATTTTAATATTTTTGAAAATAATTGAATTCTTCCAAAGAATTGATTTTCTGCGAAGTATTTTATTGAAATTTGTGAAAATAATTGAATTTTTACAAAGAATTTTAATATTTTTGAAAATAATTGAATTCATCGAAAGAATTTTATTGAAATTGTATTTAAAGTAACTGAATTACTCTGAAGAATTTTATTATTTATGAAGTTAATTAAATTCTTCAGAAGAAATTTATAAAAGTTTTAAAAATAATATAATTCTTGCAATGGATTTTGATTATTTCAGAAAATAATTAAATTTTTGTATTATTTCGAAAAATTTAATTAGTATTTTTTAAAATAATTGAATTTTCTAAGACGAATTTTATGAAAATTTTTGAAAATAATTGAATTCTTGCAAAGATTTTTATTAGAATTTTTAAAAATAATTGAATTTTAGCGGAGAATTTTATTGTTCATGAAAATAATTGAATTTTATTATTCATGTAAATAATTAAATTTTTGACAAGAACGTTATTAAAATTTTTAAAAATAATTTTTTTTGTTTCGAAGAAAATTAAAATTTATTCGATGTATTTAGTTAAAGTTGTAATAAAAATAATTGAATTTTCATAAAGGATTGTATCAAAACTTTTGTAAATAATTGAATTTTTTCGAAAAAATTTATTATAGTTTTGAGAAAAGAATTGAATTCTTGTGAAGAATTTTTATTTATTTAAAAAAATAATTGAATTGTTTAGAAGTATTTCATTAATTAAAATTTTATTGAAAATAATTTAATTCTTTTGAGAAAATTTATTAAAATTATTTTGATAATAATTGAATTCCTGCGAAGATTTGAATTATTTTTATGAAAGTAATTAATTTTTTGCGAAGAGTTTTATTATTTTTGAAAATATTTGAATTGTTTCGAAGAATTATATTAAAATTATATTTTTGAAAATAATTTAATTCTTTCGTGGAATTGAATTAAAATTTTATTTGAAAATAGTTTAATTCCTTCGTGGAATTGAATTAAAATTTTACTTGAAAATAATTGAATTCTTGATTAAAGATTTATTAAAAGTTTTAAAAATTAATAATAGTAGTTAATAATTTGAATTAGATTTGAATAAAATGTCCTCGTTTTGTAATTTGGAAGAAAATATTTCTAAATTCTAAAAAATCTTTTTGTTGTTTAGTAAATTAGGTAAAAATTGAAAAAACGGGAATTTTACCGTAAATTTTAAAGGCGTAATGAACTTTCAAATCGCGAGGTGCTTGATCGGAAAAGACCGACATCATCTCGAGGAAATCTTCGAAGCATATCCCCTCGTTTGATGAGTTGCCAGGCTCGTGGCCATGATGATGAGTAGTAAAGACTTCCAAAATACGGTCTCTGAAGGGATTTTCCTTAATGAGAATTTTATTTGTTATACGTAATGATGATTGTTTAGAAGTATTTCTCACAATTTTTTATTCAAGATATTGTTAGTTAATTATTTTTTCTTTTTCCCTCAAAAAATCTTTGTTCACAATAAATCTCATATAGTTTAAAAAGAATAGAAAGAAATCGGAATTATATTTTTTAAATTTAAAATTCTCTTTTTTAAGTCTGTGAGAAACCACTAGATTAGTGATGAGAATTTAATGGTCTTATTTCGTTAGACGATTTATTTTTAATTGTTTTATTTTAATAAAGCCAACCTTTAGTTCGGGTATTTTATCCAAAGTCGAGAAAGGAATTCGTAATGACGAAGCTTCCAAGGGAGTCAGTATTTCAGGAACCGTTGAAGAACCTCCGATATCTCGAAATCTTTGATAAATTCTGTAAATTCAATATTAAAAAAAGAACTTAGAAATTGATTCAATAAAAACAAAACTTTTTCTCAATCATTTAAATAAATTCATTTCATTCAAATCACGTAAATTTGAGATTTACCTCAAAATTTCTTTACGTGTGAAATACGTGGAATCTTGATAGTCTTCCAGTTGTTCTTCGGTGAATGTATAAACTTTGTTCCCCATTTTTCACTTTTGGCTTTGAAATGTCAAGTGTAATTAAGAGAAAATCAGTAATTTTCAATTTAACGTAATCTTTACGCCACAATGTTACTTCTCTCATCGACTATAATGATGAAGCACAGAATTTTTCTTTTGTTTGTTAATTTCGCGTATTAGTCACTTTAGTGAAGCTATTTATTTATTTTTTTGATGTTGTCACACCGAGAGGTAAAGTCACAATGTAGAGGATTGAAAAATCTTTTGCCCTTTTAATACCACACCCCAAACGTCTTGTCACGAATAGATTTTTTTTTATGGATATACAATACCATAGTGGTAAAAAAGTAGGTGCGGTTTAGCACGCCCATTTTTTTTTCAATATTCTATTAGGAAGTTCAAATTATTCGCTAATAAGCGATATCTAATCATAATAAATTCATCGGATTATTTAATTTCTGTATCATATTACACAATTTATCATTTTGAATTACTGTATTTTTTATGTTTATTTCAACGTACGTGTACGTTTCCATAAAAGTAGATTTTTTTGTTTCAATTTGTAATTAACAATAGATGATTGATTTTCTTTATCTGCGAAATTAAAAAATGTATTAAATTTGTTTTAATTAATTTTTTTAGATAAATAATTCAAGACTTATTTAAACGTAAATTCAAAAATGCAATCGAGTTAAAAATATTTTGCGATTTATTGAACTTGTATTTATCGATTTGAGAAACATTTTTCGGTTTGAAAATTTAACTTAAAAATTAATTCTGAGAGTATTTCTGATATTTGTTGTAGAAAATGGAAATTTTCAGACATAATGATCTTCGTACGCCTCTTTGCAGTCTAGTAAATTATTGAGACTCTCTATATATTCGTCGTTTTCGAGACCAGAATTTTCAAAGGCGTGAAATCTTTTAATTGATTTGACTTTTTTCGCTTGATTGTAAAGTGATTCGTACATATTTGCAAGACTGCTGCCACTGTGTAGACCGGCCATGACTGCTACACTTTCGGCAACTAATATGAAAAAAGAGTATTTTAGAAAAGAAATCAATTTCGAAAATAGAATAATGAATGAAAACAGGGTTTCCACAAGTCAAAGAAATCTGGAAATTCAGGAAAGAAAAAAAGGCCAGGGAAAATAGCATTTTCGTCTGGATATCAGGGAAAAGTTTGGAAAAAAACAAAATTAAATTTTTGTAGCAACCCTGAAAAAGAATGGAAAAAACATGTTTTTACCTTCTTCAGTAGGCGCTTCGGAGATATTTCCATTTTTCGTTACTTGATTGTTGAAAATTTTAGGAAAAGGACGCTTTATCGACAGTGGTGCGCTAATATTTGTCAAATAAGTAGCCGAAGCGTGACAGGAACAGGAGAAAAATAATGACATCATTTCATGGACTGTTGAACATTTATAAGCAGCTTTGGATAATTGATTTTGCGCCTCATTCAATGGTCTTTTTAATCTATCCTCAGGAATACCTCTCAATGATATACTTTGATAATTTTTGTCCTTCGATATTTCGCAACATGGCGTTAAACTCGTCCACAAGGATTCATCAAAATCATCCAAAATATCAATTAAATCCCGTTCGATTGTCATTGGAAATGGTAGATTAACACTCATTGCTGCCGCTTTTCTACCCAATTTATTCATATCAGCGCAAAGATCCGATAGAGCAGACATTGGAAATTGTTTCTGTCGATATCGCAATGTTAATGTGTCGAGAGCCGTCGCCAATATTGCCGCCGAATGATACTTTAATTGTGGATCGTACGTCATGTGTTTAAACATTCGATATTTTCCCGATTTTGGCCAAATTTCCTCTCTACAACCCAATGGACAAAATAGCGACGAATTCTCCCCAAGATGCTGATAACACAAGACGGTATTGACAATTTTTATTAAATCCTCCGCCGAGGGCTCGATATTCGTTCCTTGAAAAGTCGGAAACGATAGAATACTTTTTCCATATTCGTCACGTAAATACTGAATACACGACGAACCCAATCCTGCGAATCCGTCCGTTGAATCTAGAATTACCTAAAAAAAACAATTTGAAAAATAATTTTGTCTCCCTCTAACAGAGCTCGAACTAAAACTAAAATTCTTTTTAGGAATTCAATTATTTTCAGAAATAGTAGAACTCAATGTAGAATTTCAATTAATTTTAATACAATTTTAATCAAACTCGGAAAATGTAATTTTTATTAAAAATCGTCGAAAGAATTTAATTATTTAAAAATATAATAAAATTTTAGATGTTCTCTTATTTTACTCGAACTGGTTATATTTTTGTTACTAATTGGTCCATAAAGTCCGTATTTTTAAATACTTTCACTGGTTCGAGCCCTGCTCTAAAATAATTATTCAGACAAAAAGAAAAGAATTTCAAAAAGAAAAGCAAAAAAAAAAAGGTTTAGATAAAAAGAATAAAAACAATCAGGAAACAAATATATGAATGTGAATTTAAAATAAACCAAAAAGGAAGTCACACGTGAACTGAATTTGAAAGAATCGATAAATAGGCGAAAAAATTAGTAAACCTGAAATCCTTGAATTAAATCGCATTCCTCGACGTAATTTCTTATCTTGTCAGTGAAATCCTCTGAAAATGATTCTGTGTTCCACACGTTTCTCCCATAATTGAATATATCGAATAGTTGATTTGTCGATTCGTGGGTATATTGTTTGACTACATTAACAGTCCTTGGATGGAAACGAGGAACTAGATAGTCAACCCATTTATTAACATTATTTTCAAAATCAAAACTCTTCTCTGCCTCTTCACTATTGTCCTTATCCAATTCTTTAACAAATGATGATTTCGCTGACTCGGGCTCTTCTGTTATTTGAACATTCTCATTGTACCAAAGAACATCATTGTCCTTTGAACTATTTTCATATAATGATCCCGTTTCATTTAGATAACCCAAACTTCCTTTTAAATCGACTAATAAAAGTCTTGGCGTATAAGTAACTTGTTTCTAAAAAAAGCAAATAAATTCAATTTTTCTTACAAATTTTCAGGATGTACCTATAATGAATTTAAATACCTGGTGTGTCTCTCCTTCTCGATACAGAACATCGTGATTAATTTCCGAAGGATTTTCCGGATCGTAGGTAAAATTCGCCTCCTGGTAAAGTAAAAAATATTTGTTGATTAAATTTTGACAAGAGACGAAATTCTTCTTCATTTTATAAATTATGCGCAGAAGGTGATATTCCATTTATTATTATTATTATTATTATTATTATTATTATGCAACTTACAAATTTCTTTTTATTTTCAAATAATTTTTGGCAAAAATTCAAATCTTTTCAACAAAATTTAAAAAAAAAATTTCAGGAAAGAATTCAATTATTTTCTAAAATTTTAATAAATCCTTCTCAAAAGGAATTCTTTGCGAGAATTCAATTATTTTTAGAAATCCTAATTAAATTCTTCGAAATAATACAAGAATTCAATTATTTACATAAATATTAAAATTCTTTGTAAGAATTCAATTATTTTCAAAAATATTAATTTTTTTTTAAATTTAATTATTTTTCTAAAATGTTAATAAATTCTTCGAAACAATTCAATTATTTTTTTAAAATAATAAAATCTTTGCAGAGATTCAATTAATTTGATTAAGATTTCACAAAAGAATTGAATTTTTTTCTAAAATTTTAATAAATCCTTCTTAACAATTTAATTATTTATTAATTTTTAATAAAATTTTTCGAAAGAATCCAATAATTTTATTTTTGAAAGAAACTTAAAGAAATTCTTCCATTATTCAAAAGAATTTAATTATTTACAAAAAGTCTCTAATAAAATTGTTTAAAAGAATTTAATTTTCTATCAATAATTTTAATGGTAATATAATTAATTTTATATTCAAATTTAGAAATTACTATTTCGAGTGTTTTATAATTATCATTTATTCTATTTTCTGTTAATATTAATTATTCTTTTGTATTTTAAAAAGTCAATTAACGTTTTTGGAAAAATTGGAGAGGTTAGGACGACAGATTTTAGATGCAAAACAATTCATATACTTGCAAATTCCACCAGTGTGTTCCTATATAATTCGAATAATGACCAACTTGAATAGTTAATATTTCCCGTGTTGACATTGTTTAAATTTTTATAGTTTGTTTTATATTTTTTTTCTATATAAAAAATAAACAAAATAGTTTGTAAATGACAGCTGATGTCTGATGACAGCGACCAGGAGCGTATCAACTGAATAACTGCAAATAACTTTCACCCTAAATTTGCAATTTTCTGTCTTGTAAATTTATTGACACAATAGTAATTTAGTAAGTATTAATTTTCATTAAATTTAAATACTTTTAGTTATATACTTTGCAAATATTGTTTTCTAAACACTAAATAAACCACATAAAGTATTTCGTCGTCGTCTTGAAATCGACGTTTATAACATTTCATTTTTTATCTTTATATTAAAATATAGAATTAAATGTCAAGAAGTGGATGAATTAAATCTAAAATTTAATATATTAATTTTCTTTACATTTTTTTTATGCGTAAAATTGAGGTATATAGTTTATATTATCAAAAATACATGTTTTGTAATAAAATATTTAAGGTTATGTTCTTTAATGATTATATTTTACTTATTTTACAAACTGCAGAATATTGTCTATATCCACGTGGAACTGTGAAGAAATAATTTAAATAATAGGAAATGCCAAAGATTTTTTATCACCACAATGTCTTTTGAAATAGATCAACAGTGGAATGAATCATTCCCAAAAATTACAAAACCAGAAGTTGTTGGTTATTACAGTTTAAATGGTAAACGTGAATATTTACCAGATCTATCACAATTGAAATATTTATATCTACCCCGTGGTAATCGTATTAATTTCAATCTTAACGATGGAATGGAAAAAGTAATACGCAAACAGGAATCGGCTTCAAATGAAAATATAAATAATCTTCTAAAGTGGATTCTTGTGAGTCACAGTAAAATTCAAGCACCACTTGATTCTGGACGATGGTGATTATATTTTTAATTGTTTAAATTGTAAACTTTAATTATAATTTGTAGTTCAATTTATTGTTAATTTCTATCAATTCTTCGATACGAGATAAAATTGATAAATTAATTGAAAATTTGATTCGAGACAGGTTAAAACCAGAGTTTGTTGCATATCGAGGACTTTTGAGTGCTTTGTGGAGAACACCATTTGAAGAGTGTGATGGATGGATCATATGTGCGGCAAAATTTGAGGGAACAATATATTTATGTGCTTTTGACACAGACGAGGCGAAAAAAAGAAAAGCTAATGAAACACCAAGAGAGAAAATGATGTGCTCTTGGGGTTATAAATTTGAGCAATTTACTTTAACAGGTAAACTTTATTTTAAACAAAAAATTTATTTTATCTCATGCCCTTTACTCAGGGCTCGAAACAGTGAAAGTATTTAAAAAATACGGACTTTACGGACCAAAAATGAAAAATTACGGACCAATTAAGGAACAATTACTGACAAAAATATAACCAGTTCGAAGATTTGAATTTTAAATTTTTCTAAAAATTACTGTTTTTTTTAACTTTTCAAATATTCAATTCTTCAAATTATATGGTACAATATACGAACTGTTTTATGGATCTTTTTTTCGAGACCTGTTTACTAGAAAATAAAAAGAAAACATTTTTATTGTTTAGATTTACCGGATAAGAAACCATTAACATCCGAACCTGTTAATGAAAATGAGGAATTTTGCAGTATGTTCACTTGTGAATTTGGTGGCAAATATCTTCTGTACGGAGCAGAAATGGATGGAATTGAGGCATGGGTACCAGTGAAAGAACCCGTTGCCTGGAAAAATGTTAATTTCGTTGAATTGAAAACTAACAGAATTATTGAAACCGGACGTCAGGACGTTATTTTTCGGAAAAAACTTTTAAAATGGTGGTGCCAATCGTTTTTAGTTGGCATTGAAAACATTGTTTGTGGCTTTAGGACAAATAATGGAAATGTTATAGACTTGAAAAAATACAAGGTTTCCGATTTAATTAAAATGGCAAAGGTAAACAAGAATTATTGTAATTAATGTTAAGTCATTCACAATTGTCGCGATAATGACACGTGTCTCACTAGATTACGCCTCTGTCATTATGTAATGAAATTACTTAATAGCAACAACACTTTTAATATCAACAAGAGAATTATTTTTAAAGTCCTAACTGAAAATTCGAATTCTATTTAAAAAGAAAACTTTCTTAAATTCTTTCTGTTCTTAAAAAAATTTAAGAAAACTTTCTTCAATAATTTTTTAACTAAATGACTTTTTTTAACAATGAATTCTTTTTTTTAGAATTATTGGGAACCGTCGCCTTGTATGAATTTCGGTGATGCTTTCTTGAATCACGTGAAGAAAGTGGTTACGAAGGATTATGACAAATGTATTTATAAATTTTCATGGAATCCGGGGAACAATGAAGTGGAATTGACTGTTCTTAATAGTCAACATTCGTCGAGTTACGTCTCTCAGTATACATTTCTACCACAATGGTTCATAGATAAAGCAAATGAATCAATGCGAAATTAATCGCATTATCGTGAAGACGAATCGTATCCTTTTTTTATATATTTAATCTATAATGAAAAAAGAATTGACAGGGTTGCCACTGAAATTTAATTTTGTTTTTCCCTGGTAAATTTCTTCATTTGTAAAATTATTCGAAAACAAATAGTTTTATTTAAAATAATTATTTAATAATTATTATTTTTCCATTGCAATTAAGATTTGCGAAAATTTAAAATCCAAACCGTTTGTAAATTCAACAACTTATAAGAATTATATTATAAATTATATATTATTCTTATTAAGTTGTTATTTTTTAGATTTTTTAACTGAATTCTTCTTTAAATCAATTATTTTTAATATTTTTTGACAAAGTCCTTTGAGAATTTTTAAATTCATTTATTAACAAAAAAAATGGAAATTTCTAAAATTCCTTGTCCGGTGGCAACCCTGGTTGAACATATACATATGCTCAACATTGTTTCAATTTTTTTCTTCAAGTTCTGCAAAAATTCTAACCAGTTGATAATTATGATATTAATTATAAAATTCAATTACTTCAGTATTAACAATTTTCGAAATAAAGAATGTAAATATTTGTAAACTTTTGGTTTATTATGGGATATTTACACTATATTTAACAATTTGTACATTTGTGCATTTTGTGATGAGTTTTTTTTTAGTACAAAAATGATTTGTCGATGATTATGAAATTGAAATTTGGTAATTTAAACGTGAAAATTATTTTTATAGTCCAAGAACTTGATTCATAGCTGACATTTCAGAATGAGATAATGGTTTTAACATAAGTCCCGGTACAGGTGGTTGTAATTCCAAATCACGTAATTCATTGACCTTGACTTTCAGTTCGCTTCTCAGTTTATTTATTTCTACGTCGCATTGATTTTGATCTGGAAAAAAGAAAAAAAAGCAAAGTCAGAGTGGTCACAAGTTTCAGATTATTAATTTTCATGATATTAAAATTATTTTCCCTGAAAAAATTCTTTTAACAAGAAACTATGAAAGTTTACGGAAAATGAGTAGAATTTATGAATTTTAATAATTTCTAAAAAGTAAAATTATAACTTTCTCTGAATTCAATTATTTTCTACAATTTACAACTAAACTTCATCTCTACATCAATTATTTTAAATAATTTTCCGAAAGTTCTTCTATAATTCAACTATTTAACAATTAATTTTTTAAAAAGTAATCGTAGAGATTTTTTTTTAATTTTGAAAGTTTTATTATTAATAAAATTAACATTTCTACGAACCTTTCTTTAGTAATTCCTCAGCATGTTTGGCTGACATTTTCATTAATAATGGCCCAACGGTTAGCCAAGCTTTGTCGTGCTTTTGTTTTTGTAAAGCTCGCATTCCAACACGATCGTCATTTCTCCTCATGTCCAGTGCAACAATTTCTTGTCTGTCAGTTAGAATTTCTCCAGCTTTGCTTTCCACTTGTTGCAAATGTTTCAATAAATCCTTTTGATTTTCATCCATTATCCTGAAAAAAAACAATGAATTTGCAAATTTTCTACAATTTTTGAATTTATAATTTAGGACTTTGAACAATTATAATAGGAATGTTTTTTATATTTAAAATCGAGTGATTTTTCGATTTCTTTTTATATATAAAAAAAATTAAAAATGCTCGTACTTTGAACGAAAACTTATATTCAATACTTGTTTCGTGTTTCAATGGAAATTTTTTATGACAAGGCTTTTCGGAGATATTTTTCCCTCTGTGCTTCCCGACGAAGATGACGATCACGTTCCCATTTTTTTAATTTTCGTTCACTTGGTGCACGAGTTGTTTTGATAGCCCGACGATCGTTGGGCTTGAAATGAGTGACTTGTGGTGTTTTTTTTTCGTCGAGTCCAAAACCTTTTCTGTCTTGTTTCAGAGTTGTTTTCACGGGGTATTTACGACCCTCTCCTGAAGGTCCTAGACCATGTTCCTCGTCCCATCCTGAATTTATAAGCATCTGGTAGCCTTTATTTCCCTTTGGAACAATGTAGTGAGCTCCTGATACTTTTGGCTTTGTGTTAAAAATATGCACAATCGAAGTTTCATGCTCAGTCTGTGTAATATTCTCAAAATTTGAATTACAGACGTTGCAGAAAAAATTTATTTTTTCTATTTTCTTTTCATTTATTTTTGTTGCAATTTTGTGCTTCTCATTACTTTCCAAGAGTTTAACAATGTTTGTGAATTTATTTTTCAAAGCTAAATTCATTGCCGTTAATCCCGATTTATCCTTGATGTTTCTTTTTGCTTTAAGTTTGAGGAAAAAAGCAACAATTTCGGAATTTCCACTGTAAGCTGCAGACATTAACGGAGTCCAACCAAATTCATCCACTGTATTTATATTATCTGGGTGCAAATTTGTTTTTAAAAATGTAAGATCGTTATTCTCGATTGCTTTGAAAATTGAATTCACAGTTACTTTTGTATTTATTTGACTATTTATATTTTTAACCATTTTCTTCTTCTTTGGAAAATTTTTCTTTTTTTGATTATTTGTTTGAGATTTTTCATTAGAAAAGTTGATAGCTTCTTCGTAGGCGTTTTTTGCCTCTAAACCTTGAAATCCAAGTTTGCTGACGACCTTCTTAGCAGGTAATTCTTCAATATTATTACTTTCTTTGACAAAAATTTTCAAAGGGAGATTCATTGTTGTATAATTTGGATTAAAGGACATTGTCAAAGCTTTTTTTATTGCCGTTCTTTTAATTTCTTTTTGAAAATATAAATTTTCTTATTTACCTTATTTATCTTGTTTATTATTATTCTTCTGATTATTGGTTATGTTCACATCAATTTAATTCTTTCGTAAAAAAATTTGCTAGTCCTGCAATATTTATTGTTTTTTTGTTTAGAATATTTATCGATTTTCGTTATCAGAAAATATGTTTTTAGTTTAAAAACAAGTTAATTATTTAAAAAGGGATAATTTTACGTTTTTATGCACTTTTTTCTTTTTTCACTTTAGCTCTTTAAGCTCTTGCTCTTTAAAAACTTCGGCAATATTCGTCAAGTTTCGAGTCTTGTTTCCGACCAATTCCGAGAGTTGACGAAAATCGACGGAATTAGACGGAAATTATAGAAGAAGGCGGCGTGTGAATTTTTTTAGAAAAGAAAAGTTCTTTAATCTTCTCAATGAATAGTCCGATAATTAGAAGTATTAAAAATTTATCAATTCATACGAAAATATTCATTGGTTGGTAGGTATGTTTAAGTAGAAAACTTATTTAAATTTATTCAGTTCTTGGGACAAAAAACTGCTCACATTTTTTAAAGTAAATTCTAACCTCAAAATGTATTAGAAATTTGATGTAATTTTTTATTTGCATGTATTTATCTGCATCTTTTATTGAAAAATAATTCGCCAAGTTAATGTTTGTTGGTTCATGTAATTGTCACTAATGAAAATTTATTTTTGAAAGGAAAGATAAGAAAAGAAAATTGTTTTTTGATGTTTAAGTTTATTCATTAAATATACAAAATTAATAAAATATGCACTTAATAATTTAAGACTCAAACTTTAAAAAAATTCAATTATTAACTAATTTACTAATTAATTATTCTTGTTTAATAATTTCAAAAGTTTTAATAAAATTCTTCTCAATTATTTTAAAACTTGAAAGAAATTGTTCATAAAATTCAATTATTTTTAAGATTTTTAATTAAAATTTTTAAAGAAACTCCATTAATTTTTGTTTAGGGCTTTCGTCGTTTCCGGAGGATTGTATGCTTTTACTGCATCAAGAAATTACATAGTAGGACGAAGACATGAGAGTATGAAAACACGAGAACGTATGCAAAGGGATTTAAGTGATTTAGAACCGATTGAGCGTACACCAAAGAGTTTTTGGTGGTGAATCAAAAAAACAATAAGAGAAAGAATTTATTAAAAAGAAGAAAAATGGCAGCACTACCTCAACTAGACGAAGAAAAATTCAAATTGGTCCAAGATTTGGAAATTGAAATGATGTCCGATATGTATAATCGAATGACATCAGCGTGTCACAAGAAATGTATTCCACCAAAATATCGTGAACCGGAACTTGGAAAAGGTGAATCAATATGTCTTGATCGATGCATTGCTAAATATTTTGAAGTACATGATAAAATTGGCAAAAAATTAACACAAATCACAATGCAAGATGAAACTGCATTGAAGAATAATGTTGCTGAACAAACTAAATTAGCAAATTAACTTTATTTTCGTTGTATTATTATTTCTTTTTTTGCAAAATTCGTAACAAAATTTGAAGTCGTGCATTTAGAGTTTTAGTAATTTTTCACCATAAATGATAAATTAGTTTAATTTCATTTTATTGACCTCAGATTTCTATAAATCCCAACGACGTTGTTACATACTGTAATTATGTGTTGTTAATAAAAAGGATTTAAAGCGAAACAATGAGTTTGAGATAAAAATTGCTAAATTTTAGAGAGCTAACTTTTTAGTCCTTGTTTCAAAAATTGAATTTTTAGAATTCATAAGATAATTCTTAATTTTTGTGTCTTTTTTGTTTGCCTCATAAACTATGAAATTACCACGAATTCTAATACAAAACCTTCAATTTTTTCTATTTCTGACAATAATTTATTTTTAAATAACTTAATTCTTGAAGAATTAACAAAAAATTATTACTTAGATATTATTTAATGAATAATTTTACTTAAAATTTTCAAAAATAATTAAATATTATGAGTTTCGTTTACAATTTTCATAAATAGATGAACTTCAAAATATATCAATTTATTTTAAATTATGTAAAATTTCAATTCTTAACGAATTTAATAAAATGTTAATCTTGGCAAAATTAATTAATCATTTTTAGAGTGAATCACAATATTCTTTAGGATCAGGGAAAAAGTCAAGGAAAAACAAAATTAAATTTTTATAGCAACTCTGATGAAATACTGGAAAAACATATTTTATTGTTGTCAATGAATAACTTCATTGAAAAATTTCCATGTACATCATTTAAAAAAAACAATTCCAATACAAAATCAAATAAACAAGTAATTCAAGTTAATCATCAATATTCACTCGTAACGCTAACAAAAAAGATAAATTGGCACAAACTGAACAAAAAAAAAAAGAAAATACGTAGATAACGTCTTAGTAATAAAATACAATCAAATAGTGGTTCATGAAAAAACAATTTATTCTAATAACATTGTAAACTGAAAAATTTATCAAAAAAAAATATATATTAAAGATTTTTTTTATTGATAATTGAAACGTTATGTACATACCTATTTGTATTAACGCTTATAATTTAAGTTTCAATGTGCTTCCAAAAAATATTTAGCACCACAATATTAATTTTAGCGCGCAAAGTTAGAACAAATTTGATTTTTTTTTCGTGTTCAGCTTTTTTCCGTCAAAAAAAAACATACTTTGTTACAACTACGCGCAGTTGTAAATAATTTCAATTATCTAAATTCTTATCGTTTTTTCACCGCTAATAATACAGTGTGTTGACCACCGCCGGTTACTCTCATAACAATTTTATCCTCAAGTTGTTTTCCCTTTATTTTCTGAGGTGTTTCTACGTCATCTTCTTCACCAGTTCCCAATTGACCGTTCGAACCCATTCCCCAAGCGTACAAATCTCCTGAAAAAATTATTTAGTATTTTTAATTAATTAATTATTATTATTATTAATAATTATTTAATTTAAATTATGTTTTTTTATCGATAGAAATTTTTGTTTGTTTAATTGCGTTAAAACTTTTGTAATAATTAAATAATATTAAAAAATTTATTCTTGTCAGAAATAGAAACAATTGTTGAAGATTTTGTACTAGAATTAGTGGTAGATTCATAGTTTATGAGCCAAACAAAAATGACACCAAAAATTGAGAATTTTCTTATGAATTTTAAAAATTCCTGACTTTTCCCTGACTTGTGACAACCTTGTATTAGTTTTGTTTAATAGATTTTCAGAAATCGAACCTGAGGAGGAGACGGCAAACGATTGTGATGATCCCGCTCCAATGTCGACGCATTTAAAAGATTCTAGAGCTGGGACTTGCGTTAATGATGTTGCGTCCTCACAGTTAGGACCCAATCCTAATCGTCCATATTCTTTCCGTCCCATTACGAAAACTTTTCCCTGATCATCGAGTGCAATTGTATGATGTTGTCCTCCGCTAATGTGAACCCATTTTCTTCCACTGAATGTCTTCGAAAGACGTGGAAAGAATTGCATATCTCCGTCAGTCAATCCTTTTGTGAAAAAAATTTTTATTTTTTTTATTTCAGTTATTCATGTTTTTAAGTTTTGATTTCTTTTTCTTTTTTAGATTGTGTGATTGATGAAAGAATGATAACTCACCGGTTTGCCTATAATTATTTAATCCGAAAGCATAAATTTCACCGCTTGGATAGCTTCTTGCGAAAGTACAGTAAGTGCCAGCCCAAATATCGTCAAATTCAAATTTTTGTCCTACTTTAAATTTGACCATTGCAGGCATTAATAAAGGTTCAACACCATGTCTACTGTGTCTGTCAGCACTTCTTGGCGATATTCTTCCCAATTGTCCTTGTTCACCGCATCCACAAGAATAAATTCGTCCATGATTATCAAGTAAAATAAGATGATCAGCGCCAGAAGCTATTTTCACTATTACTACACCCGGCAACATTTCGAGTGGAAGTTTTTCATTTCCCTTTAGTGTCAAACCCATCGTACCGTGTGAGTCCTGAGGAAAAATAATAAAATAGTACAGAAATTAAGAGAGAGAGAGAGACTATTTTAAAATAAAATTTAACATTATTTTTAAAATACTTTCTCAGAAAATGTAAAGGGGAAATTTTACCGTACCCTAAAGGAGCCCCAGGCAAAAACACGACCGTCTGAGAGGAGAGCAGCAGAATGTGAATCACCAGCTGAGACTTGAATTACTTTACCGGGAAGATTAACGTAATTGGGAATAGTTTCGGTGCCTTCCTCGGTTGTGTCTCTTCCCAATGCTCCTTCATCATTACAACCGAATGTTAGTACTTTTCCGTCTTTTGTTAAGCACACATTGTGCATTCCACCGGCCGCGACTGCAGCAATATTCTCATATTTTGGAACAGCTGCTGGTCGGGTTTTCTCAAAGACGTCCGGTCCTAGTCCAAGTTGTCCCACATCGCCCTGACCAATGCAAAGAACGATGCCACCTTCCTTTACTGTTCGAAGATCTGGCGTAACAAGTAAGTCTAAAAAAAATATTTACGTATTATTTCTTTATCGAATTTATATTTTTTTTATTTATACTTTTTCCAACGCCTTTTTCATCTTAATTTGAAACCTTTTCAAATTTCAATTATTTCTAAAATATTTATCCTACAATGCTTCTAATATTTATTTATTATCTAAAATTTTAACTGAAATTCATTTTTAAATCATTTCTAATTCGAAAATTCTACGCGAATTCAATTATTTAAATAAGAACATAAATAATTTATTGAATAATTGAATTCGTATACAGAATTTTATTAACAAATATTTAAATAATCGAAATTTTTCAACGAATTCTAATAGAATTTTTAAGAATAATCGCATTTTTAGAGGAATTCGATTAAAATTGTATTAAAAATAACTTAAATTCTGTGCAATGCGTTTTATTATTTATGAAAATAATAATTGTTGAAAAATTAGAAAATTTTCAAAAAATACAAAATTAATAAAACAGTAATAATTTAATTGTTACGTTACACTTATTTTTAGATTAAATTTTAAAAGTATCAGAAGAATTTAAAATTTTATTGATTTATAATAAACGCTCTTTAAATGCTTTAAATCTCAAAGACAAGCATTGGAGGTTATAATTCACAAAGCATTGTTTACAAAGTATCTGATAAAAATCTACAATCAATATATATTGAATTTATCTAATATATAATAAGTTAATAAACTTTTAAATTCCTAATTATTAGGCAAATGTTTCTATATTTAAAAAAATAACGTTATTTCTACCTCTGACAAGCATCAAGTTTGAGTGACGCGATTTCATCTCGTTTTTGATGAATTAAAAAAAAGTTAATACTTATTTTAACATAAATATAAATTTACCTTGTTTTTTGCTACGTTTCGATATTTTATCCTCTTTTTCTATAGAATTTGCAACTCTTTTTGTTCCTTTTCTGGGTGCCACTGGAAAATTTTGAGGTTATATTTTAGAAAATCCATTATTTTAGTGTCAAAGAAAAAATAAAGAATAATACAATCAAGCAACACGGATAGAGTATGAATTACTTACTTATAATTAGTAAAAATTAATGAAAAATAATGAAAATAAAGAGAATTAACACGTTGCCGCCAAATCTGTCACACAACCTTGATAAACTTGTTTCTATGGACGTTGAATAAATACAGACAGAAATGATGATTTGAGAGAGAGGGGAGGACGGAGTGTGACGGAACATCCGTGTTTTTTTATATAAATTTCCTGGAATGGAATAATAAATTTATTTGAAATAATTTAAGAAAGAAAATAGAATAAAATAATGATTTGATTGTTTAAAGAATCAAACGATTGTAAAATTAGTGAAAATAATTGGATTTTAGTGGAAAAAAATTCAAATTATTAACCGTCACGTGTCAGCTGTATTTTCATTAGCCAATGAGAATCGTTGTTTCGTGTGCGCATTCGTGAGACGCCAGTGCGTCACTTCCGTTTTATTATTTCTCGGCCGTTTGGAACTAAATTCAAAGAGTAAGGTTAGAATTTTGCGATTTATTGTTATTGAAAATTAGAAAAAATTATACAGTTGTAATTAAGTGCATTTTCGATGCAATCATGTGTGGAAAAGTTTTTGTTTCATCGTAAAGCGAAATATTTGGAAATGTGGTGAGATTTTTATATTTTTTCCGTTACACGCAGCAATGTTTACAACTGACTTTTATTGTCGATAAAATTGTTTTGTCTTTAAAAACATTAAATGAATGTTTATTAGGAAAAATTGTATTGAAACAATTTAACATTATTGTTATTATTATTCATTTTCATGTTAGAGACGAAAGTGGAATATTAAAATCTTCAAGAATGTCGTCGTAAAAATCTAAAATGCATTATTTGCAAGCGGAATTCCCACCATCTTGCGGAGCTTATTGTCCAGGTTGCCGAGTATGTTGCGATGTTGTATTTTGCAAAAGAATTCCAACTGGAGATTCAAAAAGCAATTCTGTAAATTCATCAGCAAAGCGTTTAATTCAAGCCCTTGAGGATGTAAAAAAACGAACGGAATTTCTGCAAAAGAAACTTTCTTCTTTTGAAAGAATCAGCATTGGCATACAAGTTGACAAAATATCGCCTCTTCCATTGAAAGCATCGAATAGTAATTTAGCAAATACAATAACATTAAGTTGTAAGTTTAAATTTTTAATTAAAAAATCTAACTTTCCAATTAATTGGAAATTTTTTCAAATTTTATTGAATTAAGTTTTATATTTTAAAGAATTTTATTTGTTTATTTTTTAAAATTATTTTTAAATATAATTGTATTTTTGAAGAATTTGCAAATGAAGTTTTTTTTTATTTTTTAATTTAAATTGGTTTTTATTTAAATTTCTTTCTTTTTTTCTTTTACAGCTGAAAGTACAATTCAACGATATCCAAAATTTGATGATAAGTCAATTTCCACTGAAGATGAAAAATCACTAACCGATACAAATGATTCGAAAGAAATAATGAATTTATGTTTATTAATGATGAAGGAGATTAGAGAAGTTCGTGATAATTTGAAGCATTCCTGCAAAAGATTTTGTGAACATTGTCAAGGACGTTGTTTGAATTCGCAGCAAATGGATGCATCGACGACAAATTGTGCGAAATGTAAAAGTGAGTACAGAAATATATTTTATTAACATATAATTTAGATTTATAAATTGAATTTTTGAATTAAATTTTTATATTACATTTTTGCATTTAATTTTTTTTTAATTTTTGTATTTAATTTAGTAAGAGATTTTAATTTTATTTATATAATTTTCTATAATGAAACGGGTATTTGAGAAATTCATTTCTTAGGAGTTATTCGTTGCTATCGAAATCCGCAATATTATTCAAGAGGAACGTCCTGTTACTTTAAAAATCGTAAAAATTTCTGTCATCCTTGCAATAATGAACCACGTGCTTATCCTCGTAGACGCGAACCAACTCCTGAAGAAATAAAAAATACTTGGTGCTGTTGGCCTTTTTTCTGAAATAATCAATTTTCGATATTAATTTAAAAATTAAAATTAGTTCTTCTGTAGATAGAGATAAATTGAAAATAATTAATTTTGAAATAAAATTTATAGTTTTTAAAAAGAAATTTTAATTCGTGTTTAAATTGAAAAAAGTACAAATGTTGTTTTGATTTAATTCGATAGAAGGTATAGTTTTCTAGAACTTTAGAATTTTATTGCAAAAATATTTTTTATTATATGAGATTTTTAATCTTTGGTTTTTTAATTTTTTTTACAGAATGTTTAATAAAGTAGAAAAAATAAGGAGGAGAATTATAAAATTTGGATTTTTTCTTATGCAACTAATTCTTGAAGTTTGATCAATGTGCGTGTTGTTATGACAACGAAGATACGCGAAATAATTTCCGTTTGTTACCGGCAAATTAATTTCATTAATTTCAAGGTATGTATTTTTTCTTTTTAAATATTTTTTTTTTATTTCGTTTTTCTCTAAATAATTTTGATATTTAATAATATACAAATCTTAACAATTATATTATGATTAACGAATAATAATATTGTTGACATAAAAAGAGGTTAAGGATAGAACCTAAAAGTTTCTTCTATAAAATTATTAATTTTCACGAACAAGACGTATTATTTTCAAAAATGCTTTTTAAATTTCCATTTTATTCCAGAAAATTAAAATTTTATTTTATAAATATTTAATAATGAAATAAAAATTCTTAGAGAGCGAATAGGATAGGAAGGAAAGGAAAAATTTAAAATTGTATTATTTTTTTAGGATGGTTCGTTTTCACGTAAAACATGGTGATGAAAGTCAATTCTTGTACGATACGACAACAGAAACCAATGTTGATGATGTAATTGACGAAATAACAATTATTTACAACGGACGTTTAAAAGTCTCCCGAATTTGTTATGGTAAATATATTTATTTAAATTCAATTTTTTCAATTTTTTTGTTTATATAAATTTTGTTAGTGAATATTTTATTTTAATTATATACATTTATTTTGAATAACTGTGAATTTGTATTGTTTATACTTTAATGGAATCTTAAATTTTAATTACAGAAATTGAAGAACTAGCAAAACATGGAACAATGTTACCTCCAAATATTATGGGATTGACCGATGAGCAAGTTGAGGAATTAAAACTCAGAGATGAATGGGGAGAAAAATGCACACCCATGGGAGGATTCGAATTCAAAAAGGATCCTATTGGTAGGAAAATATTAATAAATATTATCTTATTACTTAATTTAGTTATGTCATATTAAATCGTATCTACTTACTCTCTTCGTGAATTATTCAAGATTATTTAAATGATATTGTTGAATAATTCACCATCTACGAAAGAGATCGATCAAGATGACTCTATTTCCTAAAATTTTGATGTAAATTTGAATAGCAAATTACAACAAATTTCTATTTATCAATTCCACTAGGTCGGAGAAATGGCAAACAACCTAATAAACCAATGGTTGAAGTTTTGAATAAATCAGTCGAAGACGCCCGAGCAATGATTTCCAAGGTAATTAAATAAAATTTGAAATTATTCAATATTAAATTTTAAATTGAAAACTATCATACATTAAAAACTGTAATAATATATAAAAATTGAATAGAAAAATATTTTTTCTTTCAAATCGTTGATTAGAAACGTGAACTTATTTATTTCTTTGTTTATTCCATGTTTACCTGAAAAATTATTATTATTACATTATTTTATTTAAAATTTTCAATTTAATTTACTTTTTAATTTAATTCTTTTAATTTAATAAACTTTTATGACTAATTTTCAGAAATTGGTACTGGAAGAAAAATTAGTGACACAAAAAATTGTCCAAGATTCTTTGGATTTATTGCGAGGCGCTGTGACAATTGTTTATCCCATGGGACTTCCACCACACGACGTAATTCGTCAAGAATTTGAGAATACTGAGGATTTAAGTGGTACCCAAGCATCTCTAGAAGTAGGTTTTTATAAAATTTTTCTTTTTTTTTAGTAAAATAACAACGAGAGAAGACAAATTTTCTACAGCAATTGATTTTAATGAAATATAACGAAATTTCGATTTATTTCAGGTGATTGACGGGCAGCTGGCACAATTATGGTTTTCCGGCAAGGAAATGTTACGAGGAATGAAAATCAAGGATTTTGTTGGCAAAAATGAAAAGACAAAGGTGATTGTCAAACTTCATAAACGTGGTTCCGGAAGACCGGCACGAGAGCCTTTGATGTCTGAGGACGAGAAGAAGCAATTGATGCTGCATGCCTATAGACGTCAGGAGGAATTAAAGGTAAGTGCTAATTTTATTTCTTTTATATTTTTATTTTTAAGAAAGGATCTGTCTTTTCTTTTTTCTATCGTTTACTGTAAATTTAAAATTTATTGAAAAATTTGCAATATATAAAATATAACTTGAAGTTATATTTTTCCAATTCTGTCGATACGGTACTGAAAGATTCAATATTGTTATTATCTATTTTTATTTTAAACTTATTTTAACATTGGAAAACGCATTTTCCGTGGAAAAAAAAGGATGCAGGAGTCGATGGGGTGTGCAAAAATGCATCGATTCATGTATAAACTTTTACCTGACCCTATATATCGATTCTCATGACCTTCCAGTTGCCCTTTTCAATGGGTGTTATCGCTTTCAGAACTGGACTCGAGAAACGGAAATGCTAACGACATTTCCTTGAACTTATCTTTCTTTCCACATTCGTGTACTTTAATTTGTTAAATATTAACACCTGACCTGGATATTTAATACTAAATTACTCCATATATGAAATTATATAAAATTATATGTACTTTAAATTTAAATATAGTACAAAAGACTTTTTTTCAAAAAAAAAGTATCTAATATTTAATTCACAAATTGTATTTTTTGAAAAGGAGCACAAGAATCTTTGATAATCGTTCATAATTTATAATTGAAAATATTTTTTGCATTCAGAATTTTCGGAAAATTCGGAATTGGAAAATAATTAAAAACTTTTTGTCAATTTAATTTACAAATTTTTCTTTCTATTGAAATAATTTTTATTCAGAGGATTTTTATTTATTGAAGTAAGTTTAATTTAAATAATTTTTATTGAAAGAATTTTTATTTATTGAAAGAATTTTTACTAAAGGAATTTTTATTTATTGAAATAATTTTCATTGAAACAAATTTTATTTATCGCAATAATTTTCATTGAAACAAATTTTATTTATTGAAATAATTTTCATTGAAACAAATTTTATTTATTGACATAATTTTCATTGAAACAAATTTTATTTATTGAAATAATTTCCATTGAAACAAATTTTATAATTATTGAAATAATTTTCATTGAAACAAATTTTATAATTATTGAAATAATTTCCATTGACATAATTTTTATTGAAACAATTTTTATTTACTGTAAAATAATTTTTGCGGAAACAATTTTTATTATTAGAAATTTTTCTTTTACGGAAACAATTGAAGGGCTACATAAAATAAGGGGACGAACGCGAGGCTTGGAAGGGATACTACCAGTCGGGTAGCAGTGACAAGCCTTGAGCCGCTCGCTGCTACCTGACTGATATTATCCCTTTCAACCATGCGTTCGTCCCCTTATTTTATGTAGCCCTTCAATTTCTATTATTAGAAATTTTTCTTTTTGGAAAGAATTTTTATTTGTTTAGTGATTTGAATGTTATTGTGTTTTTCGTACCTATATTGATTATTTTTCTTTTCATAAGAAATAATTTTTTTGAAAGTTTGACTAAAAGATGCCCTCATTTTTAACTGTCACTTATCACGCAAAGTGCTATTAACAATATTTATGTACACGTTATTATTCTTCTAAAGATTACATTACGATTTTTATCAGATAACGCCATTAATTCGTAAAATTGTTTTTAAAAATAATTGCATCTCAAAAAACGGTAATTTTAAAAATTTCAATAACAAATTTCGAAGGCTTATTTGATGAATAATAAAGCAATAAATAAATAAATAAATAAATAAATAAATAAATAAATAACAAAATAATAAATAAAAATTAAATTAAAAGAAAAAAAAATCGAATGAATTTAGAAATTAGAATATAAATTTTATTTCTAATATTTTAAAGTTGAATATTAATGAAACCGAATGTAAAGATTATTTAAAGAGTTTATTACAAAACACATACAGCATAAAGTATATTCTGAAGAGATGTTTACAAATTTTCTTTGTTCTTTTTTTTGTTTTAGTAGATTTTGTTTGACAATTTTATTGATGGCATGAATATATTATTTTTTTTTACTATTTTATGATATCGTTGAGTGAAAATACGATCAGTGGTAATTAGCAAATATAAACCGCGAAGGCACGTAGATTTACAATTTACATTTTCGGAGAATTTTTTATTAAGAGAGCGCAAATTTTGCATAAATTGTATATATAAATATTAAATTTTTATATTGGGAGAAAAATTTTTATGTTTCATTTAATAAGAGGGTACCAAATCTAATAAATATTTGTTATTTTTATTCGATACATTTATATATATTTCTATTTCGTCTATTTTTTTATTTTTTAGTATTTTTGTATAATTTTTTCTTCTTTTCTATTTCAATATACAACTTTTATCAGAAATATAATTTATGATATTAATACAATTATAGGTATTAGGTAAATTATTATAAATTTAAAAAGTGTGTGAATTATAATTTACAACATTTTTTTTTAATTAGAAATATTTTGTAATTGTAATTTATTTTTATTATCGTCGACTAGAATTATAATTTATTCTTTTTATCGTCGATTATATAATTAAAATTTATTATTTTATCGTCGATAAAAATTTTAATTATTCTTTCATCGTCGATTATAATTATAATAATTAATTATTTTTTCAACGATTATAATTATAATTTATTATTTGATCGTTGATTATAATTATAAATTATTCCTTTATCGTCGATTATAATTGTAATTTATTATTTTGTCAGCGATTGTAATTATAATTTATGATTTCATCGTCGATTATAATTATAAATTATTTTTTTATGGTCGATTATAATTATAATTAATTATTTTTTCAACGATTATAATTATAATTTATTATTTGATCGTCGATTATAATTGTAAATTATTTTTTTATCGTCGATTATAATTATATTCTTTTTAATTCATTTTTTTTGGTCGTAAATTATAATTTATCTTTTTAAAATCATAAATTATAATAATAATTACTATAATTATTATTTTAATTATTATAATTATTCTTATAATAATTATGATAGTCATTAGGTTTTTATTATTATAATTTGTCATTTTTTGGTAAAATTTTAATACGGAATTGAATGTTGTAATAAAATATATTTGGCACCTCCTTAAGAAATTAATTTGCACTGATCGAACATCGTAAATCGATAGTTAAATAATTAAACGTACAGTCTGTGCATAGAATTTTATAAAGCGCTTTTTGTTTCTTCTTTTCTTTTGATATTGATTTGTTATTTAGAAATTCATTTAATGATAATGAATATAATTTTTTTTTTTAAATGAACTGAACACTTTTTCCTTTATGTATATTGTGAGATGAGAAAGTGGATCAGTTATTAATTAATGAGAATTAATTTCATTTTTTATTCCCTTGAACACTTTCAAAGGACTTTTATAACTAGATTATAAAATTATTATTCATTTGGTCGATGAAGTAACAGGTGGACCAGCAAGTGAAGTATAAAAGCGCATTGCGAATAATCATTTTGCTCAGCCAATAAAATGTTCTTTTTTATCGAACAAACAATTGCTCCTAAAACTATTTATTTTCTCTTAACAATTTTTTAATCACTATATCGTTGCGTTAAAATATATATCTTTAATCTTTTTTTTAACTAATTATAATTATGTTACAAATTATAATTAATTATCATTAAAAATTTTTTATTAATAACAGAGATAAAATTAATTTCGATAATTAAATTAATTTCTTTTATTTAATTACTATCAATATTATTGTAGAATATTAATTTTTTTAATTAAGAATAGTAATTAGTAAAAGCAATTAGTATAAATTTAATTAATGTCATAATTGTCATAATTATAATAAATTGTCATAATTATAATTAATATAATATTAGATTCTTAGAAATCGCAATGTGTATATGCTTCTGTTGCATATTTTCGTTATTAGTAATTGTACAAATAAAATAGTGATAGTTTTTCGGAAATTTTACATTTTAGTCAGGTAATTAGACCGAGTGTATTAAAAAGTAGATGAAAATGATTCGAACTAACAGTACAGTTTTTATGCAGAAAAATTAATATTTACAAAGAATAATTATTTATAATTTTAGTATAAAATATTATTAAAACGTAACAGTATAATAATTCTTTTATTTTAATAATTAAATAATTAAAATTCTAATTTATTTAATTATAATAAATTATTAATACTTAAATATTAATTTATATAATACATAATTAATTAGTAATTATATTTGTTATTATATTAATAGTTATTACAATTATTGAATATTAACTAAATTTTATAGTTCTTAATTATTGCAAATTATTAAATATTAACATTTTCTATTTTTATTAATATTTATATATTATTAGCTCCCTAAATTTGAATTAGTAAAAATGTTTACTTATTTGTGACTGAATTTTTTGATTTTTAATTAGTGAATTTTACTAATAAATAGTAGTTTACACTAATTTATTTAAATATATTAGTAAAATTTACTAATTCTAATAAAATTTACTAATTCAAAAGCGAAAAGTCAGTTACTAATTCGAATTAGTAAACATTTTTACTGATTCAAATATAGACAGAGCATAATAGTGATTAAAATTAAAATTCATTATTATTAAAATTATTATTTTTATTAAAATTAGTTAAAATTAGTTAAAATCTCTTTTCGTTTTTTTTTTGAAACAAAATATATTTAATATCTTTTCTTTTAGATATTGAATCAAAAATTTTAAATATTCTCTTTAAAAATAAAGTTAATAAATTTAAATTTAAAAATACTTTTTTTAATCATATTAAATGATTTTTATATAAAAGGTAGAGATGAATTAAAAATATTTATATTTTACTCATAAAGACGTGAATTTTAGCAATAATTGAATGAGTATGATTCGGTAATTATTTTTTAATCAGTGCCAACATCGAAAGCGATTCGATTAAATAATTTAGTTTAGATACATTATTATTATATATACGATTATAGGAATATTTTACTATGAGAATTCGATTATATAATATGTTAATTATAAGGATCTCTAATTTTAATAAAATGGAGATTATAATTTTGAAAATAATTTTATTAAAATTAGAGAGATTATCGATTTGAGAAACAATATATAATATACTTTTTTTCCTTGCAAATGCAAAATTAATTTTTCGTAAAATCACATAAAAAAGTTTAGTTTTTTTTCTTTTTGATTATATAATAATTTGCTTTTCACTTTCATTTATAAGATATAAAATGGTTTCAAGGCAACAGTTTGCAGAAATACATTTACGATGCACAGTTTTTGGCCCCAACGAGAGGGTAACTTTCTAAATTTTGTTTTTGTTTTATTTACATATGCTTCAGTTTTTTTTTTGTTTGTTTTCAAATGGAGGAAGTTGAAAGTTTGAATAGTCGCAGATAAAAAAAAGGGATTATTAAATTGAACTTTTTTTTTATTGTTTTTTATTTTATTTATTTAGTTTATTTTCCAGTTAGGACGTAATCTTGTAGAATTTTTTGAATTTGTTAAATTGATTATAATTGTATTAAAAATACTATTTTACTTTCATTTTCCTCGCATCTTTTGCGTTAGGCTTTACAATAAGAGTCGAAAATACAGTATTTTTTTAAAAAATAATTCGAGTATCAAAAAATTCAAATTCTTTTTTTCGGGTACATATTTTTTTTTCTTGCTTTTGGTTTCCGGTTAATTAGCAATTAAACGATATTGTAGGTATATATATATTTTTTTTTATAGATTTCAATTAACATAATGAGCTTAATTTTATAGGAGTAAATATAAGAATATTTCTTCTATGTCTACTTTCACAAGAGTATAAATTTTGATCGTTATTATATATAATATTATAAATTAATGAATTTATTATACGAATATAATACTTAAATATTTCTATCGTATTTTTTATTAAAAAACGATTTCTTTTAAAAGTTTTCTTTTTATATTAAATATTCTCGCTATTTTACGCAGGGCAGTGATTAAACATAAATATTTCTACAAATAGAAAAATTAATTTCTTTTTAATAACTATTTTTTGTATTCGTTTTTCGATATTGATGATTTTTTGTCGACACACTGGAAAACAAATTTATTTGATTCAAGTAAATGATTACTTTGTCTGTTATCAAGAAAATATTTACTTGAGTAAAATAAATATTTATTTGACTCAAGTAAATATTTTCTTGAATCAAATAAATATTTATTTGAATCAAATAAATATTTACTTGAATCAAATAAATATTTATTTGAATCAAATAAATATTTACTTGAATCAAATAAATATTTATTTGAATCAAATAATTTTTAATTAAATCAGTACAATGGTATTTGAACGAACCAATAATTTCAGTAATTGAAGCAAATACCATTTAATTGACTGAAATAAAAATTATTTGATTCGAGTAAATATTTAATTGATAATAGTCAAGTAATCGTGGTTATTTGAATCAAATAAATTTTTCTTAAGTGCGTAAATAAAGGAATGAAAAGGCAGTGATAATTATAATGAATTGAGAAAAGCACATGAGAAATTAAAAATTGATATTAAATTATAAATTTTATAATTATGACGGGCTCTGAAGAAAGATAGCTAAGAGCAAACAATTTTAAGTTGTTTGTAATTTTTTAAATGCGAAAATATATACAAAGGGGATTAATTTTCAATAGTAAATAATAATTATACATAAATTGAAATTAGGATAATAATTTGGAAATTTATATTAATTATCATATACTAAATAGAAAATAGAAAAATAGTTTTTTTCTATTTAAATAAATATTTAGAAGAGACTATTTTTTATTAATAAACAAGTAACAGAGTTAAGAAAACTTTACATTTATTGTCGATATTACTTGAACTATATTGAGAAATCTATATTTAAGTTAAATAACAAGTATAATGTAAAGACGGGTATTAAAATTGAAATTAAAATAGTGAGATCCACTTACCCAGAATTGATGATTATAAGTTACAAAATAGAGAGCATGCATTTTTGTAGAATGAGAGAGAGAGAGAGAGAGAGAAATATGTAGTTATGATTTCGAAAAGAATGATGATAATTATGGAACCATGGTTGTGCGCAACTTTCGGAGAATCCGATAAAAAATTTATCACATGGTTGTAAATGAACACGCATTTTTTTTTTTATTGAAAACTAAAGATCAATCTGAAATGGCACACAAAACGTATTTATTAAAAAAATTCGGAAAATAATTATTAAGTGGGTATTTGAGGTATTTTTAGTCTTAAATTATTTTATTATATCTTTCAGGGTTGCCACGATTTTGCTCATTTCAAATTCCCTGACTTTTACAGGTTTTTTCTAGGTTTATAAAATTTTCTGACATTTCCTGATTTTCCAGGTTTCGAGGTTGCGTAGCAACCCTGTGTTTGTATGTGAAGGAATTTCACTAATTTTAAAAATTGTTCTTTTACTTGAATGAAGATTTTCTTTTTTTTTTGGGTTATTTTGACATAGGGATGGAAATTTTAATTCTCAGAGAGACTATAAAACCCCGAAAAAGTCGAAGTAGTTGAATATTTGACTAAAATAAGTGAAAACAGTCGCTGTTTTCAAAAGTTCAAAAAGGAGTGAATCTTCATTGAAGTTAAATTGTTAAGGACAGGTTTTGTTTAGTGAAATTTGATTCAATTTGAAAAAAGACTAGAGAGTTGTTCTGACCTCATTTTCGTTGACGTGATCATGGTATGGTGCTGATGATCCAGCTACAAGTCCCTCGTCTTCACCCTCATTTTCCTGTTTATCGGAACAATATCGACATCTCATTTTTGCGTCGTCACCAACTTGCACTGATCGTGTTATAATTACCAGTGTCGTGAGACTTATGACGAATAAAGTTGATGGCACTATGATGGCTATCAAAAGTTCCGTTCGTGTTTTATTCAAGTCGAAGCGAGCTACCACCATAAAGGAGTTGTTCTGAAATGAAACATTTTTATTTTTTATTGGGAAGAATTTTATAAAAAAAAATTGAATTCCTGTGAAATTTTCATTATTCTAGAAAATAATTGAATATTCGTGTATAGGTTTGTCAAAATTGTTTTTAAGGGCATTTGAACCATGATGACGTCACAGATTTAAAACTAATGCTTTGCACAAACTGTGACGTCATCAAGGTTCAAATCCCCTTAAATAATTGAATTATTTTGTGAAATTTTTTTTTTAAATAATTGAATTTTTGTGTAGAATATTATCAAAATTTGTTTTTAATAATTGAATTCTTTTATGAAATTTAATTAAAATTGTAGAATATTGAAAATCATTGAAATTTTCCCATGAATTTGATTAATTTAGAAAATAATTGAGTTATGTGATGAATATGGTTTTTTGTGAAAATAATTGAATTTTACAATGAATTTTATAAAAATTTTTAGGTATGTATAATTCAGGAGGTCTAACGGTCAAGGAAGTTAGGGAAGTCAGGGAAAAGACTGGGAATTTTTTTGTTCAGGGAAAAGTCATGGAAAAGTCATGGAAAAGTCATGGAATGTCAGAGAATTTCATTGAAAGTCAGGAAAATTTCTAAAAATTTATACAAAAATTAAAATTTTTGTGAATAAAAGTTTTTTTTTATCTAAAAAAAATTAGAAGATTATTATTATTGTTTATTACTATCATTAGATATTAATTTATTGTTAAACATGTCAGTTACCATATTTTTGTCCCAAGAAAACAGAAATAAAATTAGGAAAAAGTCAGGGAAAAAGTCAAAGAATTATTTTCTCGATCCTTGTTAGACACCGTGCGTAAATAAGTAAAGTGTTTTTGAAGAGCTCAAAAATATTGAAGCTAAATGCCATAAAAGAGAAGAAAAAATGTTGAATTTTAAGAAATTCGGTTTTTCGAATTTTTGATAATTTTAGATAATTTTAAATTTTTTACCAAAGAGTGGAGACTATTAAATAAGTAAAGTGTTTTTAAAGAGCACAAAAATAATGAAGCGAAATGCCATAAAAGAGAAGAAAAAATGTTGAATTTTAAGAAATTCGGTTTTTTGAATTTTTGATAATTTTTAATAAATTTTAATTTTCTACCAAAGAATAAAAAATATTAAATAAGTAAAGTGTTTTTGAAGAGCACAAAAATATTGAAGCGAAATGCCATAAAAGAGAAGAAAAAATGTTGAATTTTAAGAAATTCGGTTTTTTGAATTTTTGATAATTTTTAATAAATTTTAATTTTCTACCAAAGAATAAAAACTATTAAATAAGTAAAGTGTTTTTGAAGAGCACAAAAATATTGAAGCGAAATGCCATAAAAGAGAAGAAAAAATGTTGAATTTTAAGAAATTCGGTTTTTTGAATTTTTGATAATTTTCGATAATTTTTTATTTTTTACCAAAGAGTCGAGACTATTAAATAAGTAAAGTGTTTTTGAAGAGCACAAAAATATTGAAGCGAAATGCCATAAAAGAGAAGAAAAAATATTGAATTTTAAGAAATTCGGTTTTTTGAATTTTTGATAATTTTTAATAAATTTAAATTTTTTACCAAAGGTTGGAGACTTTTAAATAAGTAAAGTGTTTTTAAAGAGCACAAAAATATTGAAACGAAATGCCATAAAAGAGAAGAAAAAATGTTGAATTTTAAGAAATTCGGTTTTTTGAATTTTTGATAATTTTTAATAAATTTTAATTTTCTACCAAAGAATAAAAACTATTAAATAAGTAAAGTGTTTTTGAAGAGCACAAAAATATTGAAGCGAAATGCCATAAAAGAGAAGAAAAAATGTTGAATTTTAAGAAATTCGGTTTTTTGAATTTTTGATAATTTTTAATAAATTTTAATTTTCTACCAAAGAATAAAAACTATTAAATAAGTAAAGTGTTTTTGAAGAGCACAAAAATATTGAAGCGAAATGCCATAAAAGAGAAGAAAAAATATTGAATTTTAAGAAATTCGGTTTTTTGAATTTTTGATAATTTTTAATAAATTTAAATTTTTTACCAAAGGGTGGAGACTTTTAAATAAGTAAAGTGTTTTTAAAGAGCACAAAAATATTGAAGCGAAATGCCATAAAAAAGAAGAAAAAATGTTGAATTTTAAGAAATTCGGTTTTTTGAATTTTTAATAAATTTAAATTTTTTACCAAAGGGTGAAGACTATTAAATAAGTAAAGTGTTTTTCAAGAACCCAAAAATATTGAAGTTGTGGTTGCGTTAAAGTGAGCAAAAAAATGTGTTTGTACTTTTTTGTTCTCTTGTTAGGAAAATTATTTTTTTTTCCTAGAAAAAAGAAGGTAGAAAAAGAATACTTTCAAGAACAAGAAAATTAATAAACATTAATATTGTACATTGTATTGTAATTATTCTTTACCTTGTTGTAATAGCAAGGATATCTGCTCTGTGCAGTTTGATTATCTCCATCCCTGCCGTGGGTTTGTAGAAATTCTCGACACTCGCCACGTAAAGTATTAACACAACCTTCAAGATTAATGTAAAGTCTAGAAGTATTGTAAATAGTTAATGTACGTTGGGCTGGCACGAAAACATTTGTCGGATCCACAGGACGTGTCAGACTTTTCTCATAAAGATTCAAAAATGTCGTGAAATTCGTCGAAGGCTGTGGAATTAATGCCTTGTCCAAATATGTACCATTTACGCAATCCTCCACTCTGAAAATGAACAAAAAAAAAAAAAATTATTCGCTGCTTAAGAAATCGTTTTTTTAGCACTTCTAATACTTTAGTTCCCACTCCGGTTTAGTTTGAGGAAAAAGGATGTTAGAGTGGGGCAACGAGTGCGAGAGAGAAGTTCCAGTCTTTCTCTTTCCTTCTCATAGTCCCCACTTCGGTTCAGTTTGTGGAAAAATTTATTGGAGTGGGGATAAGTTATACATATAGAAAAAAGAAATAAAGATAGAGTGGAAAAAAAGAAAGAATGGAGTAACGGCAGTTTTTCATACCTGATTCTACTTCCTTCTCGGGATACAAGAAAACAACTTGTAACAATTGGATCGCTGTAGTGGTCCCAAATTTGTTGTGGAGTCTCGAGCCGTTCACCTAGCAAATTACCATTGGCTCTATTTAAGGCTATTGCACGAGAGCATGAGGCTGTTACAATGTTGTCATTTTGCATGAGGAACACATTTATATTTGATGTACTTATTTTTGGGCAGTAACGATCGCACGAGAATGCCTTACGTATTCTCGTGCACCGTGAATTCAGGCAGCTAAAGTAACCATTGAGTTTCAAATTGTCCTTATCAGCGTCAACTGTTATTCCATCCGCTACATAGTGACACAACATTAGTTCACTGATATTGGCGCAATGTCCTTTACTACAATTAAAAACACCCGTCAGTACACTACATTCGCTACCGTTGTTGCAATTGTACTTTCTCACTGCGCCCAAGTTTACCTGAAAATATTTTTTTTGTTATGTTTTGGAGTCTATGGTTTTTTTTTCGTTTGTTGTAATATATTTTATTTGTATTTACTTTTTTTTATTTATACTTTTTCTCATTTACCTTTTTTTATTTACTTATTGTTTGTTTATTTTACTTATTTTTAAGGAGAGAGAAAGCTACAAGAGAGTGAAAGTGGGTTGCAAAGAAAGGATATGAGTTGTGAATGAACGAAAACCCTATTTGTTTCTATTGATGAAACATTCCGATCCATTATTGAAGAGAATATTGGAAGCTAACCTAGTCAAGTGTAATTACACTTTTCATTTCCGGAATCGAGGAAGTGAGAATTGTGCCTTGTGGAGTTTGGACATTGGATTGTGATTAATTCTACGAACCAGTTTGTACGTAAGTAAATATTTTTTAATTGTTATAAAAAAAATAGGGACTGTATTTTTTACTCTTCTGCGTACGGCACTTTTATGTTATCTTCTAAATTTTATAAATATCTTTTTTGTTTATTTATTTATTTGTCATTTGGAATTATAATTTTATATTTTGTGCTGATGTTCAATAATAACTCAGCTTTTGTATTATAGAAGGGCGGAGAAATGATGTGCGCAAAAGATTACGAATACGCGTTGTGCGCAACTAAGGTGCGAATAGTAAAAGTGGGGGCAATGAGTGTGAGAGAGAAAGATCCGATTTTCTCACTCACTCTCATTGTCCCCACTCCGGCTCTTTGCTTGAAATCAGTAAAAGTCAGTTTTTTTGAAAAAAGGTCCATAAAGTTCGTTATTTTTATTGAAAAAGCACGAAAAGTTCGTAAATTGAACCATATAATTTGGGGAATTTTTGAGAAGTTACAAATGATTGTAGAAATTCAATTATTTTCAAAAGTAATAAAATTCTTCGCAGAAATTAAATTATATTAAAAATCTTTTTTAAATTCTCGTCAAAATTTCCATTATATTTATAAATGAATTAGCAAAATTCTTCGACAAAGTTCAATTATTTTCAGGAATTTTAATAAAATTAATTGTAAAATTTAATTATTTTCATAAATACTAATAGTATTAATCACAAGAATTCAATTCTTTTCAAAAGTAATCAAATTCAATTTTTTTTAAAAATTCATGGAAAAATTTAAATTATTTTCAATGATTTTCAATATTCTACTATTTTAAATAAATTTCCCAAAAGAATTCAATTATTAAACAAAAATTTTAAGAATATTCTACACAAACAGTTAATTATTTTCTTTAAAAAATAAAAATTTCCCAGGATTTCAATTCTTTAAAATAGAATTTGCATACATTTTTTCGAAAAAATGAAATGTTTTAAAAATTTGGCATTAAATTCTTCGCAGTAATTCAATTATTTTCATAAATTTTAAAATTCTTTTCAGGGAATTTAATTATTTTCATAAATAACAATATTCATCACAAGAATTCAATTATTTTCCAAAGTTTCATAAAATTCATTGAAAATTTCAATTATTTTCAAAAAATTTTCTTAATTAAATAATTTGTATATCTGATATTTTAATAAAATTTCTCAAAATAATTCAATTATTTTCTAGAATAATGAAAATTTCACAGGAATTCAATCAATAGAATTTGCATAAATTTTTTTTATAAAATTCTTCGCAATAATTCAATTATTTTCATAAATAATAAAACTCATTTCAGAATTTCAATTATTTTTAATAAAATTTTAAACGAATTCCTTGAAAAATGTAATTATTAAGAATTAAATTTCAAGAAAGATTCAATTATTCAATAAATTATCTATGTTTGTATTCAAATAATTGAATTCTCGTAGAATTTTCTAATTAAAATTGATTTATAAATTAATTGCAGTTAAAGTTTTAATAGATAATAATAGAATTAAAATGATTTTTATAAAATTAATTCAATTATTTTTAATATAATTTTAAATTATTTTTAAAACAATTTTTTACTTTGCACTAAAATACTTTGCAAACATTTAATTATTTTCATAAATAATATAATTTTCAAAGAAATTCAATTATTTAAAAAATCTTTTTATAAAATTGATCACAAGAATTCAATTATTTTTATAAATAATAAAATTCTTCTTAAGAATTCATTGTTTTGAAAAATTTTAATAAAATTCATCTTAAGAATTCAATTATTTTGAAAATTTTTAATAAAATTCGTTGCAAGAATTCAATTATTTTTAAAAATGTAAATAAAATTCTTCGTATCAATTCAATTATTTTAAAAAATTTTGATAAAGTTCTTTATAAGTATTCAATTTTAAAAAGTATCCAATTATTAAATAATTGAATTATTTTTGTATTTAAATAATTAAATTCTCAAAGGACTTTTTAATAAGAATTGATTTAAAATTGAATTCTAGATAAAGTTTTAGAAAAAAATTGAATATGAAAAGTAATACAGCGTGAATTTTTAGAAGTAATTGAATTTTGAAATTAATTTTTTTGAAAAAGTTTAATCGAATTTTTTTTATATTATTTGAAGTTTTTATATTCTAATATACATTTAATTGAAAAAATTCCAAATAATCGAAATTTCGTAAAATTTATGTTTGTGAATACAGGTAATTCCCAATTCCATTGAGCATCGGATTAGTAAAGAAGAAAACTTGGCACAATTCTCTTCGTAATTCAGTGAATTATTTACTTTTTTCACTATTACGAATATCTGGAAACTGTATTTTGGAAGTGTTCGAGTGTTGTTATCGTAGAAAAATTTCGGGAGTGTTTTTCGCGATCGTTTATACCGTATCTCGTTGAATGTTCGCGTTTATTTTTTTATTTCGTAAAATCGCAGTTTCTTCGGAATGAAAGTTTATTTTTAACCGCGAATTATTATTGTTAATTTAGTAAAAATGTTTTTATTTTTTTATTTAAAACGCGTTCGGGAGTGCGCCTGAGTTTTTTTTAAGTGTCTTTTTAAAATAGCTTTTTCGGGAGTGTCGAATTTCTTTAAACCGCGATCGATATTTTGTGAAAAAAATTTTTTTTATATAAAAAATAAATTCAGAAGTTTGAGTGAAGTGTTATCGTGAATTTGGAAGATTCAAGGTACGAATCGGGTGCTGATGGATGCTGATCGGTGTAAGTGTTTAGAAATTATAATTATTTATAATTTACTACGATTTAATTGACTGATGTAAAAATTATTTGATTCAAGTAAATATTTAATTGAAAATAGTCAAAAGTAATCGGTTATTTGAATCAAATAAATTTTTTTTTCAGTTCAAATATTAAAATATCTTTTGGTAATGTTTCTTTAATTTTTTTTCAACTTTTCGGAATTTCAGATCGAAGGAGAGAACGTGAGGTGCAGATCATCGAGAAATTGGTCCAGGAGATGCTGCCATAGTAAGAATTCAACGAACGGCAAGTTTTTGATTTGAAAAATATTTTATTCATAAGCGTCGCGGCACTATCTTTTCTGGGATTATTAATTTCTAAAATAATCCATATTTTAGAAATGAAAATTAAAATATTTTCTTGTATAACTTTGACATTTTTTTTGTCAAGAAAAATTATTTTTGTAAATTAACTTAGAAATGTTTTTTTTTGCTCAGGGAGCAGATTTTTATAAATAATTTTCTCATAGAGAAAATTATTCTGGTTATCAATTAATTATATCATAGGATTGAAAATATGGAATGATTTTTCTTACCTGAGGACAATATACGCTGGCACTGTTTGTGCAATTTTCGAAAATAATGTCAGTGCCATTTCGCCTGACAGTTGCGTGAATTTGGGGACAAAAGCCGGTTGTTTTTGTTAAACACCATTCACCGCAACTTGCCCATGTGCAAGAATTTACTAGAGTTGCGTTGACTGTTTGGCACATCACCGGATGTGGATCGATACCAGCATTAAAAGCTCTGAAACGATTTTAAAGATTAATTTTCACATAAATATTTGTATAGACATTTATCATCATCGTTCGAAACAAACTTTTAGATTTTCGACATATTTTTTTTTAAACGAAACTCTCTAAATTTGAATCAGTTGAAAATAATTTATTTAGAAGCAAAAAGTCAGTCACTGATTCAAATAGTAATATTTCTATACTGACAATTAGTTAAAAATAATTGATTGTCAGTTAAAAATAACTCATTTTTCAGTAGGTTTCTTATTCAATTATAATTAATTTTTCAGTTAATTGATTAATTAATTGATTAATTAATTTTTTAATAAATTAACTTTGTACTGAAAATCAGTCATTTTTTCACTGACAATCAGTTGTTTTTAACTGATTCAGAAGCAAACAGTCAGTCACTGATTGTCAGTTAAATTCATGATTTTTAACTGATTCAAAATTAAGAGAGAATAATTTTTTATAGTTGAAATTTTTTGCTCTTGGAGATTTTTTGTTTGTTTTATACTATAAATATTATATTATTTCCTCTATTTATTAAACAAAATTATCTGTTTAATGTGTTTTTTTATCTAATTAATATTGTTTTGTGACTGAAACAAAATATTTCATTTATTATTTATAAAATCAATTTACATTAAGGATTCATGGCCTTTTGTTCTATTCATAAAGCATAAAATGAAAATGGGGTAAAAAGTTCTGGAGTTCTCTTTTTACAAACAGAATTTACGACTGCTGAGTTTACTGTTTCTTTTAAGTTATTCGAGTCAAAGAAAAAATGGGAAAAAAGCATTTTTTTATTAAATTTTTTTATTTCATTTTTTCTTGTAATTTATAAATTTTCGAGTAATTAAGAAGAAATATTTTGGATTTTTAAGTCTTTTTTTTAAGACTGTAACTTTTGACATTATTTTTAAATTCTCAAATTAATTTTTAAAATATTTTTGTCTAAATTTCGTATAAAAAAGACTTAAATTGAAAAATATTTCTTTTTAATTATTGGAAATTTAATAAATTACAAAAAAATATAATATTTTTGAGTTCAAGTCTTCTTTTTACGAAATTTATACAAAAATTATTTTTAAATTTAATTTGAAAATCCAATTTGTAGATTAAACTTTCAAATTTTATTTGAAAATTAAATTTATAAATAATTCTTGTATAAATTTGTTATAAAAAAATTCAAACTCAAAAGTATTTTTTTCTAATTAGTGGAAAATTAATAATTTACAATAAAAATGAAATATCTCGGAGTTCAAGTCTTTTTTTTTGTACGAAATTTATATAAAAAATATTTTTAAACTTAATTTGAAAAATAAATTTACAATTTTTAAATCTTACTTAGAAATTACATTTTCAAATTATGTCTTCATATTAAATTTAGAAATTAAATTTTCAAATATAATTTTTGTCATAAATTTCTTTAAGATTAATTAAATATGAAAATTTTTTTTCTGATTACTGGAAAATTAATGAATTCCAATAACAAATTAATAAAAATATAATATTTTGGAGGATAAGTGTTTTTCACAAAATTTATACAAAAATTATTTCAAAATTTAATTTTTAATTTTATTTGGACATTGAATTTTCAAATTAAGTTTTCAAATTGAATTTAAAAATTAAATCGGTAAATTAAATTGAGAAATAATTTTTGTTTAAAATTTTTTTTTTAAATGAATTAAACGCCAAAATATTTCTTTTTAATTATATTTGAAAATTACCCAATCGATAATTAATAATAAATTTTCTAATTAAATTTAAAAATTAAATTGTTAAATTAAATTGAAAAATAATTTTTTGTTGTTAATTTCTTAAAAAAGTACTTGAACCCCAAAATATTTTTTTTTAATTACACTTGAAAATTACCCAACTGATAATTAATAATAAATTTTTAAATTAAATTTGTTAAATTAAATTGAAAAATTTAATTGAAAAATAATTTTTTTTTGTTTATTTCTTAAAAAATTACTTGAACCTCAAAATATTGCTTTTTAATTACACTTGAAATTAGTCAATTGATAATTAATAATAAATTTTTAAATTAAATTTGTTAAATTAAATTGAAAAATAATTTTTTGTTGTAAATTTCTTAAAAAATGACTTGAACCCTAAAATATTTCTTTTCAATTACCTGAAAATTAATAACTTAGAATAAAAATGTAATATTTTAAAATTTAAATTTAATTAAAAAATTTATTTTTTCAATGAAAAACCTAAAATTGTAGTTTTTGGAGTAGTTTATTTTTTTTGAACATGAAAAAAGAATATATCGGTCAATTCTGCGTATAAAGATAAAGCCCTAGATAAAATTAAGGACTGACATCATAAGATTGATCGCCTCTGAATGAGTAACTGAAAGTGGTGCGCTAGATTATTCTATATATACAGAAATAGGGGAACTATGGCATATTCGATCTATTAGGGTTAATACAGTATATACATATATATAGTAGGACAAACAATCACGACATTGTGACTTACCGATGAGATGGTATATAGATGGCGACGCTTAGATAAACCAAAGCAACGCAACTAATCACAATTGTGAGCTGACATAAACAAATGCTACCACATATTCTACGATCCTGTTCAGGTATCAAACGATGTTTGTACTTCCGTCCCATTTCAAATTTCTTTTTAGAATTTAATTTCCTTTTTTCGTTGATTAAATTTAATACATGTTCTTCTTCTTCTTCTTCTTCTTTTAAAATCCAATCTTTTTTTTCGTTTTTTAGATCATTGTATGACGTCTCCTTGGAACAAGTTTTTGATAACAAAGAAAATATCAATTCTTTGTTTCATTCTTTGTTAAAGATTGACATTTTGTTAAAAATCGATTCTTTGTTGAGTATCAATTTTTCGTTTAAGATCAATCCTTCGTTAAAACTTTCAATGTCGTTTTGAGTTTTTTTCGAAAATTGATTTTTGGTTTCTCTTTTCTCGTTTTCGTTTTCGTAGTAAAATTTTCGGTTAAATTGAATTTCAATAAAATGGCATTTTTATTTTCAATATACATTTGGTAAAATCACATATTTTTACTTTCTATGAATAAAATTTCTGTTTCGTTTCTAGAAAATTGTACCATCGTTTCCATTGAATTGCTCCTTTTTGCTTATATCAATAAAATTGAACCATTTTTTTCTTGAATGTTTTTTTTTGTTGAGAAAATTGATGTTTTTCTTTGAATTAACATTTCGTTATCTCTCCTGCATTGTTGTTTTGTTTGCAAATTTTTTGCTGCCCTTCATTTTGGGATAACTTTACATTTCCCTTGGCAAATTTTCTCTTTATTTGAAAAAATTGAACAGTAAAATTAAATCACTTTTTAAATTGAAAAAAATTAAATAGTAGAATTAATTAATTTTTGAAATTAAAAAATTGAACAGTAGAATTAATTAATTATTGAAATTAGAAATTTGAACAGCAGAATTAATTAATTTTTGAAATTAAAAAATTTGAACAGTAGAATTAATTAATTTTTGAAATTAAAAAATTTGAACAGTAGAATTAATTAATTTTTGAAATTAAAAAATTAAATAGTAGAATTAACTAATTTTTGAAATTAAAAAATGAAACAGTAGAATTAATTAATTTTTGAAATTAAAAAATTAAATAGTAGAATTAATTAATTTTTGAAATTAAAAATTTGAACAGTTTAATACTGTTTGTAGAGAAAACAACCTGTTTGTGTTTCAGTAAATTTTTATCTTTAATGTATAAACAAAGCGGGTGCGTCGATTATAGACTTTTTTTTTATTTGTGCCATATACGATCTTTATCAAGTCGGTCAGCATTAACGCTCTTTAACTAGTTCCATCGAATTTTCCAGTAAACATTCTCATCGACTTAAATTCTTGTGGAAGTTCACGGAACTTATTTATACAATGTTGGACATCGATTTTGATTAGAGGATAAGTTTCAAATAATCTGAAAATGAGAGAAAATTTTTTACATTTTCGGTTTGTTTTATTCAATATAATATGTCAAATAAATAAAATCAATTTCATTAAAATCTCGATTGAAATTAATTTTTTCTTGCATAATTTATCATTTTAAGAAGAAAAAATTCCAAATATGATTACAGTTTTTCTGCAGATATCAAATTGAGAGCAAAAAACGAATCAAAATGTTGTAACATTTTGATTCGTTTTTTTGCTCTCAATCTGATATCTGCAGAAAAATTGTAAAAAAAGTTAATTTTAATAAAACAAGACAAACGGAGGATATTTTTTTTATTTTTGAAAATTAATTAACTTCTTTTGTTTTAGGTTTAGGTTTTAAAAAATTTTTAAAAGATTTCAGTCGCTTTTTTTCCCTTAAAATTTTGAACGTTGAAATAAAGGGAATTTTTCTTCTGCTTAACATTTTTTAAAATTACTATAAAAAAAATAATTACATTTACTTTTCTCTAAATTTGAATTAGCTAATAATTTTTTTCAGTGTATATGTTTAGATAAAAATTTTCAGTTTCAAGAAAATATTTATTTATTAATAGTCCAAATAATTTATTCTATATTAACAGAATTTGATTTATTTTTTATTTTTTTTTTTGCTAAACTTTTTCGTTTTAAAAAATTTATTTATTTATTTAAAGAATTTTACATTCTTTTCTATTCTATTTTTCATATTATTTTTAATTATTATTATTAATTATTATTATTTTAATTATTATTTTTAATTCTCAATTTTTTAATCAGAGAAAAATTATGTTTGAATAAAATATTCTATTTTTTGTACCAGAAAACTTAGTTTTAGGTTATTTTAAACAAAGTACGGTTATTGAAACCTAAATAAATATTTATTTGATTTAAATAAACATTTGGTCCAGTTTAATAAATTTTTTTGTTCGTAGAAAGAATTTCGTCATCTAATGTAAACTTTTAGTTTAATCAAAAAAATTTTAGTTAACTGTTCACTAAAAAAATTTATTGAACTCAAATAATCGATTACTTGACAATCATTAAATAATTATTATTGAAATAAATTTTTTTTTTTTAGAGTAAATAATATTTGTTGAATGTAAATAAATATTTATTTGATACAAATAAACATTAAGTTCAGTTTAATGAATTTTGAGTTCGAAGAAAAAATTTCATCACCTTCTATAGTTGAACCAAACAAATATTTGGTTAATTCAACTAAAATTTATTTGGTTCGACTAAAAGTTTACTTGATTTAACCACAATTTTTTTTTCATAAACAAAATTTGGTTGTTTCGAAAAAATTTTCCCTGAGTATAAAAAATTTAAATTATATAATCGATTATTTGAAGAAAATAATTTTTTTCAATGTAAATAAAGTTTATTAATTGTAAATAAATATTTATTTGATTCAAATATATATATTTATTTGAGTTTAAAAACTGTTGAGTTCGAAGAAAAAAATTTAATCACCTTCTATTGTTGAAACAAAGAAATATTTGTTTACCTGTGTAGCAATATGCATCTATTTGGTTGATTTAACTAAATTTTGTTTAGCCCAACTAAAAGTTTGCTTGATTCAACTAAAATTTGTTTCTTTGAAAGAAAATTTGTTTGTTTCATAAGCAAATTTTTCCTTTAGGAAAATAGAAATTGAGTAGCAATAGTAGAAAAAAAGAGGAGTAGGATAAATAGTTTATTTATAAATTGTTTATTTATAAATAAGTTATAAGATAGTTTCGTGAAAAAATGGTCAAATTTTAAATTAAAATTCTAAAAAAATTGAAATGAATGTTTATGTTTTGGAAATAAGTTTACTTAATATAAACTGGAGGATATAGAGATCGATAAAATCGAAATAGAAAAATACTGGAGGAAATATATGTGGGATGTGGAAAGATCAATATCTGAAGGAAAAAAAATAAGGGTGCTTTCGTTAGGTTTTAATAATACGACGAGCTAGAGACATTTAGCGATTCCTATCAAAGAGTGGTGGGGTATAAAGGTATAGATATATATATTTATCTCGTATTTTTATCTAGCACAGAGTATGGTCGAAGTCTTACGTATTTGTTGGCAACCTTCGTCTTCGGAATGCTCTACTAAGACGCGCCTGAATGCTCTCAATTACACTAATACCCTGAGAATAATTATCCTTTAATTTAATTAATGAAACAAGTATTACGTCACCTTTGTTGAATTTTTTTTTCACCTCCTCTTTTTCAATTTATTTTTCTCTAATACCTCTATAGTAAATTTCTATTATCACCGCGAAGTTAATTCGTGATTTTCTTTTTTCAACTGGTTTTCTATAAGACAATTATATTGAGAATTGCCATTGGAGAAGGAACAAAAGAGAGGCAATAATTCGAAGTGTATTTCTTTGAATAAATTCTTTAAATTGTTGGAATGTATTTTTATTTTTTATTTATTTATTTACTTATTTACTTATTTACTTATTTACTTATTTACTTATTTACTTTTTTACTTTTTTACTTTTTTATTTTTTTACTTTTTTACTTTTTTACTTTTTTATTTTTTTACTTTTTTACTTTTTTACTTTTTTACTTTTTTACTTTTTCACTTTTGTACTTTTTAACATTTTTACTTCTTTATTTCTTCACCTATTTATTTATATTATTTCACCTTAAAATTTTAGTTATTTCACGAAACTCAAAAATATTTCTTTCTAATTACTGTAAAATTAATAATTTACAATAAAAATATAATATTTTGAAGTTGAAGTGTTTTTTTTCACAAAATTTATACAAAAATTATTTCAAAATTTAATTTTTAATTTTATTTGGACATTGAATTTTCAAATTAAGTTTTCAAATTGAATTTAAAAATTAAATCGGTAAATTAAATTGAAAAATAATTTTTGTTTTAAATTTTTTCAAAAAAACTTAAACCCCAAAATATTTCTTTTTAATTACACTTGAAAATTGATAATTAATTAATAAATTTTCTAATTAAATTTAAAAATTAAATATTGGTAAATTGAATTGAAAAATAATTTTTTTTTTTGCAAATTTCTGAAAAAATGACTTGAACCCCAAAATATATCTTTTCAATTACTTGAAAGCTAATAAATTACAATAGAAAAGTATTATTTTAGAGCTTTAGTACTTTGTTTAAAATAAACTGAAACAAAGTTTTCTGGAACAAAAAATTGAATTTTTTATTCAAACATAATTTTTCCCTGAGTAAAAAATTGAGAATGAAAAATAATATGAAAAACAGAATAGAAAAGAATGTAAAATTCTTTGAATAAATAAATTAATTTTTTAAAGTTTAAACCAAAAAGTTTAGCTAAACAAAAATAAAAAATAAATAAAATTCTTTTGAATATAATAGATTATTGTGACTGTTAACCAATAAATATTTTCTTGAAACTGAAAATTTTTATCTAAACCTACACTGAAAAAACATTTATTTATTTCAAATAACTGATTACTTGCCTATTATCAAATAAATATTTACTTCAATCAAATATATATTTTCATAAATATATATTTTTTCAAATATATATATATTTCCTTGAATGAAATAAATTTTATTTATTTTTATTTATGTCAAATAAATTGTTTCAACTTATTGAAACAGTAATTTGAATATTTGAATTAATTACCATTAATTGACTTAAATTAAAATTATTTGAATAAAATACCATTAATTAAATTAAATAAAAATTATTTGATTTAAAGAAATATTTATTTGTTAATAGAAAAGTTGTCGGTTATTTGAATCAAATAATTTTTTTTTCACTGTAATAAATTCTATATTTAAAGCTAGTATTTTTATATTTAAAGTAGTTTTTAATTGACTCGAAAAAAATATTTTTACTAAATCGTTATTTCATAAACTGGAAAAACTTCTTTGATTCAATCAGTTACTTGACTATTAAGAATTGAATTTGTTTTTATAAAATAATAAATGCTCACAATAAATATTTACTTGTATTAAATATTTTCTTTTAAATAAATTTCACTTAAATATTTTCTTTTAAATAATTTTCACTTAAATATTCATTTTTATATATTTGCTATAAGTAAAAATTGTTCAAAAATAAAGTGAAGTAAAAATTATTTTCTTCTAAATAATTTTCACTTAAATATTTATTTTTAAATAATTTTTACTTCACTTTATTTTTGAACAATTTTTACTTGTACCAAATATTTGTTTGTATCAATAAACATTTATTTGTAACAAATAAGTATTTGTTTATATCAATAACTATTTATTTGCAATAAATAATATTTATATTGTGTTGTTTAATTATTATTTGTTTTTGATATCATCAATTCATAAATATTGAGATGAACGAGATCATTCCGAGTCAAATAGAAAAACT